GCATAATAGCCATTCCACCAGGTACACTAGAATGTCCTAATCTCCAGTCTGCACGTTTAGACCCAGTCGCTGTAGACACTCTCATTTCCGCAGAAACCACAAACGGTTTCATGATCGGTCCTTTCACCTCTTCACCGTTTTCCTCCTGGCGCACTAACCCTATTGGTATTGCTATTCACAAATATTCTAATAAAAAACGTCTCATTATCGATTTATCGGCACCGCACTCCTCTTTTGTTCCAAGCATAAACGCACTCATTCCAGCAGACGAATTCTCTCTGCAGTACGTCACCATCGACGACGCCATACAGTCCATCATGACATCTGGTAATCGACCCTGGCTCAGCAAAACAGACATCACTAACGCCTTTAAATTACTGCCCATACACCCCTCACTCTGGCACTTACACGGTGTTAAATGGCGAGGGTATTATTACTTCTCAACACGACTCACTTTTGGTTCGCGAAGCAGCCCCAAACTTTTCGACATTTTCGCAGAGTCACTATGCTGGCTGCTTCTGAACATCATCAGGTGTCACTCCGTTATTCACTATCTAGATGACTTTCTACTGATAGAGCCAGGGTCATCAACACCCACAGCAATCAATAGTACTACCGCACTTTTTTCCACACTTGGAGTCCCTTTGTCCCCAGCCAAAACTATAGGACCCACAACAAAGTTGACCTTTTTAGGCATAGAGCTCGATTCTGTCAAACTCAGAGCTAGCCTTCCACACGACAAACTTTCACGATTGAGAGGGGAGATAGACACGTTCCTGCGGAGTGACGTTTGCACCAGGAGAGAACTTCAGTCCCTTCTTGGATCTCTGAACTTCGCCATGCGCATCATTCCGCAGTGAAGGTCTTTTATTTCCAGACTTCTTTGCTTGCTCCATGGAGTCCCGGACTCCGGCACAGTTTCTTTGGACCCCCACGCCAAGGCTGACTTGGCTATGTGGGGGAAGTTTTTGAAAGACTGGAATGGTATCTCCATGTTTATCCCCCCTCTCTCCACCTCTTCATCCATCATCCACACAGACGCAGCAGCCAACACCGGTTTCGCAGCCATTTTCGGGAACCACTGGTTTAGGGGCCACTGGCCCTCTGAGACGGATGCCTTGCCAGGATTCAGGGAGACCTCAACCCTATTTGAAATTTACCCCATTGTGGCGGCCGCACACACCTGGGGTCATCTCTGGTCCGGCAAGGCAGTAAAATGCTACTCAGATAACTCGGCAGCTTGCGATATCATTAACAAAGGGCGCTCATCATCCCTGACCATCATGCGGCTGATTCGCAAGTTGACCTGGCTGGCAGCATCCAATCAGTTTCACTTAGTATGTTCTCACATCCCGGGTATTCACAACACCGCCGCTGACGCTCTTTCTCGTTCTCGATTCCAGGCATTTTCTCAGGCACTCCCAGCAGCCCACCAACAGCCATCCAGGACACCACGGTTTCACGAACTAATATTGGATTAAGCACACTCTTGCTTCACGCTAGATCACTCACTCACCAAGCATTATCACCCAACACTGCTATCACTTACAATAGGGCACTTAACATATTTAACAAATTCACTGCAGAATTCGGGCTACAAGGTGACTTTTCTATCCAAACCATGGTGTCTTTTGCCTCTTTCTGCCACCTACACCTTAATCTGTCACACAACACCATTAAACTTTACCTCACCGGGGTTCAGCACCACAGCCTCACCAATTTTCCTAACAGCACCCCCTTTTTTTGTCTTCATACCCCATAAAAAAGGTATTGAAAGGTATATCAAAGGTTTCACCACCACTCGCAAGCACTAGATTACCCATAGACGGGCCTATCTTCAGGTCACTTAGCAATCTCCTTGACACAGCCCCATTTGATAGCCACACCAATACGGTGATAAAATCTGCCATATATCTTTCTACGGTTTTCTCAGACCTAGAGAATTCACAGTGATTTGTCAAGGAGATATCGCACGATGCCTTAAAACTTCACACCTCACCAAGGTAGAGGATCACTACCTCCTTTCTATCCCTACCACTAAAACCAACCGGTCAATACATCCTACAATAATTCCTCTCTTCCCTACTGATAATGCCTGGTGTCCGGTGAAAGTTCTCGACCAACTACGGTCAACTCTTCACACTCACCTGCCAGACTCTCCGCTCTTAACATTACAAGGGCACCCGCTTACCACGGCAAAATTGATGTCTCATGTCAGAACTCTGTTATCTAAGCTCGGACACAACCCGGCTGCATTCTCCGGGCACTCCTTCCGCATAGGAGCCGCCTCAGCAGCCTCAAGCACAAACGCACCGGTCCACATCATCAAAAGGCTCGGGCGATGGAAATCCTCCATATATAACGCATATATTCCGCAACCAGAGAAAGAGCTTCGCCAAGCTTTCAGAAACTTGGTCTTGTAAAATGCAATAAAGTGTGTATTTTCTCGAATTTATCTTTTTGCCCTCTTTTATTTACAGGCCCACTCGTACGTTGGTTTCGGCACACCACAACCAACTTTGCTCACAGTTACTATCCATCACGTATTTAAATTCCGAGCACAAGTAGAAAGGCCATTAGGCCTGAATTTGTGGGAGGAGTAAGTCCCCTACTTAAGTTCCCAGCCCCTACTCACCGCTGCCGCTCAGCTGATTGTCCCCACCCACCTACACCCTGTTTTAACTACATTATCCTTGGTGGGCCCTCTTTTATTTACAGGCCCACTCGTACGTTGGTTTCGGCACACCACAACCAACTTTGCTCAGTTACTATCCATCACGTATTTAAATTCCGAGCACAAATATATATATATATATATATATATATATATATATATATATATATATATATTATTATAAATAATATGTTAATAAAAATAAAAAGTAAAAATAATTTTTAATAATTAAAAAAATTATATATATATATATATATATATATATATATGTGTGTAATTTTATTCTAACAGTATTTTGATATTTATATATATATATATATATATATAAAAATAATACGAAATATACATATATCCATATACATAATTACATAAATCATTGCATAAATATACACGTAGACGTCAAATATATAAATATGTATATATATTAAAATTCTACGTGCGTATTTATGTAATATTTTTACCTAATTAAGTAATTTTAATGATAGCAATTTGAGGGACGTTCCTGCCAACCCAGGCCGAAAGTCCAGAGAATTTAATTTGCTAGCACTGTGTTTAACCCTGTAATTTTCTATGACACCCTAAAACCTGTACATGGGGGGAACTGTTTTACTTGGGAGACTTTGCTGAACACAAATATTAGTGTTTCAAAACAGTAAAACATATCACAGCGATGATATTGTCAGTGAAAGTGACGTTTTTTGAATTTTTCCACACACAAACGGCACTTTCACTGATGATATTATTGCTGTGATACATTTTACTGTTCTGATACACTAATATTTGTGTTCAGCGAAGTCTCCTGAGTATAACAGTACCCTTACATGTAGAGGTTTTATAGTGTTTGTGAAAGTTACAGGGTCAAATATAAGGCTTGATTTAACTTTTTTTTTTTTTTTTATTGAAATTTGTCAGATTGGTTAGGTTGCCTTTGAGAGCGTATGGGTAGCCCAGGAATGTGAATTAGCCCCATGATGGCATACCATTTGCAAAAGAAGGCTAACTTTGGCCAGTGTTTGTGACTAGGTGGCTACTAAAAAAGACTGGACATACCCCATTTTGAATACCCTGGGTTGTCTACTTTAAAAAAAAATATGTACATGTGAGGTGTGATTCAGGGATTTATGACAGATAACGGTGTTACAATGTCACCATTGATAAATTTAAAATATATATATATATATTGAAACAGCAATTTCCTACTTGTATTTATAGGCCTATAACTTGCAAAAAAAAAGCAATAAAGCATGTAAACTCGGGACAAAATTTTGAATCTGTCAGTTTTTTTCATTAGCTTTTGTAGATAAGTAAAAGATTTTTCAAGTAAAAGTCCAAAAACATGTTTTTTTTTCTTCAATTTTTCACCATATTTTATTATTTAAAAAAAATAAAATATATGACATGATACAAATAATGGTATGTAAAGAAAACCCTTCTTGTCCTGAAAAAAACAATATATAACTTGTATGGGAACCGTAAATGAGAGAGAGGAAAATTACAGCTAAACACAAACACCACGAAAGTGTAAAAACTGCTTTGGTCCTTAACGTCCAACATCGCAAAAACAGGCCGGTCCTTAAAGGACCACTATAGGCACCCAGACCACTTCAGCATAATGAAGTGGTCTGGGTTCCAGGTCCATCTAGGGTTAACCCTTTTTTCTATAAACATAGCAGTTTCAGAGAACCTGCTATGTTTACACTGAGGGTTAATCCAGCCTCTAGTGGCTGTCTCATTGACAGCCGCTAGAGGGCTTCCGCGTTTCTCACTGTGAAAATCACAGTGAGAATACGCCAGCGTCCATAGGAAAGCATTAATAATGCTTTCCTATGGACTGGCTGAATGCGCGCTCAGCTCCTGCTGCGCATGCGCATTCAGCCGAAGAGCAGGAGGAGAGTCCCCCGCCCGGTGCTGGAGAAAGAGGTAAGTTTAACCCCTTCCTCTCCATCCAGCCCAGCGGGAGTGGGACCCTGAGGGTGGGGGCACCCTCAGGGCACAATAGTGCCAGGAAAACGAGTATGTTTTCTTGGCACTATAGTGGTCCTTTAAGGGGTTAAGGAATGTGCCCCCTGAATAATCAGAAACCTATTCCTGAATGTCCTGTACTGTATGCCTTTTGCCAAGTCCCATGTCCTGTAATGGTTTTAGTGATTCATTAACTGTTTGCAGGCTGTGCTGCAGGGGGCAGTGGAGAGCTGACACACAAGCAGTTTAACACTAGCACTAAGTGGGCGGGGTTACATGCAGGTGGGGGCGGGGTTTAAAAGTTTAGGACTGGGAGAGACGGGGTTAGAGTAGTAAAGGGGCGGGGTTAATAAGTTGTAGTCGGGTGGGGGCGGGGTTACGATTTCCACATATCAGACGGAAAGGGGCGGGTTCAGAGAGGGGGCGTGGTTCCGATAATTGCCGAGGCAGCGCGGCTAGTTCGTGAAGAGAATTTGTCAGCGTTTAATATATTCCACCTGACTCGAACTAACATAAACCCCACAGTGGGCTGGCAATGACACAGCGGTAACAGAATGATGTCATCTCTCACCATAAAACGACTATGGGGTGCTTGCTACACGCAAACATCGCCTCGCTCTGCCGACCTGTTGCATTCTGGGAATAAAAGTTCTTACTGCTGGAATGTTATCCCGGCGGATCGCGTGAGACCTGCGGCTGACACTACATGTCCCTTGAGCCTTTGCGCGCTATCCCCCTCCCCACCTCGTCTCTCCGACGAGCATTCATTGGATTTGTAGTTTATTTCCTTACTTGCATAATGCAGTGAGCGGTGAAGAAAACTACATTTCCCGTCATGCCCGCGGCAATGACGCTATTATACTGCTATGTGTGTCTGGATGTCACTAGGGTGGGAGAGCTTTACTAAGGGGGTCTTGCTGAAGAGGCCTTGCTGTGACTCGGGTGATTGGGGGTAACAGAGAGGTTTCTTGCAATCCCTGCCATTGCATCACTAGGGGAGGGGAACCTGCATGCAATGGATCAGAGCCCATGTGAGCCATTGGAAGCTGCCCATGTATTCCAATGATAGGGATTGAGGGTCACTGCATGGAGTGGGAGCTAACTATCTGTATTGCAGGCATTGGGGAGGCAGCCTTGCTTTAGGGAAATTATGTAGACTCAACATGAATGTTATAAATATAAAGTGCTTTATATAAACAGCACACACAACTGCTATGGTCATGCAAATTTCAGATAAAGTAATCAGCACACATTGCACATTAATGTCAGGTGATAGTCTGTGTGTATACCTGTAGAGAATAATTCCATGGTGACTTGTAAAATATTTTGATTGACAGAATTGATAGGAATTTTGAGACTAAGGGAATGGTAGCTGTGGTTTAATCTTGTGGTTCAGGCGTGTATTTTGTGCAGGGGTGTTTTACTGCTGGAAAAGTGTTCACATGGCTACTGTTGCCAAATATTCTACAATCCGCAGACCGCAACACCAATAGGAATTACTGTTTACAATTTCCTTGTCAGATTAGGCGAGTACGTTTTACAGTAATCTGGACAAAGCCAATTTGCCTAAATGAGAAATGGAGGTTGAGTTTTGTAGAGAGATACGATACGTGACTTCGGCCATTCATCACTGATCTGCCATTTTGGGGGGACAGGCAGAGCTTTAAACATGGCACTCCTGCGAGACTTCCCAGCTCAGGTAAGACACGGGAACAGACTTCAAGAGTGACAGTTTTTTTTTTTTTTTTTTTTCATATAACCACGTGTTCAAAAATATGAATGCAATATATTATTTTGATTCCTGGCCAGACTTAGAAATCCAGTCCAGGTTAAGCATTATGAGAGATACGGTTTATCTGGCAGTAAAAAAAACAATCCATTTATAACTTCTATAGGTTGTTATATAGATAGTCAATACAATGTTAATCAAAGATCTGCACACCAGTTAAGCCATAAGACTTGCTTTTCCCACAGAAATCACAAATATGCAGTGATGTTACTACCACAAAGGATTCTGGGTGGACATATGCAAATTAGTTTAACAAAGAATCACATTTGTCTCATTTCATTTTAAATATGGATTCCTTAGAGTCTGCGTTTGCTGTATACAACAGCTCTGAAACACAACTCAAAAGGATGCAAAGTCAGTGAACCACTCATGGACAGCTGTTTCGTTGTTAATGCAAATCAGCATGAGGTTGGTTACTGTTATATGGTATACATATTAGGCTTAATAGTCTTTTTGCTTTCAGGAACACAAAGTGCACAGATAGGATAAGCGCTAGAGTGTCAACTGAGTATAGATCTGATAGCAGGCAAACATGTATTCCTGACCCTATAGTGTTAAAAACACTATCCTGGCCTCCTAAATATAGTAAAATCTTACTTTTATTCCAGGTTGCTGCTGCTGGCTCTGTCCATGACTTGCTTGGCTGGCATTATCAGAAGTGATGATCAGAGCCAATCACAACGCTTTACAATAGATAAGCAAATGATTGGTTCAGACTGTCAAGAGGCAGAACAGGGGCAGAGCCAGCACAAGCCAATAACAGCCCTAGACACTAAACTTTCCTCATAGAGATGCACTGATTCAATTAATCTCTATGAGGAGATGCTGATTGGCCAGGGCTGTGTTTGGCTTGTGCTGGTTCTCCCCTAATCTGCCTCCTTGACAAGCTCAGCCAATCCTATGGGAAAGCATTGTGATTGGCTGAGAGAATCACTTCTGATGATTTCAGCAAAGCAGGCAGATTAGGGACAGAGGCAGCAGACTGGAATACAAGATTTTACTATATTTAGGGAGGGCACGTGGAGCTGGATGGTGTTTTTAACACTATGGAGTCAGGAATAAGTTTGTGTTCCTGACCCTATAGTGTTTCTTTAAATAAAAAAATGAACTTTATTTGATATCACATTAAAAAAAAAAAATTTAAGTACAAAAAGGATCAAAAACATCAATTTAATAGCTACGTAAAGTAATACTAGTGTACAAAATCAATACAAGGTAAGAAAAGTATAACCGAAAAATACAATACAAATACAAGAGATACTGTACAAAGTTTTACTTCTTATCCTTAGCAAATAGTGTGAGCTAGACACAAAAAAGACCCAACGTTTTTGCCCGACTGGCATTTTCAAGGGTGGCATAAGTCCACTAAGTGCTTGCTTAAATAGGAGTATGTCGGGTTGTCATAGAAACTAAACAAAACTCAAGGGCATAAAGCGGAACTGAGAGGTGTGTGGTCACCATAATGACCCAACGTCTCTTGACATGCGCATGTCAAAATAGAGTGAGTGTGATTGATCCTCTAGCATGTAAGCTCATCGAGCAGGGTCCTCAACCCCCTCTGTTCCTGTACGTCAGTGTTCTGATCTCAATTATGTGTCTGTTAGTCCACCCATTGTACAGCGCTACAGAATTTGTTGGCGCTATATAAATAATAAAATAATAATAATAATTGGCTGAAGCAAATGGTACATACCTTAAAGCAGTGGTTCCCAAACCAGTCCTCACATTCCCCCCACCTATCCAGGAAAAAACACTTTAGACACAACTGGGTAATCCCTAATTTTGGAATGGAAGGGGCAGGGCTGTTTTTAATAATGGTTGGACCCTTGGCAAGCATTTGCTTGGGCCAACTGGACCCTGCCTCGCCACTCCCTGGCATGCAATCACGCCCTTCTCTGCAACGCAGGTGCAAGACCTTTTGGGCCCTGCAATTGCAAGGGTGGCCAAAAGGTAGAACCCCCATCTGTCATGCAACTCCAACAATGCTTTGACAGCTGGGGCTCTACCATTTCCCCATGCTTGCAAGGTTGTATTTAATACTGAGCAGTGTTTGTGTGTTCGAATGTAAGCATGTTTTTGCATGGAGTATGTGTGTGTGAGTGTAGGGGTGTGTTTGTATGTGGTGTTGGCGTTTAAATGCAAGTATGCATATAAGTATAGTGTTCGTTTTTTAATGCAGGGGTGTGTTTATATTTCATTTTGGTGTTCAACACCGAGGTGTGTTTGTATGCAGTGTTAACATTTTAATGCAGGAGTCTGTTTGTATGTACTGTTGGAAGTTTGAATGCAGGGGTGTATTTGTGTGTAGTGTTAACATTTTAATGCAGGAGTCTGTTTGTATGTACTGTTGGAAGTTTGAATGCAGGGGTGTATTTGTGTGTAGTGTTGGTGTTTGAATGCTGAGATGTATACACACACACTGTGATACAAATGCAGATATACAGACACACACTGACACAGATAAACAACTTCACACTCATGCAGTGACAGACACAAAGATACACACAGATACACACAGTGACAACATACATATACACACACAGATACACAACTTGACGCACATGCAAATACACACACTGACACACATACAGACACATATACTAACTACAAATAGATACACACAACGGCAACATACAGATTCACACACTGACACAGACAGAAACACAACCTGATACACATGTAGATACACAGACACACATACTGACTATATACAGATGCACAGATATACACACTGACACACACACACACACTGACAACATACAGATACACTGATACACACACTGACTACATACAGATACACACACACACACAGCAACATAAATGCAAATACACAGAAACCTAGAATGTGACGGTAGATAAGAACTATTTGGCCCATCTAGTCTGCCTAATTTTCTAAATACTTTCATTAGTCCCTGATCTTATCTTATAGTTAGGATAGCCTTATGCCTATCCCACGCATGCTTAAACTCCTTTACGGTGTTAACCTCTACCACTTCAGCTGGAAGGCTTTTCCATGCATCCACTACCCTCTCAGTAAAGTAATACTTCCTGATATTATTTTTAAACCTTTGCACCTCTAATTTAAAGGACCACTATAGTGCCATAAAAACATACTCGTTTTCCTGGCACTATAGTGCCCTGAGGGTGCCCCCACCCTCAGGGACCCCCTCCAGCCCGGCTCTGGGGAGAGGAAAAGGGTTAAACTTACCTTTTTTCCAGCGCCGGGCGGGGAGCTCTCCGTCTCCGATCCTCCTCTTTGGCTGAATGCGCACGCGCAGCAGGAGCTGCGCGCGCATTCAGCCAGTCTCATAGGAAAGCATTTACAATGCTTTCCTATGGACGCTTGCGTCTTCTCACTGTGATTTTCACAGTGAGAAGCACGCAAGCGCCTCTAGCGGCTGTCAATGAGACAGCCACTAGAGGCTGAATTAACCCTAATATAAACATAGCAGTTTCTCTGAAACTGCTATGTTTATATAAAAAAAAAAAAGGGTTAATCCTAGAGGGACCGGCACCCAGACCACTTCATTAAGCTGAAGTGGTCTGGGTGCCTAGAGTGGTCCTTTAAGACCATCTCCTCTTGTTGTGGTAGTTTTTCTTCTTTTAAATATATTCTCTTCCTTTACTGTGTTGATTCCCTTTATGTATTTAAATGTTTCTATCGTATCCCCCCTGTCTTGTCTTTCCTCCAAGCTAACAAGTTAAGTTCCTTTAACCTTTCCTTGTAAGACACAAAGCTTCACACACTGACACATATACAGAGATACACCTACTGGTACTCGCACACATTGATACACAGACATCCGTTGGGTAAGTGTGATAGGGTTTTGTGAGTAGGTGTGAGGGTTGGAGAGGATGCCACAGTTAAGGAGTGAGCGTGACAGGGTTGGGGATTTGGATGTGAGTGTTGAGGGTGGTTGAGTGTGACAGGGTGAGGGTTTCTAAGTGATTGTGGGAGGGTGGTGGGTGTAACAGGGTTAGTGTGACAGGATTAGTAAGACAGGGTTAGGGGGGTTATAGAGAGAAAGGGTTAGGGGGGTTATAGAGAGAAAGGGTTAGGGGAAAACACACAGACTTAAAATTTAATATATTTTGTTTGCCCCCCTCCTGCTTACCATCTGTGCAGGCATGGGAGGTAATAATACATTTCTTGGTGGTCAAATGAGCTGCTTGTTCACTCCTTCGTGGTCCAGTGTGCTGCCGGACTCCCTCGCGGTTCCAGCACACTATGATGATGTCAGAGCTCAAGCTGGGACCACCAGTGAGTTCACTAGCAGCACACTGGACCACCAGGGAGACTGTTACAGCTGGCAGGAAGATCTTTTGATCTCCCTGCTGGCTCAAGGAAGGGGGCTCAATTAGAGCCGGAGACTATCCCATCTGGCTCTGGCGGAATCCCTCTCCCCCCCTATATATAATTCAGGCTATTGGTGGATTCGTCACAGCAAGGGATCAATGCTTCCTTGCTGCGCCGAACCCTCTAATAGCCTGAATTAATAGATGAATGGGCCCCCTTAGTGTGCAGGCCCGGAACAATTTATTTTAGCATCGGTGATCCTAAAATAAATTGTTGCGGATAAAGGGCAAACTGGGCAGCTGCTTTGGGCCCCCCAGGAGTAACTGGGCCCGGGGAAGCTGCCCCGTTTGCCTCGCATTTAAGAAAGCCCTGGGTAAGGGGGTGCGTGAGGGCTTGTTTGAGAACCACTGCCCAAAATATAACTCTTGTGACATTGTCACAAAACGCAGATTGTAAGTCGGGTACCTGCGATTTGAATCCCAAACCAGTATAAAGATAAATGAATGCCGATCCTTGCCGATCTCCCAACTACAGAAAGCAAAAAGGCCCAATTTGATGTAAAAGGCAAAATTTCTCCTGCATGCCTGTTTGTTCCCAAATACTATCATTGGTCAGAGGAAGATATTGGCAAATAGATGGCCACATAAATAAAGTGTTTGAATATAAAATGTGGGTGCATCCATAGCATTTATTAGTGAATAGTGGGAAAAGGGGACACAGTCACATAGACTTCATGATAGTACTTATACCTTGAATTATATACTGTATACACAAGATATCAAGCAAGTGGGTTATAGCATTCACTATTGTCCGTGCTCAAAAATGTTATATACATTTTTAGTAAGTCTTGAAGGAATCCAGTTTAGATGTTTTTTTGTTTTTACTGGCTGTGCCTTTTAAAAAAACAACAACATAATTTATTTCCATTTTAATCTTCCGTCATTGTTAGATAAACAAAATAATCAGAGGCCTACACCTGGCATATAAAGCTCTCACTTTAGTTTACCTAGGATTGGATTTTTTACATACTCTTAAATGATCAAGATTCTTTATTCTAACACCATACATATATTTTATGGCCTTAATGAAGATGGCTTAAATAATTTTTTTTTAATAACAAACTTAAATAGTTTATTATTGGTGACCTTAAACCCAGTATTAAATAAAGCTGCACAATTTATATAAAAGCAAATACATTTACTATTGACATTAGTTGCAGTGAACAGTTAGGTTTCAAGTTTGCATTTGTACAGTTGATAAGATCTTTACTGGACCAATTATGGCCAAAGTAAGCAGAGGTCAATCAAATATCACCGCAGCAGGTGCTTAACAATACATACCAACCAAAAATAATGCTGATCGATCAAAGATAAAATTCCTCCCATATTAATAGTGTTGTAATATTAATCCATAACACAGAATAAATACCCTCAAAAAAGTTAAAACATGTTGAGTAGAAGCCATAGTTCAGACCTCGAGGTATGAGTTTATTTTGGTTCTGATCCTTTCTCCAGAGTTCCAGAATGGATCCAGAGCGCCTCTTCACCAAGTTAGAGGGCATTGGGAAGGGTTCATTTGGAGAAGTGTATAAGGGCATCGAAAACCGGAGCAAAGAGGTAGTTGCTATTAAAATCATTGACCTGGAAGAAGCTGAGGATGAAATTGAGGACATACAGCAAGAAATCACTGTGCTGAGCCAGTGCGACAGTCCATATATCACCCGCTATTATGGCTCCTACCTCAAGGTAAGTGCAAATGGCCCCAGGCTGCTAGATGGAATTACAGGTTCAGCACAAACCGTGGCAAACTAAGGAAACTTGAATTACATCTATTCTATATTAAAGGGACACTATAGGCACCCAGACTACTTCAGCTTCAATTAGAGGAACTGCAGTGTCTACCAGACAGCCACTAGAGGCGCTTCCAGAATGTTACCGGACCTTTGGTTGCCTAACTAATTAAGTTATATCCCTGAATAGAATGTTTTTGAAGTATTTATCCAGTTGCTGTACAAACGCTGATAAAACCACCTTTTCAGACAGAATTCTGCATCCTTATTCTTCTTACTGTAAAAAAAAAAACCACTTGCCTTAGACTAGATTTCCTTTTTTTCCAGTCTAAATGTGTGGTCTTGTCTCCTATGTACAGTCCTGTTTATGAATAGATTTCAAGACTATTGTTTGTATTGGCCCCGAATTTATTTGTATAATGCTATCTTATCCAGTCTGAGGCGCCGTTTTTCTAAACTAAACAGATTTACATTTTTTGACCTTTCTTCATAACTAAAATGTTCCATTCCTTTTATAATTTTGCAGCCGACTTCTGCACCCACATTTGCACAGCATATTCAAGGTGTGGTCTTACCAGTGATTTATAAAGAGGCAAAATTATATTTTCATCCCGAGAATTTATGCCACTATTTATACATGACAAAATCTTACTGGCCTTAGCAACTGCAGATTGACATTGCATATTGCTGCCTAATTTGTTGTCTATAACAATTCCCAAATCCTTCTCGTGTGTGGTTATCCCTACCATGTAAGGTGTTAGTTGCTCGCGAATAACTTAGGATTTATCTACTTTAAATTTCATCTGCCATTTGAGGGCCCAGTCCCTCAATCTATCTGAATACCTCTGCAGCACAGCAATATTATGCTCATATGGTATCACTTTACAGAGTTTTGTCATCTGCAAAAACTGAAATATGACTTTCAATGCCTATTTCAAGATCATTTATAAATCTGTTGAATAGAAGCGTTCCCAGAAATGAACCCTGAGGGACACCACTTACCACATTTACCATTAAAGGGTTATTCCAACCAACATGACCACTTCAGTGATTTGAAGTGGTAGGAGTAATTATGTGCAGTATTTCAGCTTGAAACACTGCACATACAGACTTATTGCTAATTGTGTGCTGGGGCTAGTTGCAGCCCAGAACTCTGCACACTGACAACAGATGTTAAAATCTTCCCCTTGCAAGTTAGCTCTCCCATCCCAGCCTCCCTCCCACATTGTGCTGTCTCCCACATCCCTCCGTACAGCATTGGTTATTTACATTTTTTAAATTCCCTTCTACCCATGAGCGCATGCATGCACTACATGCCAGCAATTGGTCCAATCATAGGCTTCTTTACGTCAGGAGGGGGTGAGGAGGAATAGCAGCTGAATTCAAGGAAATAAAACCTTTTTATCTCTGGTTTTACTACACCTTTAAACCTTCTAGTATCTAGTAGGGCATATTACACCTGAAAGACCCCCCCTCTCAATTTGGTTACAGTAGCCCTTTAATGACAGCTCGTTGTACTCTATCTTTAAGCCAGTGTTCAACCCAAGGCCAAGAATTTTCATCTAGACCAATTTCTTTTAGTTTGAGCAATAACCTATTTTGTGGAACCGTATCAAACGCCTTGACGAAATCCAAGTAGATCACATCCACTGTAACACCCTGATTTCTACTTACTTCTTCGTAGAATGCAATTTGGTTAGTTTGACATGACCTATGTTTCATAAAACCATGCTGATTGTTGCGAATAACAAAGTTCTTCCCAGTGTGTTTTTTACCCCTCAAAAAAGTGATTGTAGCTGATTTTTTGGTTCTTTTCCTTCACATTCTAAGTGCTAACTGGACGTTCTCTTTCTGTAGGGGTCGAAGCTGTGGATTATTATGGAGTATTTAGGTGGGGGATCTGCTTTGGATTTGGTAAGGGCTTTGTGCGAAAAATAATGCTGTCTTGTTTCAGTATTTTATTTCCCTGACTTTTGTATGTTTTCCGATGCCTATTCCTGTCTATATAAATTTGTTCACTTTCTGTTACATCCCTGATATTCATTGAGTCTTAATGCGGCACGTGGATTTGGGGGTTATAATTTGAATGCCATGGCTGGGACTGTTCTAACTATTTCCAGTGTAGTTTAATAGATGCTGCTACTTAATGATCGTGTGTGTGCTTGCGTCCTGTGTGCATATTTGTATATATTTCAATATGTTCCTATTCATGACAGCTCAAGCCTGGCCCCCTGGAGGAGTCCTATATTGCTACTATACTTCGGGAGATTCTTAAGGGTTTGGACTACTTGCACTCGGAGAGAAAGATCCATCGTGATATTAAAGGTACCAGACAGTGGCATGAAGCTATGCTGTCCCAAATGATTACCCTATGTCTTGATTTACATGTAAATGACCAAACAGCAGATGTTTTGCACTCATGCATGGAGTTATGATATTTAACCCTTCTTGCCAAAAATAATTGGCAGCAAGTAATGAATTCACTTGTTATGTTGTTCAATATGTCTGTATAAACTGAAAGTTGACTTTTTATTAAGTTAATCATAAATGGAAAATCTGTTTGTTTTTAAGATGGTTTTACAGATTTTAATCCACTTTGTTGCAAATAAATAAACTAAATAATTTAATAGCAATAATCAAACCATTTATAATTTGCAAAAATGGAATGCTGTAGCTTGCTGACCTTAACCTTAATATATGGGTAATTTTATCTATATCAGTAGCTGTTACCTTAAAAAGGAGTCTAGTCTAGTCAAGTTTAGAGAACAATAGATGTAATAAAAGCCTGTTATACTATAACTTAGTTTGTATAGTATGACTAAATTAACACATAATTCATGCAAAAAGAATAAATTCTTTCTTTACACCATGCAATATTGTTTATTTCTTAGTATAGATAGTAGACACCCAATAGCAGTTTCATGCACAGTTGACAGTAATGGCGTTACTGTGTGTCTCTCCAGCTGCGAATGTGTTGCTGTCAGAGCAGGGAGATGTGAAGTTGGCTGATTTTGGCGTTGCTGGTCAGTTAACAGACACTCAGATAAAGCGAAATACATTTGTGGGCACTCCATTTTGGATGGCACCAGAGGTCATTAAACAATCAGCCTATGACTTTAAGGTAAGAAATACAGGATGTGCTGTACATGTCTCAAACTAAGAACATAACTCCAAATGCCTATCATTCAATGGTTTCTCCCTTAGAATGTGAGACCTGATATGTCTACCATAGCATCTGTGTTCGCTTTAGAATGGAACACCAAACATATCTACCGCTGGATATGTCTGTATTGGAACAGAACACCAAACATATCTAGTACAGGCACAAAAATAAAGCACCGTGCTTACAGCAGCAGTAGCTTAGTATCTAACAGCTCAAAATACATAGTAAAACACAGAGAAAGTTACCTGAACTCTGGCCTAAATCCCCATGTACATTTAAACAAAATGGAGGCTCTTTAGTTTTATTCCAATGGCCATTTGAATATATAAGCTCACCTGCCACGTCAAGGCAAGCCTCAATAGGTGAGTTCCTACACTAGCCATTAGATATGCTGATATCAGCCAAGAATCTCCAGTGAGACAGGAAGGGGTATTTTATAAACCCTTTCACATTTAACCCTTTATAGGGCTTCTACACATACAATAAACTTTGCTTGTATCAGACAAAGTATAAACATCTCTGAGACATGAAGGAGTGTTTTATAAACCCCCTACATACTTATTAACCCTAAATAGGGCTATAACACATACAAATATCTTGTACAGGACATGTCTCCCATGGAACACAACACCAAACCTGTATATCCCAGGATGTCTCTGGTTTGGAAGATATGCATCTGATATAACCCAACACCAAACATATCTACCACAGAAGCACACCATTAAATGTGTGAGCCACAAGTTTTTTTTTTTTTTTGCTATCTTAGTACACGTCCCATAGGACTTTTCGAATTAACTTATAACTTTTATTTGCTTTTCTTTCTCTCCTTACAGGCTGATATCTGGTCCCTGGGAATCACAGCCATTGAGCTGGCTAAAGGAGAACCCCCATACTCTGACCTACACCCTATGAGAGTATTGTTCCTGATTCCTAAGAATAACCCCCCATCTCTTCAGGGACAGCACAGCAAACCATTTAAAGATTTTGTGGATGCCTGTTTAAACAAAGACCCCCGCTTAGTAAGTATGCAGTAGCGGGATCTTCACACAACATTATAGAGCCAAATGGACATAACAAGAGCTAGCCCAGATTGTGGTAATATGGCATTACGTAAATTAAATGAGGGAAAATAACAAAACCTTTTGGCCTGCGGTGCTCTTGGGGTGTGATCAAAGTTAAAAGTGAATGTCAATGTAACGTTATATGATTACAATGTAAGTGATGGTAGTTGTACATTAGTTGGGTTACTTGAATTTTGTAGCTTTTTTTTCTTTCAGAACTAATAGGTGTTAATTAAAAACATCAGGAGGGATATTCTGTTGCAGAGTTATGGAAATGTGCAGTACGTTTAAACCCATGTTTGTTTTTGTTGTTACAGTCATTACTGCATTTTTAGAAGTCTCCTCCATGATGCTTAGCTAGATATTATATTTAATTAGTGCTCACTTGTGTCAGTTCTAGGAATTACCATTTGCATATCAAAGTGATAGGACAGTTGAGAACCATTGTCTAAGAGATACAGAAACACAAGATAATTCTTATAGCCTCTCATTGCGGAATTCTGCACAGTTAAAGGGACACTATAGTCACCAGAACAACTACAGCTTATTGAATTTGTCCTGGTGAGTATAATCATTACCTTCAGGCTTTTTGCTGTAAACACTGTCTTTTCAGAGAAAATGCAGTGTTTACATTACAGCCTAGTGACTTTCCTCATAGAGATTCATTGATTCAATTCATCTCTATGAGGAGATGCTGATTGGCCAGGGCTGTGATTGAATCATGCTGGCTCTGCCCCTGATCTGCCTCCTTGTCAGTCTCAGCCAATCATATGGGGAAGCATTGTGATTGGATCAGGCTACCACTTCTGATGATGTCAGGAGACTGCTTGTTTTTCTGAGTCTAACAGCATGCAGAGTTACAGCTTCAGGCTTGAATACAGTAAGATTTTTACTATATTTATGGAGGCATGAGGGGCCCAGGGGGGCTAGATGGTTGTTTTAACACTATAGGATCAGGAATACATGTTTATGTTTATTTCTAACCCTACAGTCATCCTTTAAATAGTTAAATCACATTGTTTATGCTGTTGTAGCCACAGCTTTCCTGACTGACTCACACACCTACACAAAAAAAATATTTAATTTTCAATCCGATCCTACAGCATATAGAGTTTACTATAGAAATTCCTATCTCTTGCTTTATTAATTACAATCACACAAAGGAGGCTGCTGCAAGCTCTAGTGATTATTTAACAGAGCGAGAGAACAAATAGACATGCTGTGCAATAAGGGGAGTTTAAAATATAGATCATATGCCTGTTTCTGCATAGCATTTACGATTTCAGTACTACAGGGATTTTTTTCTTGGTCCTTTCCTGTTCCTCAACTTCATTTTTCTTTATTATGAGTACCCAGTGGCATTACAGTCTCTCTGTTAAAGCTATATAACCTAGCATGATTTTATTATCTTCTTTATTACCCACTCCTGAAGTCAGCTAACAGACCTTGCCAAAGTTCTTTTTCTGTCCTTGACCTGACTCACACTTGTTTAACTTTCTTTTATTATAAGAAGTGCAGAGTCCTCGCCATTTAAAGTAACATCCATATTCTTTTATTGTCATTTCTACTCCTGTTAACATGTCAATGCAAGCGGTGCAAAAAAATAATAATAAAGAATGGGGAGAAAAAATAGATCTCTCTTTACAGGAAGTGTGTATTGAAGCTTTGTTTGCCTCAGGCAGGGTAGGTGTGGCCATGGCTGCATAAACAGGTGACCTAACTTCTAAATGGCAGAGAATTGAGCAGTGAGAATGCAGGGGCATGTTCTATACACCACAACCACGTCAATACGCTAAAGCGTCCCTTTAAGGGACACTGTTTGATAAAATTTTAAACTTGTTGGAGAACCAACTTGTCCTTGAGTTTTTAGAGTGATATCTCAAAGAAACAAACTTATGTTTCTTTCTGTTTTAGATTTATATAAAGTATTACAAATTACATACAGTCAAGTGCCATCTCTCTTATATGTATTCCAGTGAGCTTTTCAGTATTTTTCACTGCAGGTTCTTTCTTTGTGACAGAGACCTACAGCTCGAGAACTGCTGAAGCATCGCTTTATACTAAGGTATACAAAGAAAACCTCATTCCTCATGGAGCTGGTAGAAAGATACAGGCGCTGGAAGTCCCAGGGTCAGTCTGACGAGTCTGACTTGTGAGTGTGGCACGGTTCAATTTTATTTTATTTTATTTTTATTTTTGTCGTCCATTGTGAGCACTAAACTTTTTTTGTAATCCACCATTTTGTATGTACTTCTAATCACATTTTCATCTCTGCAACTCTTAGGGACAGTGAAGATGAAATAGAAAATCCAAATCCAATGCCGCCCTGGACCTTCCCAGAAACCATGCGGCCCTCCTCTATGAGCAGAATGCAGTGGGAATATCCGGAGGTACTTGGTCTATGTGAACAGGGATGGAAAAAATAGTATTAACAGGGTTATTCAATAAAATCTGAATAACTGGGAATTAAAAGTGAATTTCAAATGCCCAACATAGTCAAACCAAACACAGAATAGACTTGGAGAATATTTCTAAATTGGCTATTGTGGCCCAAGTTTTGTAATTCACTTTGAATTCCCAGCAATTCTCACTCTAAAAAAATAACCCTGAATACGGTTTTGTCTGGAAGTGTATCATGAAAATAAACTCCAGTGATTATTTTGCGTGATGGTTGATAAAATATAAACATCTTTGACCCACACTCTTGTTTCGCACTTCCAAGAGTAAGTGGTGAGGTGCCTACAAGCAACCTCCCAGCTGTTTATTACCCAGAGCACACTTAGTAACGCTGACTGACATCACTCAAGTGAACAGTGCCCGTTTCACTTGAGAATCCTATAAAAATACCAGATGAAACGGTGGGGTTGTTTTTTTTGTTTTAATCAAATGTAACAAAAACAAAAACCAACTTTGCTCCATAGATTAGCCTTACATGTGATTTTATAAGTAATGCTGACAGAAGCCATTAACTTTGTACCTGAATATTTTGGCATGGTCAGTATGTGCAGGTTACACATACTTCCTGTTAATGTTAGTATGTTGTATTCAGAGCTTTCTTTGTCTCACACTGTTCATTTTTTGTTGTTGTTTTTATTCCAGCAGCCTTTGGAAATGATTAAACGCCTGCCTCGGTCACACTGTCTGTCAGCCCTGGTAACCCCAGTCTTTCAGGAGGTGAGTACTGCATATAGATCCAATGTGGGGATATAGTGCCAGTCTAACTGCAGAATAAAGATACCATTGTATCACAAATATGCTTCATCAGGAGTGTATGTGTGAGATATATGTGTGTACACGTAAATACTCTGAATACTGTCTGGGTTTTTTTTTTTTATAATTCTTTATTTTTGCGTGCACAAGAGTTAGACATGTTGCATCGTATGCATCGTTTGAGTAGGTAACAGGTTTCAACATTTGTTAGATAATGCATTTGGTCAATTTTAGCACAATTTTTCATTAAGTTTAACATGCGTAACATCCTAGGTAGAGGTTGGGTCGTATAGGGGTTTAGCCGTGTTACTCGTCTGCGGGTGCAGTACCTAGGTCATGGGTTGGTGTCGAAGGCGTGACCCTAATGGTGTTAAGAAGTATGTGTGGAGATGCGGAGTGGAGCTAGGGTCCGTGTGGGTGCAGTAGGTGTAGTTTCGTCGGTCAAGTAGTCTGGTGATTGGTACACGTGTTCTGAAGTGGCTTGGTCGTCTAGTTCCGCTGGGGACCACTCATGAGGGGTGGTAGCCCTAACCTAGGGGCTGTCGGGGGGGTAGGTTTTGGCTTAGGCTATAGTTTATGGTCTGGTAATGCGGCAGCGCGCCAGCGTCCTCGTCAGCTAAGTCATCTAGCTAGCGGTAAACAGGTAAGAACTTCAACATCAGAAATGTATTGCGCGGAGGGTGGGGGGAATACAGGTTGTGGTAAACAAGACATATGGATATCGCCGTTGAGCGGGCAGGGTTAAGAGATCTCTCTCCCCCTGTCCGTCAGGTGGCTTGCGTGTCCATTCTCTGTCTTCTCGGCACAAACGTATCCGAGGTATCTGGATTCCAGACGTGGGGAGTGCCCAGGTTGGGCAAGTTTTGCAGGCCCAATTTTGTGAGTAGTGTAGGGGCCTCAGTCCCTGAGGTGATTTTATGGGTGGTCCCCTGGTGGGTGATGAGCAGAGAGCGGGGGTTCCCCATTCTATATGGTATCCCCGCTGTACGCCGATGGCCGGTGAGTTCCGTAAGCGACTTTCTCCACTGGAGGGTGGCCTTGGATAAGTCCTGATAAAAGGTCAGTTGGGTTTCCTCGAATTCAAGCGGGGTCTTACCCCTGATTGCGCTCATGATGTGCCCCTTGTCTTGCGGTAGGGCGCAACGGACAATGACATCTCCGGCTAGCGTTGCGGTGGCTCTGGGGGGCGTGGGTAGGCGGTAAATCCCTGCAAAGGCGAGTTTCTTTGTTACTGCGGGAGGGAGTAGTGATTGTGTGAGTCGCCTCACGTAATGCGGTAGGTCCTCTTTGCTCACCGATGCCGGGATGCCTCTGATTTTGATGTGGTTGCGCCGGTTTTTGTCCTCCTGCGTCGCCAGTTGTATTGCTAAGCGTTGCTGGTCTTGTTGTAGTTGGTGGAGCGAATCTTGTAGCATAGAGACTTCTCCCTGTATTGTTTTGACTTGGTTTTCAGTAGTGGTCACTTTTTCTGTGATCTGTTGCATGCTCGTTTTGAGCGCTGGTAGGTCTGCTGCCAGCAGGTGTTGTATATCCTGCAGCATAGTTTGCAACTGCTGCAGGTCCTGCTTTGTGGCTGGGTCTGCTGATCCCTGTGGGGGTATGGGTTTGGTGGTTGTGGTCTGTGTGAGCTGTGGAGATCTCTGTGTGTCCCCCTGAGTGGTTTGTGCAGGTGGGGTGTCTGCCTGTGGGGGGTCTGGGCCCTGGTCGGGTGCCATTTTGGCTGGGGTTTGTTTCTGCAGCAGTGCCCCTATATCAGGCTGTGCTGTGGCAGTACCTTGGTGTGGTTTTTGTGATCTGCGCCCCATCTCCTCATGGGATTGGTCGGGGTCCTGTAGATGGACTTCGCTTGGGTCTCCCAGGCTCTCTCCGCCCCACAAGTACTCCAGGCCGCGGCTGTTTGGTGTGTAGTAGGCCCGGATTTTCGTTTTGGGCTTTGCCTGCCTCGAATTGTACCGGAATGGCATCGGGCGGTGCAGGATGGACTCCCTCGGGCAATGCTGGTAATTGTTTGCGTGGATGGCATGTACTTTTGGTGATGTTGACGGATTCAGTTTCAGTTTGCTCAGAGCTGTCAGAAATGGCGTCCGGCTCGTTCAGCCGCTAAGCCCCCCTGGGTTTTTTTTTATATTTAAAATATATACATTTATTTTTTGGGGTTACACAGTTGCGGTTATTGATCATCTGGGAAACACATCTTGGATATAGAACATTAGAATGTGACGGCAGATAAGAACCGTTCGGCCCATCTAGTCTGCCCAATTTTCTAAAAACTTTCATTATGTCCCTGGCTTTTTCTTATTGCTAGGATAGCCTTATGCCTATCCCACGCATGCTTAAATTCCTTCACTGTGTTAACCTCTACCACTTCAGCTGGAAGGCTATTCCATGCATCCACTACCCTCTCAGTAAAGTAATACTTCCTGATATTTTTAACCTTTGCTCAAGTAGAATGAAAGGTGTTAATGTGATGGTTACAGGGGAGCAAGACACTGCTTAAGAATTGTTACGTTTCTTACCAAGCAGGTCAATGTAAGAGGGAATTAGAAGAGTAAGCCTTTTGATAGGGGATATTTAATAACATCCAAAGCTAGAACATATCATTTCTCATTATGACAAAGGGTATACACATTGCCTTTCATTAGAAGTTGGCTCTTAAAGTGAACCTTACATGACAGGTTTGCTTTAAAGCAGGCTTCTCAGATATAAAGAAATAGAAATATACTTTTCATCTTTATACATATAGAGTGTGATGTATTTTAATAATTCTTTTTGTTGTAGCTTAGGGAGCAGCGATGCGCGGGGGCATTTGGATCTGTGCAGGAGTTAGAAAATGCCTTCAGTTTGGCTGAGGAGTCAAGTCCTGGGATCACTGATGAACTCATATCTCACTTGGTTCAGCGAGTGCAAAGGTAACCGGCAGAGCTCGCACATCATGCTGTTTAAGTTAACTAGTTATACACTGTCAGAGGGTGCAGTAAAATTACACAGCGTCCCCTGGGGGAACTAGAAGTTTTGGATGTTGGAAGCTAGTGGTACAGTGGCCAGTTTTCATCTATTCTTTCAGTCAAGGTAATGGGGTTTTCAGATGGTGGCTTACACGTGGGAGGAGGACTAGTGATCTGTACAGGTGGAGGAAAATAGCCCATTCGGGTTGGTTGATTACTCAACAATCCTCGGATAGCTTTAGCTGCTTCTCATGGGTTTACAGGAATTATAGCAGGGGGGAAATGCTGTTGTAACGCCTGCTAAAAGTTTACTTTAATTAGGAGATTAATATAAAGTAAAGGAGAAAAAAACAAAAAAAAACACTGCTTCGTTTGGCCAGTTTCTGCTTAACCCCTTAAGGACACATGACGGAAATATTCTGTCATGATTCCCTTTTATTTCAGAAGCTGCGTCCTTAAGGGGTTAAACATGAGATTTACATAGCATATGTTAGGATTTTGGGATGTCTATAGCATTAATAATAATGGAACTTGGTTTTATGCATTGTTTGCACGTGACAAACAAATATTTTCAAAGAGGTAGAATTTAAACACTGCAGGTTTGTAAAATAGAAATGGGGAGTAGCAATTTACAGGTTAACATAATACAAAAGCCAATCCCTGAGTGACATGGGAAAGTGCAAAAATAACTGCAGTGTGAGTGTGCAATTTGTCAAAGGTATGGAAGACTAGAATACAATGTCTTTTCTTAATAACAATGTCCCTTTCCCCCACACAGGTTCTCTACTGCACAATGAAACCATGCTACTACTGCGCATGTGCACCCATTTTCATGTCCCATGGTATTATGGGACAATACTGTGATAGAAATGACATTCACACCATGGCATTACTTCTGAAGTGTTCATTATTTTTTTGAAGAATATTGTAATAGTGTTTACTGATCGTTCTCATGAGCCAGTATGTTATGTAAAAAACAAAACAAAAAAAACCACATATAAACTTACATTTCATACATAAGTGATTCGGATTCTTTTACTGAAGTGTCTTGTATTCCTGAGATGTTTTTTAAGATGTAAAAGCATTGGTGTGGGAAAGAAGTTATATCAGGGGGTAGTACAGTACTGTAGATGTTGTGGACTACATCCATCCATATGCTTTGCCAGCAGTATGGCTGTAAGTACATTATGGAAAAAAGTCCACAACAGGAGTGCTGGATGTTTTCTACCCATGCATTGTATATTATGCAAGGAGAAATTGTAAGTCAGCAATTAGCTTTACAGAGAATGAATCATGTTTTCCCATCTCCATTGACACAAGACAGGACCCGTATTTGTTTAGATTATCTAGCAAGTTGGGGGTAGTCCTGAGCTAATCTTGTAGGCCTCTGACCTTATCGAATCTCTTTGCAACTTTATGATTACAGGTGCCCCATGAGTCACATCTCTGCCTTCTCTGTTCCCCTTCACACATTCTGCTGCAGCAATGGTGTGGGAAGTCAAATTCCATCATATAAGGTCTGTTATACCACTCTGGTCTATAGAAGCAGAGAATAGCTTTTGCTGTTTCCATTGTAGACTATGAAGATTTGGTGTATCTAGTGGGACAGTGTTATAGTGAAGTTGGTGAAAGAAAAAGGTCGGAGAAGATAAGGTCCAAAGTGTAGCCAGCTTGAAGACTAAAGTGCGAGGCAAGTGAAGGTAATCTGAGAGAAAGTAAGAGGAACTAGTAGGTGCACTAATATGGATGTTAAAAGAAAAAGCTATGGGACAGAAGGTGTGGGAGCCAGGTGGAGGAGTGTTCCAAAAAAAGGGGCCAGAGTGCCGAGGAGGGCGAAAAAGGCAGAAGGCTCACGCACTAGTTACAGCGACCTGCCCGTAGCACAGGTCGGTCCCTGGGAGAACCAGTTTTATTCACATTTCAGTTCCAATAATATGTCATGTTATTTCTAAGAAAGCATATTAAATAGTTTTGCAATTCCACCAGTTCACAAAACAGACAAGCAACAATGAGCAATGCAATCAGTATTGAACATTTATAACAATTTATACACAATATAAATAATCTGTTAGGACATATTGGTAAATTAAATGTTAAAACCGGATAGTGAAAGCTGTAGATATGTTGCTCACGGGTAGCATTTAGCGTCCTTGTTTACAGATTTATGATATGATATAAGACCAGCTGCTTCAGAAAAAAGTTCAAATATTCAGTGCAGGGTACCAGGACAGCTGCTTCAGACACAAGTTCAAATATTCGGTGCCGGGTACTAGAAGAACAGCTGCTTCAGACAAGTTCAAATACCAATTGCTGGGTCCAACATGTGTTACATATAAATGTTTCAGACAGACACTGTACAAAGATGATCCTGTGTGTGCAGTTAGAGCAGAATGGTCTTGATTGCGGTTCTGCACTGAATCTGTGGTTTGTAATAAATTTGCAGTTAAATGCACCAAATCATTCAGTAATTCCATCTTCTGCAAAGTGACCGATTTTCCCTGGAGAACTTACACAACGCCTGATTACTTCGATCCACCTGCAAACAGAAGGGGCCAGAGGTTAATCTTATATTCCATATTAAAAATGCAGATACAGTAACATGATGGGAGGATGGAATAAGAAATATGAACTGGTAGTGAAAAAGTGTGGAATGGGTGTGACACTGAGTTAATAGGAGAAAAATGTAAAGTGGAAACCCTATAGAGACAAGGCTGTCTGATAAACTATCAGTGCAAGGGAATCGGTGCACCTCCATAAAAGATAAGCTGTGGAAGATTTTAAAAATCTGCCTAAACAACACACGGAATTCAGATCTACTACATCGAAGTTACCCCCACATTCTAGTAATAGGGAACACAATTTTATGGATTTTAAAGTAAATGTAACGTTTTAGTACAAAATGAAGGAAATAACCACAACTTTTTGGCTGGCTATTTAAGTAGATTCTTGGAGATCTCACAGGCTCAGAAGCAAGTAAAGCAAAGTGTAAACAAAATGTTACCACTTTAAATTACTGAAACATAGAATGTGACGGCAGATAAGAACCATTCGGCCCATCTAGTCTGCCCAATTTTCTAAATACTTTCATTAGTCCCTGGCCTTATCTTATCGTTAGGATAGCCTAATGCCTATCGCACGCATGCTTAAACTCCCTCACTGTGTTAACCTCTACCACTTCAGCTGGAAGGTTATTCCATGCATCCACTACCCTCTCAGTAAAGTAATACTTCCTGATATTTTTAAACCTTTGCCCCTCTAATTTAAGACTATGTCCTCTTGTTGTGGTAGTTTTTCTTCTTTACTGTGATAGAAACATTACAGAATCATGTATATGTATTGCTCAAAATTACCACTCAGCCATCTAGCTATTAAGTGGAAATTCAACCTTAGTGGGTGTGCCATTGACCCTCCAAACTTGCAGAGGCAAATAGTGTAAGACTTGTCATTTTGTATTTACACTTTGATATAATGTAAAAACCATGGGACTCTTGTTGAATAATGGAAGGCATAGTTGAGGTACCTTATAGGGGGAAGAAGGAACTAAACACCTCCCCCCCAACCGCAAAACAAGTTGCTCAGGGTAGACACAGGTCAACAAAACAATCCAAGTGTGAACTCAACACACTATTTGCCAGGTGTAAAAGTGACTTGCCTCTGCAAGTTTGGAGGGTCAATGGCACACCCACTAAGGTTGAATTTCCACTCGCCAATAGCTAGATGGCTGAGTGGGAATTTTGAGCCCTACATATACATGATTCTGTAATTATTTTCAGTAATCACACATATCCCAGCGATTAACCGATAAATTACCTATGCATGGGCTGCTCCTTATAACAGTGTACAGAAAAGTACATTGTGTAACAGTATAACCAAACCTTACCCAGCTCATTGCAGCCCATTTTTTTTTTTTGTCCCAATGTATCCTTTTTATTGGATTTCAACAAATACATAAGAACGTCAAGCCATTACAGAGATCATAGTAATTCTAGTCTTACTGGGAAACAAACACAGTACGGTTATAGAATAATGTGATTGAGATGCTTGTAGCCATCATTTCAGTTAATTTTTATGAAATAGATTCATAATGCACTCAAATTAGCAGTCTACCCAATACTACTAACCGCCAACTCAGATTAAGCATTTACAGCAACGTACCTTCTCCACGTGTACTCGCTGTCTGCCCGGAAGAAATACACGTGTGATTTGAAGTGCAGTTTGAAGACATGCTGACAGCTGACCGGATCAGTATATGATGGGATGCTAACAGCGTACCCAAGGAGAGGCAGGGAGGCCAGGGGAGCGTCCTCCTGAAAACCGAATACAAAGCTAAATTCCATAACAGATTAGAGGCAACACATAATCTATGGATATTATGCCAGAAATGTCTGTATTTTTTCACATTTCACTTAAACATTTTTAATCAATCCTCTGTTGAGCAGGGGACTGCTATAAGACATAATATACATATTATATATATTATCTTTCACTGTAAGAATATATTACGTCACATTATTTTACCTGGTGTGTTTTGTAGAAGAAAAGGCAGAAGTTGGTAAAGACCACCCACAACCGCTGCCACCCATTGCTGTTCTTAAACTTGCGCAGCAGGTATCCCGATAATTGATTCTGGTAGATACAGATATTTATAAAGAATTTATGTGTACTTATATATGCACATGCACGCTATCTCCATAGAAAGGCAGGAAATTTAAAGGCGCACTCCAGGCGCCTAAAGCGCATGTTTTCTGAATAGCTTTATGTATAAAGAGTGTGTCTTATTTTCATTTTACAAAAAAGGCCGATTTCAATAGACATTAACACTTTTCTAAATTAACTTTGTTACACCCCCTTGGCTTTCAAGCAGCCAATTGGTCATGTTACTTCCTGGTTTGGTTAGCTCAGTGGAGATAAACTCAAGAACAAGCAATTGTCCCGAGCACCTGCCTTGCAAAGACTTCTCTTTCAGCTGCACTGGGAAGTCTGTGATTGGACAGCTACAGAAAGTCTGGGTGTAGTTAGAAGGGGAGGGCTTGCAAAATCTGCAAACAAGACATCTGTAGTATTTGCAATCTGTTATTATATATACACCTCCAATGAAAAAAAGATCCATAATTAAATGCATGTAAGTTTTCATTTGGACTATATCTACTAAACAGTGATTTTTATTTATTAAATGAAATCAATCTATTTTTTAGCAGAGAGGAAGCAGAAACAGATCACATTCATAAGTATTCAAAAAGAAGTAAGGCTGACATCTGACTAATATCAGTTGCTGATTAAGTCTCTCTTAATAGCTCTCTCTTATATTACAAGTCTGCCAATCTTTCAGTTACCTCCATCATGGTAGTGTGATCGCTAAAGGAAACACTCTGGTTCCGATACCAACACACGTGGCTCAATGTGTTAGGGCGATGATTCTGAACAGTGGATGTTTGCGCAGGTTCTACACAGCATAAATATAAACAAAAGGATTTATATTCTACAATGTTATTGTTGAACATTAGTAATTCTTCTGCATGGCCCATGGCCTTATAAGAATTTAATGAAATGGTTTGACGCACATAGTTGGTAGTTAAAGAGTCAGTTACTGAAGATGTTTTGGTACAAACAAATTTTGCCATTGCATTACCCATATACACCTGCCATTGAATTAGACACTTCATTAAAAGAATTATCAACTTTATCTAGATTTTATGTTCTGTAATTCGTGATATCAGTTGTCAATTTAACGCTTCATTCAGAGAAGCAGTGGACTGGTCAGTTGCACTGCTCACCACACAGTTTGTCATCAGTTTTTCTTTAGGAGAAACATTCTTATTGTAAAGCACTACGGAATCTGATGGTGCTATATAAATGGCGTTAATAATTTGTTTGGAAAATGGCCAGCACCAACAAAGAGTCTAGTGCATGGGGTAAAAAAAATAAATAAATAAATAAGTGGTGGACTATTAGCCTAGACTTTCCTTTTAATTATTAAAAAAAAACTTTAATGTTTAAATTGTTAAATTGAGGCACTAAAATGAATTAAGAAACATTTACAGTTTTCTATTGGCCATCCCTCCCAAAATATTTATTTTCCCAAAATAAGAAATGCAACAGAGGTATTAATGAGACCACTTAAAACCATTTGTATGAGAAACCAGTCAAAAAAATAAAAAATACATATATTCATCATTTTCCTTTCCTTTCCATTTGATTCGAAGAAGTATAGAAATATAATTACATTAGGGTCATATTTTTATGGAGTGCGTATAATACTATTCCAATAAAGGGGAATACATCATGTGGCAAAACTAGGAGGGCTAGGGGAGCATGTGCCCTGGGCGCTGGATGGAGCGGCCAGCCACACCGAGCAGTAACCATAGAGACTTGCTCCACCGGCCGAGGCTTAGCCACATTTCCCTGAAAATCGCCGCTTGATGGAGGGGGGAAGCAGGAAGCTTCTCCAAACATGAAACACCAAGGAATGCTCCTGCCTCTGCTCAAATGACAGCACCAGTGCCCATAAAGTTAGGACCCGGGACGCAGATGTTGACTGTGTGACTGTAACAGTCTGTGACTAGAATGGTTTGTTTCTTTGACTGTGTGTGACTGTATATAACAGTGACTGTGACCATGTGCCTATGATTGTGTGTGTGACTATTTGTATCACTGTGTGCCATTGACAGTGCGTGGTGTGCACGACTGTGTACATGGGTCTGTGTGTGTGTGTAAGTGTTTGACTATGTGCATCTGGATGTGTAACGGTGTGTGTATACGTTACTGAGCATGTGAATGTGACAAAGTGCGTCTAACTCTGTCTAGGTATAAGTGTGTGTAAGTTATTGTGTTATTTATGTTGCAACTGTGTTTGACTGTGTGTCCATGTTTGTATGTGAGTGCATGTATGATTGCATGTCACTGTAGAAGGTTAAGAAAGACAAGAGGAAAAGGGGGTTAAGAGACACAGAAGAAAGTGAAAGCATTTAAGAGAGATACAAGGTTGAAAGGGAGATTAGTAAAAATACACAAGAATGGTAAGGAGATGCACACAAAGATGAGTAGGTGCAAAAGCGACATAAAAGTTTAATATTCAGGAGGGAGGTGCCACCATACATAGTGACCTAGCTATGCCTCTGATTACGCTTACTCCAATTTGACTAGAAAGGACTGTCATGGTCTTTTTTGCAAAGCAGTGTACCAAATTTGTCATCTTTTTTTCTCCCATGCCACAACAAGTTAAATTGTCTATCCCAAGACTGTTGAAATAGATGGGCAATAGCACTATTCCAAATAGTTTAGTGGCAACTAAAATGGGATTTATCAATGTCCTATTGGATTTGCTGATGTATATTCGATACATGTCCAAACGGGCAATTTCTGCAAGTTCTGGCACCCTAAACAAAATTAACTCAGCAATCAGAATGTCCGACCATAATGAGGAATTTGTGTGTTCTGCCAAAAAAGGGGTCAGTTACCCACAATCTCCAATAAAAATAGGACTATATGAGCTAGTTTGAGAAATTAATGTTGCTCAGTCTTGTTGATAGAACCCATCTTCTTCTTCTTCTTAACTATTAGGACTAACACCTGTCGAGGTCTTTTGCTACTGTAGGCCACTCACTTCTAGCCTTATGACACATGGTTACAGAGATGCCCTTATACACAACACAAACCGCTAGTCATGCATGTTAGCAACAGTTAACCTTTTTAGCAAATCACAAAACAATGTGATGTAAGATGATCAAACTGCAATTTTAGAGAGACAGGTTTAAAGTAAACTTGGAAGCCAAAATTAGCATAACTCACGCTGAAGCGGCAGGGCAGGGAGCTCACTATATCTTGGTGCTCTGCTTATGGCCGCTATCAGATCATCCAACCAGCGTCTCATATCGAGTTGAGAACTGAAAGGAAAATGAAAATGTTCCTCAAAGCTTCAGAGACAGAATGCGGTGGGAATCTAAAGATGTTATTCAATATCTCAATAAGACCAACACTAGCAGCACTGCATACATGCAGATTAAGCATCACAAGAGAAAAATAGTGGAGTGAGTTTTTGGAATAAGAGCATCACTATACAAATCATTTCAATTTACATAAGTAAAGAACATCATTCTCCATTTTGTGTGACCATGTAAGTGAGCAGTGTGGAAACCATTATAAGAAAAAGTATTTTCCCTAAAGAAAATAATTATTGTAAGTATGTCAAAAAAAGTGTAACTTTTAGAACAGTTTCTTCTACTCTGACAGGACCATGTCTGTCATTATTTTGTCTATTAATTACTAGAGGAAGTAGAAATGTTCATATTAAAATGACCTCCATAATGCATGTTACTACTCGCTCACTACTCACCTGGCTGCTACACCTATTGTGGTCTGTGCAGAGTAGATGGTGAAGCAGTGGGGGACAGAAGTTTGGCTGTCCTCAGCCTGTAGACAGTGACCACAAAGACATGAAGGTTCAAAGGTGAAAGATATAGAACACATACAAAGACAAGGAAGTCACAGGGAAAGAGATTTTACACAAGTTTAAGAAATGTAAGGGTTTAAAGGTTTAAGAAGTTAACAAATAAGAACAAAACAGCTAATTAGGAGGAGTCAATTCCATAAATGATAGGCTAGGGGAATAATACACACAAATAGCTCAATTATCTTAAATACTCACAGGTGGATCCAAAACCATCAGCTACAGAAAAAGTGATAGATAGTTTAAAAAGAGGAAGAATATAAATAAAGATAGAAAAATATAGAAAAATAAATATTTCCGCATGTTCCCATATAATCGAATTACAAGTTATAGACATAGATTGTGCTTTATATTATCATATGCTATTAAGAGATTTTATATCTTGGTGACATTCAATATTTTTATTGACACCTTGCTAAGGTCACACACATTTCTACTTCTTCAAGTGGACCATTTTTTTTTTATTTATTTTTTTACTACCTACTTTGTGAGCGTTTTGTATAGATGAAGGTTATACATCAAAACCACGGTTTACGAATACTGTGTGTAAATATATTTTAGGTAAGCCTCCCAATTCCTTTTATTCTGTGTATATTTATAATCACGACCAGATTCCTTGGCTTCAGTACTCTGCCCCTCCACTCCAGATGCCCCATTAGATGGTTCCACTAGAGAGCATATACTTGAGAACACTCCACTGCCCAAATGGGCAAAAATGTATAATTCACTGTTTAGCAGATATAGAGCCAGGGGGTGTTCCAAAATGTAATTATAAAAGTGCCAATTTCTCATAGTAATTTTATAAACTGGGATTAAAATAAAATAAACCTAAACCATAAAGCACTTTATAGAATGGTCTTTTAGGACTCCCTAATACTCAGGGCTGCCACACCAATAAGGTGGTACAGACCGCTGCCTTAAGGCGCACCATCCCAAGGGGGCGCAATTCCATTTAGTGAGGCTGTTTCCTATCAGACCGGCGGGTCCATTTGGTACTAATAATATTTTTATTAGTGATATTGCAGAAGGTCTTGATGGTAAGGTATGTGTTTTTGCTGATGATACTAAGATATGTAACAGGGTTGATGTTCCAGGAGGGATAAGCCAAATGACAAATGATTTAGGTAAACTAGAAAAATGGTCAGAATTGTGGCAACTGACATTTAATGTGGATAAGTGCAAGATAATGCATCTTGGACGTAAAAACCCAAGGCAGAGTACAGAATATTTGATAGAGTCCTAACCTCAACATATGAGGAAAGGGATTTAGGGGTGATTATTTCTGATGACTTAAAGGTAGGCAGACAATGTAATAGAGCAGCAGGAAATGCTAGCAGAATGCTTGGTTGTATAGGGAGAGGTATTAGCAGTAGAAAGAGGAAAGTGCTCATGCCATTGTACAGAACACTGGTGAGACCTCACTTGGAGTATTGTACACATTACTGGAGACCGTATCTTCAGAAGGATATTGATACCTTAGAGAGAGTTCAGAGAAGTGCTACTAAACTGGTTCATGGATTGCAGGATAAAACTTACCAGGAAAGGTTAAAGGATCTTAACATGTATAGCTTGGAGGAAAGACGAGACGGGGGGATATGATAGAAACATTTAAATATATAAAGGGAATCAACACAGTAAAGGAGGAGACTATATTTAAAAAAAGAGAAAAACTACCACAACAAGAGGACATAGTCTTAAATTAGAGGGACAAAGGTTTAAAAATAATATCAGGAAGTATTACTTTACTGAGAGGGTAGTGGATGCATGGAATAGCCTTCCAACTGAAGTGGTAGAGGTTAACACAGTAAAGGAGTTTAAGCATGTGTGGGATAGGCATAAGGCTATCCTAACTATAAGATAAGGCTAGGGACTAATGAAAGTATTTAGAAAAGTGGGAAGACTAGATGGGCCGAATGGTTCTTATCTGCCGTCACATTCTATGTTACTAAAATAAGCAGGAGGAAAAGTGGAATAGACCACCACAAGGGGAATGGAGTGGACATGACACACAGAAAGAGGCTGGGGTAAACGAGAAAGACAAAGTGAAGAGCTGTGGGTGAGGGGGGAAAGCGACGCGCGGAGGGGCTGCTGGGCGGAGGGGAAGCGCGCCAGCTGAGGGAAAAGCGCGCTGGAGGTGCCGCGCTGAGGGGAAAGCGCGCGCCGAGGGAAAGCGCCGGAGGGGAAAGCGCGCCAGCTGAGGGGAAAAGCGACGCCGGAGGGGAAAAGCCACGCCGCTGGAGGGGAAAAGCGACGCCACGGAGGGGAAAGCGTATCACGCTGCGGGGAAAAGCGACGGCTGGTGGGGAAAAAGCGACGCTGGGTGGGGGGAGAAAGCGACGCTGTGGGGAAAGCGACGCCGGAGGGGGGGAAAAGCGACGCCGGAGGGGGTGCCACGCTGGAGGGGCTGTGGAGGGGGAAAGCCACGCATGGAGGGCTGTGGAGGGGGAAAAGCACGCTGGAGGGGCTGTGGAGGGGAAAGCCACGCCGAGGGGCTGTGGAGGGGGGAAAGCTGACGCCGGAGGGGCTGTGGAGGGGAAAGCGACGCGCGGAGGGGCTGTGGGGGAAAGCGACGCGCGGAGGGGCTGTGGGGGAGAAGAAAAAAAAAAAGGACACAGAAGGACTGGGAAATTAAAGTATACAGAGGACTGGGGGTGAAAGGCACACAAAAGGGGCTGGTGGGGAAAAATGGCATACAGGGGCTTAGGCCAGGGAAAGAGAGACACAGAGAGGCTGGCAAAGGGAAAAAAAAAAAACACACAAAGGGGAGAAAGAAAAATCACAAAGTTGCTGGGAGGAAGTAATGGATACACAAAGAGGGGTTGTAAGAGACACAACGGGTGGTGTAAGACACAACAGGGAAAATGGAAACATGGGTGATAAGAAACACAAAAGAAACATGTAAGACATGAATAATAAATTAGATACACTAAAGGGGGTACGATACTCAAAAGAGGGGTTAAAAATAAATAAACAGTGGGCGGAGCCTAGCAGCCAAGCCGACCGTTCGCACGCTTTGTGAGCTCTGTGCAGACTGGCTCTAAAACCGCTATTACTACACAATTATGCCGTGAATTTCGCCTACCGAGAACTTCCGGAGTTGAGATACAGGATCTGCATATCACCTATGTTCTGAAACGAGACCGGAGGCATTCTCCGGAGGTGGAACTGTGACCTACTAGAGGCCTACTCACAGTGACCATGAGGGAGGCAGTCGATCCCTCAGCTCGTTGCCACACACCTCCTACGGAGACCTATCTTGTACTCTCCACCCCGCCGGTGAGGGTTATCCCGGCACCTTCTGCACACTCATACTAATAAGCATCTATCCCTGTGTGCCTTTTGATCACTCTTCCACCCCCTGTTATTTATGATTTGTATCTATTTATTCAGTGTCATTTGAGTGATATTTGACACTGGGGGTTGTTGCACTTACATTTGCACTTTTAAGCGCCAATCCACCTTTATTTTTGGTGTGCATAAAAGGTACATACATGGCGGTAATGCCACAATAGCAGATACTGGCAACTCAAAGTAAACAGTAGTATGGCATGAGAAAAGACTGCACAATTTTTATAATAAACATGCTTGTAATAAACTTTGCGTGTTATATACGAGAAAAAGAAAACAAGATAAGGGCCATGTCTGCAGATGATAGTCTGAATATCTATAGTTACTATAGGTACACCTTATCTCCACCTCTGGGCGAGGCTTGGTAATCCACAGGGTATATATCAAATGATACTGAAGTGTGTTTGTACTTGCTTGGGGGCCAGAATCTAATTCTAAGTGAGTCACCACCTTTCTTACTAGAGACCCCCTGGGCAGAAATTCTTATTTGAAGACCTGAGTAAATGATTAGGACTTTTGTTTTTATCAGTTGTTGGTGTAACTAATTTGATTGTCATCTATATTTTTGTATGCACTGTGACTATTGTTTGCTCATAATAAATATTCCTTTATTAAAGTTCTGCCTTTGTCTGGTAGAGAATCATGTTACCGGAAGAGACTAATGAGTGTTTTGCAATTGCTTAAATATTGTGCTAAGTTATATTTGGTGGGTTTTTCTTATTAAGTTACCTGGGGGACCAATGCACTTTTATAAATTGTTAAGTTGGTAATAGTTATATTATTATGGTTAGGTGTGGGTGGTTGTAAGAGGGATTTTATCATAATTTTGGTCTAGTGCAGACAAATAGTGAACTTTAACCATTTCACCACAACAACTACGCAACGCACACTCTTGAAGTAGGGTGCGTTCGTGACACCTTCCATCCGTGCCTCATTGGAAACGCTCTCGCGACTACTCAACTGTAGCCGCCAATCTGCAGTACCAAAAATGGCATTCCGGCACCTCGGGGCACGTAAGAAGCTGGAGACCCTATTTGAGATCTTCTGGTCCACGCTGACACGTTGCCTGCACACACCTGCTGAAGTGCCACAGGCACCATCCTTACATCGCACATCTCCAGCTCCGGGGTGACACTCTGGTGCAAAGCTGGGAAACAGATGGGTTTTGCAGAAATGGCTTCAACATAGAAAACTTGGCCCGGCACTGATTCACTGCCTTCCCGGGCCATGGCCAAAACCGGGACGGTTTCCTGGACACCACTCACTCCCTCAGAGGATCCCTACTACACATGAGCCGCAGCAACCCGTTAAGAAAACTCTGACCAAGCCCTGACCTTATTCAACGCTGGGACTATTGAGACTGTTGCATTGGGCTTCGAGAGGGCCTGGGGCTGGTGGGGTACAGTTGCATGGGTCGTGGGTCTGTTTCCATGTCAGGGTAGTTCCCATTATCTGACAGGCGTGGGCTAAGCCCTCTTTTCTTAATACTTACCCCTAGACCCACAGCTCGCATCATTTCTGTGGGCTTCACATGTTATATCCTAGCCCTCAGGTTCCAAGCCGCATGTTCTGCTATTTTATGTTGGCCCTTCCTACCCTCTAAATGCTACATGGACATAACGACCCTTTAATACCAATATGCACATGCCTTTCCCCTGGTTACTGAAGAAGATATGTCTGAGCGTCTTCGTCTTCCCTTCTTGTAATAATATTACACCTCTTTCACTCTCCCTACAAGTTGATGGCACACAAATCAGCCCATTCTTGCAAGCTGGCGGTCTTTGTGTTATCTGTGATTCTAGCCTTACCTTTACACCTCATATCCAGTCTACCACCATATCCTGCCAATTCCACCTTGAAAGGACACTACAGGCACCCAGACCACTTCATCTCATTGAAGTGGTCTGAGTGCAGTGTCCCTGTTACATTAACCTTGCAACTGAAAACATTGCAGTTTTAGAGAAACTGAAATGTTTACATTTCAGGATTAAGATTCCCTTTAGAGTCTCTCTACCAGATAGCCATTACAGGGGCTTCCTCGATTCACACCGAGTCTAACTCTATGAAACACTACTGGATGTCCACATCTTCCAAATCCATAAATGAAAGTATTGATCCGCTGGGATTTTGCCACGCATACTCATTAGGTTTCTCCTAGAGAAGAGTTGGAGAGAAAGCCAGCACAGAAGGACATCCGTGCTGAAATCCGGTACGTGTTAAAAGATTTTTTTAATCCTATGATTGGCAGAGGGTGGGGGGCACGGAGGCAGAGTGACACTATATAGTGTTAGGAATACAACTTTGCCTTTGAAATAAGTTGGTGACATCTAAATGCCAATAATCCCCAATTCAACATTTGTAGTTTCAATTATGCTTATGGGCATGTGTTTAAGAGTAGTACAATTACACACACTGATGAGAAAGAAGTGTTATAAGAAGGATATTTACATATATTAAAAAATATATTTATAACTATATATACTAACCAGCATCCCATGCAAAGGGAGACGTCCGTGGACGCGGAACTGATTGGTACAGCTCAACCCTTTCCGTGTGTACAACAGCATATCTGAAAACTGATTATATACATCAAACAAACCATTACCAACATTATTTACTTTTGTTACAGTCCTCTTCTGATTACACAAACAGCAAATATCATGAAATACATTTGTAAAATAGACATAAGAAAACAGGACACCATTCACAGCATTTCTCCACAAGCAGGGCTTTGAGAAGAGCCTGAGTGGTGAACAGGCTAAATCTCAAACCCTCTTTAGGCTGTTAGTACATAACGATTTCACCCGAGCCAGATTTGCCACAGTCTTCTCTGTGTAGGAAGCCCCCATTATATGTGAACAATATGGCCTTATTGAAAATTGTTGTGTGTGCTTTTTTTTGTGTGCAATGTGGGATAAGACCCATGCATACTTACCAGATAGAACATGCGCTGTTGCAGGCCACTTTTGGTCAGTTTGAAGAGACAGCCCTCACGAATAAACTCCTGCAAGACATAACAGACTCATGTTCCCGCATAGAGGTTTATACACTGGCACAGTTTTGACATGATGTATACTCACTCGGCCTGGCATTGAGAGGTGCTCTCCCCCGAGGAGATCTTTCTGCAGTTGACAAAGTCTCTGCAGGTTGTGTAGATGCAGCAGGCGGTGGCGGAGCTGGGAACTCGCTGCACTTGCCTCTCCGAGTGCCCCTGTCATCAAGACACAGACAGTTTGATTTCCTTCTTCTGGAAAGCCCTACTGCACCTTCATAATCTAATGATACTTCACACAGGACAAGTTTGTTGACCCGCACTCATAGGACTCATAGGTCCTGTGTGAAGTATCATTTGATTACTGGGAGGATTCCAGCACCGAGAAGGTTACCCTGTTATGGCACCTATTGAGCGGCTATAAGTATGATGAAAACCAGTATATCCATGCTTATTTAATTTTGGAGTTGCAGCTACATGTTTTTTGTGAGTGAGGTATTTTATTCACTTACTTTTCTATCTTCATAATCTATACCCAACTGGTTAATTTTATACATAGTCAAAACCATAGCCAACACACTATACGTGGCAAGTTCAGCTAATGAATACAGAGGTAGGAAACTAAGGAAAGTCTAAATGATCACGGTTCTCTTGATTTTTTTGTTCCTCCACAAACACATACGATACCACAGAAATTTATTAGATTTAATATACTTAACCACTAGTTAATGTTAAAATAAGTCATTTTTTAAAAAAAGTCACAAAATGTCCAAGTCCAGCCCATCGCACATCATGGGCAACACATTTCACCCAAAATAAGTCTACAGGTTTCAAAAGTGAATATCTACTTAATTGGAATGTAGAAACCTATATTGTCTATTATATACATCTACACTAATGAGTCACAACATTAATACCACTGACAGGTGAAGTGAATAAGATTGATTATATTATTACAATGGCACATGTAAAGTGAACAGAAAGTTCTTGAATTTCATGTGTAGGAATCAGGAAAAATGGGCAAGTAAAAAGATCTAGTGACTTTGACAAGGGCCAAATAGTGATGGCTAGACGACTGGGTCAGAGCATCTCCAAAATAACAAGTCTTGTAGAGTGTTCCCACTGTGTGTTAATTCTTACAAAAAGTGGTTCAATGAAGGACATCTGGTGAAACGGCATTAGGGTCATGGGCGCCAAAGGTACACATGGGAAGGCTAGCCCGCCTGATACGATCATAGGGAAGAGCTAATATAGCTCAAATTGCTAAAAAATCCAATGCTGGCCATGATAGAAAGGTGTCCGAGCACACAGTGCATCACAATTTCCTGCGTATGGGGAAATGTAGCCTAGACCAGTCACTGCGACCATGATAACCCCTGTCCACCACCAAAACTGCCTTCAATGGAGACACGAGTATCAGAACTGAACCATGGAGCAATGAAAGAAGGTTGCCTGGGCTGATAATTTACATTTTCTTTTAGATCAGGTGAATGGCCGTGTGCATCAATTACCTGGAGAAGAGATGGCAGCGGGATGCACTATGGGAAGAAGGCCGGCAGAGGCATTGTTATGCTCTGGGCAATGTTCTGCTTGAAAACCTTGAATCCTGGCATTCGTGTGAATGTTACTTTGACACATTTTACCTACCTAGAGATTGTTGCAGACCACACACACACACACACACACACGTCTTCATGGCAATGGTGTTTCCCCATGTCAGGGTCCTCTTTCAGCAGGATAATGCACCTTGCCACACTGCAAACATTGTTCAGAAATGGTTTGAGGAACATGACAAACAATTGAAGGTGTTTTCTTGGCCTTAAAATTCCCCAGATCTCAATCAGTTTGAGCATCTGTGGGATGTGCTGGAACAACAAATCCAATCAACAGAGGCTCCACCTCGCAACTTGCAGAACTTAAAGGATCTGCTGCTAGCATCTTGGTGCCAAAAATCTAGAGACACATTCAGAGGTCTTGTGGAATCGATGCCTTGATGCATCAGACTTGTTTTGGCAGCACAAGGGGATGGGGGTCTACACAATATTAGGCAGGTGGTTAAGGTTGTGTCTGAATTTTATGTGTTTATAAATATTTTTATTTTTTACGCTGACCTAGTTTGTGTGAAAGAATATACTATGTTATTTAAAACTTGTAAAATAAAGTTTTCAATCCTGTTAGCGTTTCTAATCCATTCACTGCCTTTATGTTTGCTGACCTGTGTACTATTTCCAGTGACATGATGTAACTATTGTGAATTGGCAGTATGATAGAAGTATGATAATATTGGCAATATGATTGTAATGGTATAATAATAGAGACGAAGGAACTGGAATATATTTTTTGTGGGTGGCTTCAAAATACGTCAGTCTTGCAAAATCAGATTTTTTTTGACTGGTGTAAATGGTCCAATTTTCCACTTGTGCACAGAAGCAGGTCAAAGTGTCAAGCTTGTGAATTGTACCTGTTCATCATCTACCCATATTATGGGGCTTATTCACTAAACACTACTGCTGTGAACTGAAAACCAAATTTAAAATATTTACGCCAATATTGGCAAGCCGTAACCATAGCAGATTTGGCCATTTTTGCATCTAGTTTGCAATTCACTTTTCAATGTACTATAATTCAGTTTATTTTATTTTATCTTATTTACACCTTAATCCAGAATAATGAATCCTGTTACCCATAAACTAATCTTACACATCAATAGTGATGTTGCATCTGTACAAGCATGAATATTGTTCTTCCAATGCTACACTTGAGTTTATTTTTTTGTGCACTTTATTTGGAATTGGACCACTTGACCCATCCAACGCTCCATGGTAACAAACACTCACTCTGGCAGTTGTTGTAGTCACAGTGGGAGTGCGGGTAATGCCGGCAGAGCCGCTCTAGCAGCTTTTCATACTGTAGGGGGCGCTGCAGAGGTTTCAGCAGGAGACAGCTCAGAGGCAGGTAACACACCCTCTGCTGTTCAAATTCCTGCAACAAAACATTGATATCCTGCTGCTCTGGAGAATTTTGTTGGAGTTCCTGAAACCAATCTTCTAGTCTCTGCAGGGAAGGCAAAACAGCCTGGAACAAAGAATCAGTATTTACCAATATTATATTTTTTATCCAGGGAAGTCAAAGTACATAAAGAATCATTAAATACCCTGAACATTCCATTCAGTAGATTCGATACATTGCAGTGATTGTCATCCATTGCACACTGTACACTACAATCAGTCACTTCCTGGTGCTGCATAAGAAATATGACCGATCAAATATAAATATTAGATTTTAAATGGAAAACAGCACTTTTAAAATCACTTGAATTAAGAGGAGAGGTTCCTCACACATTCAGCAAGCTGACCACTGGAGAATGGACTGGGATGGTGCGTGTAATCAGTGCTGTATTTAGCGCAAGGCAAACAAGGCATTTGCCTTAAGCGGCACTTTCCAGGGAGCGGCAAAAAAACGCTGCCCCACAAGTGCCCTGGCAAATAACTTGTTTGGGTTAACTTATGGGGGGCCAAAATTGGGCCGGCTGGCCACCCTCGAGCCCCTCCAGGGAACCCGGACAGTTTCTTTTACAGGTGGGCGGCGAGGAAGCGCTGATCTGAGCTCTTCCTGCGCAGTTCCCTCGCGCAACCTGCAGTGATGCCAGGAGCCGGAATGTGACGTCACACCGACACCAGGCACCACTAAGTGGCAGCGATCAGCAGCCCCACTGGACCCCAGGTAAAAATCCACCCAGCTCTCCCAAAGGTAGGGAGTCTGGGTGGATCTAAATTAAATTAAAAGTAAATATTTGTAAATGTTGGGGGGGTGGGGGGAAATGTTTGTCAGTCTGTCAGTTTGTGTGTGTGTGTTTTTCTGTCAGTGAATGTGTTGTTATATCTGTCAGTGTGTCTGAATGAGTGTACTTGTCAGTGAGTATATTTGTCTGTCAATGAATGCGTGTGTGTCTGTCAATGTGTGTTTGTCAGTGAATGTGTGTCAGTGAGTGTGTGCCGGTCAGGGTGTGTCTGAGTGATTGTGTGTGTCTGTCAGGTTGTGTCAAATTAGTAATTGTGTGTGTATCAGATTGTGTCAAATCAGGGAGTGTGTGAGTATGTGTGTCTGCCAGTGAGTGTATGTCAGTGTATCAGAGTGTGTGCGTGTGTGTGTGTATGTCAGTCAAAGTGTTTGTTAGTCTTTAACATGAAGAGTTGTGGCATTGACAGGAAGGAGTGGGGCAAATTTAAATTAGGGAGTGCCTGAGTTCAGTCATGCCTAGGGCAGCACAAATTCAAAATACGCCACTGCGTGTAATACAGAAAAGACTGGACAATGGACAACATAGTTTGTGCAATACAAGACCACTGGAGAATAGACTGGAACTTCACAGAGATCTTTCTATAATGGATGAATTTCATATTCAGAACATATATACATAAATTCCATAAAATATATAGGCAAACAAAGGGGCCTACAATAAACACACGTACTAACATATGGGGGATGTCTTTAGACTATACTAGCCTACAACACATGCGCAAACAAACATAAGAGGGAGTCTCTATAATACACATGTATAAATACAAGAGGGAGCCTCTATAATACACACATATATAAATAGATATTTGAATTCCTATAAAACCCACACAGACATAAAAATAGAAATAAAAGAAAAAAATAGGAGTGTATAAAATCTCACCCTTAAAGAGGTCATATTTCTTAACATGAAGTCTCCAATAATCTGTGTGTCCTTAGCGTGTGCAGATCGACCTTCCCTGGGAATAAATGCATACATACATCTAACAGGACCAAGTAGAAAATCTATTTAATTTAACAGCAAATGCCAACAGTTGTACACACTGTATACACTGACCACCCACAGATTCACACACAATATGAGGTCAGGCAGACCAGATGTGGGGGGGGAGGCAGACCCAGAACATGCATTTCTCAGCAGTGGTGCTACCATAAAGACCAATATTTATACAAAATACAGATTAAGGACCAGCACATACAATTTTTTTATTTTTTTTATTTTTTTAAACAAGGCTAATTTTAAATCACATATCAGCTAACAAATTTGGTGGCTCAGTTCCATAATGTGGCCATATTGTGTTAAGACCACCACTACTTCACAGTACCCCAATATCAGTGGGCTTAACACAATATGGCCATGTGGTGGAACTGAATCCCCATATTTGTTTGTAGTGACAGGCGACTTTAAGAGCCTTTTCACATTTGTCTAAATTTGCTTTCAAACTGATCATTCAGATTTGGAGATCAATGCTGTGCAGTCAATGAGAACTAGTGTAAATTAGGGGTCTACACTAGCGCCAATATATTTATCAATAATACGATAAGCAGTTCGTATGGTACAGCCTATTGAGATGAATTCAATTACTATAGATACAGGGAGTGCAGAATTATTAGGCAAATTGGTATTTTGACCACATCATCCTCTTTATGCATGTTGTCTTACTCCAAGCTGTATAGGCTCGAAAGCCTACTACCAATTAAGCATATTAGGTGATGTGCATCTCTGTAATGAGAAGGGGTGTGGTCTAATGACATCAACACCCTATATCAGGTGTGCATAATTATTAGGCAACTTCCTTTCCTTTGGCAAAATGGGTCAAAAGAAGGACTTGACAGGCTCGAAAAGTCAAAAATAGTGAGATAACTCTCTTTACAGAGGATGCAGCACTCTTAAAATTGCAAAGCTTCTGAAGCGTGATCATCCGAACGACAATCAAAGCGTTTCATTCAAAATATCAACAGAATTACTTAAGAAGCGTGTGAAAAAACCAGAAGCAAAATAACTGCCCATGAACTGAGAAAAGTCAAGTACGCTGCGATGCCACTTGCCACCAGTTTGTATTTCAAACTGCAACATCACTGGAGTGCCAAGCACAAGGTGTGCAATATACTCAGAGACATGGCCAAGGTAAGAAAGGCTGAAAGGCGACCACCCACTGAACAAGACACACAAGCTGAAACGTCAAGACTGGGCCAAGAAGTATCTCAAGACTGATTTTTCTAAGGTTTTATGGACTGATGAAATGAGAGTGAGTCTTGATGGGCCAGATGGATGGGCCCGTGGCTGGATTGGTAAAGGGCAGAGAGCTCAGTCCGACTCAGACGCCAGCAAGGTGGAGGTGGAGTACTGGTTTGGGCTGGTATCATCAAAGATGAGCTTGTGGGGCCTTTTCGGGTTGAGGATGGAGTCAAGCTCAACTCCCAGTCCTACTGCCAGTTCTTGGAAGACACCTTCTTCAAGCAGTGGTACAGAAAGAAGTCTGCATCCTTCAAGAAAAACATGATTTTCATGCAGGACAATGCTCCATCACACGCGTCCAAGTACTCCACAGCGTGGTTGGCAAGAAAGGGTATAAAAGAAGAAAATCTAATGACATGGCCTCCTTGTTCACCTGATCTGAACCCCATTGAGAACCTGTGGTCCATCATCAAATGTAAGATTTACAAGGAGGGAAAACAGTACACCTATACCAGACAGTGTCTGGGAGGCTGTGGTTGCTGCTGCACGCAATGTTGATGGTGAACAGATCAAAACACTGACAGAATCCATGGGTGGCAGGCTTTTGAGTGTCCTTGCAAAGAGAGGTGGCTATATTGGTCACTGATTTGTTTTTGTTTTGTTTTTGAATGTCAGAAATGTATATTTGTGAATGTTGAGATGTTATATTGGTTTCACTGGTAATAATAAATAATTGAAATGGGTATATATTTTGTTTTTTGTTAAGTTGCCTAATAATTATGCACAGTAATAGTCACCTGCACACACAGATATCCCCCTAACATAGCTATAACTAAAAACAAACTAAAAACTACTTCCAAAAATATTCAGCTTTGATATTAATGAGTTTTTTGGGTTCATTGAGAACATGGTTGTTGTTCAATAATAAAATTAATCCTCAAAAATACAACTTGCCTAATAATTCTGCACTCCCTATATGAACCATTTCTAACTCAACAGAAATTATACCACAGACCTCATGAGAAACGTGCTATTCAGTTTCCAGAGAGAAGTCATCTGGGGTTGTATGATACAGCCCAATATATTGGACAACAAAACCATCATCGAGAGTTACTTTATTAAGAGCAACAGAAGAGGAAAGAGTCTGTATTAGAACAGTAAGATTTAACACCTCATATCACTGTATCAGACACAAAAAAGTCATTTAAGGTGCAATCCAGGCAACATAGAACATTTTAGTGTAGTGATTATGTTGTCAAGAGTCTCTTGGGCACAGTCCCTCAGTTCTTATTCAAACCATTTAGGAAGGTTGTTACAAAATGAACCTGAGCATGGATTGGCCATGCACTCTCTGCCGATCACTGCTGTCCACACTGAGCTGTAGTGGTTACGCAGTTTAGACCAGTGTTACCAAACCCAGTCCAGGTTTTGTCGGTATCTCCATAGGAATAAAACAGGGAAATACATAAATCCTGGACTGTTAGTGGTCCATGAGCACTGGGTTGGGGAACACTGGTTTAGACAACCCATTCAAAAAAAATTAGAGGAAGTAAAAAAATAAAAATAAAATAAAAGTTGTGATGACATGCAACGACATGATAAGCTTGTGCATGTTCAGCAACTTCCAAAATTTCCCATTAGTTATCAGTAAATGCCACTAACGCAATAAAGTCGCATTTGCCTCCTACTATCTTGCATGGGTACAGCTTTTGAAAAACCATGGTACTATCATTGTATGCAAAGAAAAAACAAAAACAAAAAAACGATTATTGGTTCATCAAACATACAGACGATGGATATGAATTCATGTTTCTCTGCCAGCAGTTGGGTGGGGTGGCTAAGAAAAAAAATGAGCATCCACCTAACCTACCGGGAAAAGGCAGAACTATAATCTCATCAATCTGGTCGTCTACAGAAAAATTATTCAATCAATTAACAAACCAGATTTCAATTTATGGTTATTTTAGAATTCTTGGGAATAATACAAGAATCATTAGTAATTTATTTATTATGGATCACTAGGAAAACAGACCTTAGCTCATCTTGCAATTTCTGTTACACAATGCTATCTATGGTGGAGACAATGAGATGGTGATACAAAAAGATAAAGCAACATATAGATAACATATAGAGTACGAACCAGAAAGTGAGAACATCCTCAAGTTGTTGGACAAAGTTTTGATGAAACTGATGCACAGGCTCCAAGTTAATAAACAGACGTTTTAATAGTTGTTCTGATGACCCCTGGAAAACTTGTCCTTTATAAAGAGTCCCATGCAGCCACTGCAGAAGCAAGGGACACACACGTAAATTCCATGTCTAAATCATACATTGTGTATATTTGAATATGACAATTCAGCATTAGGTTTACATAGCCCTGAACGAATGAAACTCAATTATCAGCAGTGTGCATCAGCATTTTTCAAAACATAATAACGCACAGATCTCTACAGCTATAAAAAAAACACAGCAACGTGTAGTGTGTTGCACAAATTTCCCCAGCAAAATGATGGCCACTAATGTGAATCACAGAGGCCCTCCGCAATAAAACACACAATAACAAACAGTGTGTGTACAGGACTGGCACGTCCATAAGGTGGCACAAGCGGCCGCCTTAGTACGCTCCAGGCCGGGGGCGCTAGATTAGAGTGACCGGCAGGAGGTGGGCGCACAGCACTCCCTTCTGCCAGTCACTCAGTGTTGCGCACAGTGTAGTGTGCTGAGAGAGCACTTTCTGTCAGTCCAGCCAGGTACAGAAAACTGAAGCTCCTGGACCGCGGTCTGCTCCACTCTGCCACGCTACCAGAAAGGTAGGACACAAATGGGGAACGAAGGGAGGGAAGGAAAAGGAACACTGGGGTAGGGAAGAGGAACACTAAGGGAAAGGGGAGGGGAGAGGAACACTAAAGGACAGGGAAGGGAGGGGAGAGGAACACTAAGGGACAGGGGAGGAAGGGGAGAACCCTATGGGACAGGGGAGGATGGGGGGAGAACCCTATGGGACAGGGGAGAATAAGGGGGAGAACCCTATGGGACAGGGGAGGATAGGGGAAGAACCCTGGACGGGGTGGAGAGAGCGAACACTGGGGGAGAACATTATGTGGAGGGGGCACCAAGGTACAGGGAGGAAAGGGAAAAGGAACACCGGGGTAGGGGAAAGGGACAGGGGAGGGAAGGGAAAAGGAACATTGGGGTAGGGAGGACAACTAAAAGTGAAGGGAAAAAACATTAAGGTGAATGGGGGGCACTAAAACAGGTAAGGGGGGAGAGGAACACTAAGGGACAGGGGAGGGCGGGGGGGAGGAACACTAAGGGACAGGAAGGGGATGGGAGAGGAACATTAAGGGACGGAGACGGGAGAGGAACACTAAGGGACGGAGACGGGAGAGGAACACTAATGGACATGAAGGGGAGGAGAGAGGAACACTAGAGGATATGGAGGGGAGAGTGGCACACAGGTGGCCTGAGTGGGGAGAAAGATACACAGACGGGCCTGAGGGTGAGAAAGACACACAGATGGGCCTGGGGGTGAGAAAGAAACACACAAAGGAGCTGGAAAGAGTAAAAGACACAAAGGGGCTGGGAGAGAAGGAGATACACAAAGGGGCTGGGGGGAGTAAAACACACAATGGGATTTTTTAAGACATACACAAGGGAGGTGTAAGACACACAATAGGGAAAATAGGGTATAGGATACACTAAAGGGGGTAAGACATTTAAAAAAGGGGATAAGAAATAAAAGGTGGGTTAAGAGATACACATGCTTTGAGGGGGGGTGGGGAGGGATTGGCCAGTGTACCCAAAAATCCTTGCACCGGCCCTGAGTGTGTATCAAGGAGCTCTGTAGCAATACAACACAGAGTGAGTAGCGGTGTGAATGGGTGTATCCCAAAGCTCCACAGCACTGAAACAGTAGTAAAGTGCAGTCTGTAAGGTTAGTGCGGATCTCTACAATTTCTTCTGTGGAGATCTGTTAAACAGTTTGTAATAAAGGAAGGCTGAAATAATGCCAAATTTGGTGTTCCAAATATATTTTGAGATGTTTTTCTTTAGCTGCCCTATTTGTGTATAATGTATAAAAGGCAGAGCTTTGAAAAAAATAAATTCCCGGGAGGGTTGATGATGTCCTTGTGTATTTTAGGTAAAATAAATTACCGGTGTTTTTGGATGTAAAACATTAAGATAATTGAATTCTTGTTGATCTAAAATATTAGTTTGTTTACCTTTATCTAAATGTTTAGTTTTATTTTGATGTTGGAAATAGGATCTTTATCTAATTTGATGTATGTATCAGTATTATTGAGTTGTCTATAGGCTTCTTTCTCATAATATTCTTTGGATAAAATAACAAGGCCACCGCCTTTATTGGCAGATTTAATTACTATACTATCATCTTCTTGTAAGGTTTTAATGGCTTCTCTTTCTTTTCTATTAAAGTTACAGTTATAATTTTTTGTTTGTTATTTAGGGTATCTAGATCTTTATGGACTTTTCAAAAGTTTCTAGAGCACTGGATTTGAAATAAGATGGATAAAAAGTTGATTTATTTTATTAAATAAAAAAAAGGTTTTTTAAAATTCAATTCTTCATTATTTTGATTTATTTCTGTTGTATTCGCATTCTTTTTACCTATAAAAGAGCGTTTGAATGTTAAAAAAGGGTCAAAAGTCATTTAGTTCAGTTTCACTTAAAAGTTTATTTGATAGATTAAAAATTCCTGTGTTTTCTTGGTTAATATTTGTAGTATTATTTAAAACCTCTCTATTCTTCCTTTTCTGTTTCTTCTTCCTCTAAAATTCTTCAACGCAGCTTAGGACTTCCGTACATGTGCACTGATCCGATGTCTTCACGCATGTGCACTACAAAACATTTATGAAATTATCACAGCTGCCTTAAATAAATTATTTCCCAACGAGATAGGCGGAAATTCTCATTTGATTTACATACGATCTGCTGGAATAACCAATCATGAATCAGATACTAACTCAAATTGAAATTTGCAAAACAGAAGTCTTCTAAGAAGCCAATCAGAACTTTGCTCATCATCTGTTACTATTAAACATTTATCTATATGAAACAAATTTGCTTCAAAACACCAGTCACACTTCTGATGAAACCTCATGGTGAAACATGTCAAGTGTGTTTTTATTCCCTAATTTTGGTTTATATTTCATGCTTCACATTTTTGTTTATTTCTAGAATAAAGTTAATCCCTGTAAATTTAATAATTTTAAATGCATTTGGTATTTACTTCATATACCCTTGGTTTCCTAAACAGACACTTCCAGACCTGCATTTCCCAGGTGGGGATTGTGCCACCAATGCTCAACTATACTAGAGCAGGTTCATGCGCTCAAAAATGTGAGTAAAATACCTACTATTACTCCAGAAAGTAGTTTTTGTATCTTACATACTATTCTATTGGATATCCTTGTTTGTGTCTTCACATATTGCACTTTATCAAGAAAGTACAACCACTACTGCTGAATACACAAACACCACTGCAGTTTACATATCCTTAGATGGGGATTGTACCATCCACGCCTTCATCAGCAGAGCTCTATTTAGCTCTTTAAAGCCTGAGTGCGCATTTGTCACTATATACTACCTCAAATATTTTATTATATTTATTGCACTTAGATTGTTTGTCTTCTCTTTCTTGTCTTTCTTTTTTAAAGATATTCTACCACCAACAAGCCTCTATTGTTACCATACATATATCTATATCTGTGTGATTTCACCTATAGATCTACATATTATAAGGGCGAATTAACCTTACCTTTGTTTTTTGCACTTAATCATAAAGCATGAACTGGCAAAAAAAACAAACACACAGCAAACATGCCAAAATGGTTTCAGTGACAGACAAAACAGAATCTTAGAAAACCGCAGCCACTATAGGGTTCATGTCTCATCAATTAGCTTGTTGAGAATTCAAAGTATCTTTAGACCACAAACAGTATCCAGAAAATACTAGCATTCTTAAAATGTTTCTGCCTTTGACCTGACCATTCCTCACTTACCACAGTTATGACTTCAATATCTTTCAGATGAGAAGTCTCCGTACTCAGTATTTCCTTGATTATGTAATACGCTTCATCCATCTATAGATCAAGGATGGGACAAACACATTGTTAGGCATCATAAAAAGCTCATGGTACCATGAATTCCCTAGTACTGGTTGAGCATGCTAAACACAGTTTCAGAAACTAACCAATAGGTGGGGAGCCTTGCAGCTAACCAAATTGCTATAAGCCATGCATTGTCAAAGACATTTATTTCCCATTTATTAAGCTTTAGAGAACGTACGCAATGGGGTACAGGAGCCTGAATGACAGAATGAACATTTTGCTTAACAATGAATCATCATAGCAAAATGGAGAAGAAATAAAGAAATTATTATTGGGAGAGGCAGAACAAATGGGTACAAAGACATGGGCGTCCAAGGCTCATGGATGTACATGGTGGAGCGTAGATTAGCCTGTCTGGTACGATCACACAGAAGAGCTACTGTTACTCAAATTGCTGATAAAGTTAATGCTGGCAATTATAGAAAGGTGTTAGAACACACAGTGCATCACAGTTGGCAGTCTTTGCGGCTGCGTAGCCGCAGACCAGTTCGAGTGCCCGTGATAACATCTGTCCACCGCCAAAAGCACCTTCATTGGGGACGTGAGCATTAGAATTGGACCATTGAGCAATGGAAGAAGGTTGCCTGGTCTGGTAAATCACATTTTTTTTTAGATCATTTACCTGGGGAAAACTGGCAACAGGATGCACTATGGGAAGAAGGAAGGATGGCAGAGGCAGTGTTAAGCACTGGACAATGTCCTGCTGGGAAACCTTGACTCCTGGCATTAATGCGGATGTTACTTTGACATATACCCCCTACCTAGAGATTGTTGCAGACCATGCACATCAACTCATGTCAGTTGTGTTCCCTGATGGCAGTGGCCTCTTTCAACAGAATAATGCACCCTACCACACTGCGAACATTTTGCCCATTTGAGTGAAGATGTTGGGAGCATCAGCTCAGGAGTAACTGTACTGCAGGAAGCTGTTCCTTCTAACAGCCGTGGGAACAACCCCTCTAGTATGGGTGAAGTTGAGACGGTAAGAAAGGCTAGACAGGTTGTGGTGGCAGGGGACTCTTATTAAGAGAGTAGATGGGGTAATCTGCCACTCTGATCGTCTCAACCGGACAGGTTGCGGTCTCCAGAGTGCTCGGGTCCGGCATGTTGCCGACAGAGTGGAGGGATTATTGGGAGGGGCTGGAGATGACCCAGCTGTCATGGTCCATATTGGTACCAATGACAAAGTCAGAGGAAAATGGTAGGTCCTAAAGAATGAGTTCAGGGAACTAGGCTAAAGAAAAGGACATCCAAAGTAATATTTTCAGAAATATTGCCTGTGCCGCGCGCTACAGCAGAAAGGCAGCGGGAAATTAGAGAGGTCAATGCGTGGCTGAAGTCTTGGTGCAGGAAAGAGGGTTTGGGGTTTTTAGAGCACTGGGCCGATTTTGTGCTTGGGTACATCCTGTATAGCAGTGATGGATTACACCTAAACGAAAGAGGGTCTTCTGTGCTGGGGGATAGGAAAGCTAGAAGGTTGGAGGAGATTTTAAACTAGTAGTGGGGGGGAGAGGGGGGGTCAAAGCAATCTAGAAAATGCAGATAGGATAGAAAGGAGAGGGGCTTTAGCTCAGTATATTGGGGTGGAGATGGGGAGGGGGAAACTCAGAACACAGGAGGTATGTAATATTGATCATTCACAAAAAGTACAAATGACTCATGATAATATTAAATGTATGCTTACTAATGCAAGGAGCATATATAACAAAATGGGGGAACTAGAGGCAGTAGCATACACGAAACAATATGATATAATAGGCATAACAGAAACATGGTGGGATGAGACATGACTGGGCAGTTACCTTAAATGGGTACACATTATTTAGGAAGGATAGGAAAAACAAGAAGGGTGGTGGGGTATGTTTGTATGTCAACCATGAGTTAAAGTCAAATCTTAGGCATGTGGAGTGTGACAAGGAAAATGTGGAAGCTTTATGGGTAGATATCTGCTTGGGGCAAACAAAGGGAAATCAATTATTGGTTGGGATATGTTATAAACCACCTAATGTAAATATTAATGAGGAAGAACAGCTGCGAGAGCAAATTTGGAAAGCTGCAAATCGGGGTAACACGTTAATTATTGGAAATTTTAATTACCCAGACATAAATTGGGATAGAGTGACTAGTAATTCAGCAAAGGAAATCAGGTTTTTGAAACAGTTAATTGACACCTTCATGTCACAACTGGTACAAGCACCAACTAAAAATGATGCTTGTCTGGATCTCGTAATCAATAAAAATGTTGATCTTTTGACCAACATTCAAGTAGGGTGGCATTTGGGAAATAGGGATCACAATATGGTAATTTTTAAAATAAACTCAAAAAAGCAAAAGCACGTGGAGTAAACTAAAATCGTATAAATTTAAAAAAGCCAATTTCAATAAGATTAGGGCAGCTCTACAACATATCTACTGGCATAAACTCCTTTGTGAAAAAAATACTAAGGATAAATGGAAACACTTCAAACAAATATTAGAAAGGTACATTTCTCAGTATGTACCATTGGGTAATAAATATAAAAGAAACAAACAAACCAATGTGGCTTAGTAGAGAAGTAAAACAAGAGAGATTAAAAATAAGAAAAGGGCATTGAAAGCATTTAAAATCAGACAAATCATAGGCATCCTATATAAGATTGAAGGAAGCCAATAATACTTGCAAAGAGGCAATTAAAGTGGCTAAATTAGAAAATGAGAAATTGATAGCCAAATAATGCAAAACCATCCCAAAATATTTTTTTCAAGTACATCAATTCTAAAAAAAACAAACAAGAAATTAAAGTGTAGGTAAACTGGAAACAGAGATGGGTCTGTTAGTTAATGAAGACCAGGAAAAGGCAGAAATTTTAAATAACTTTCTTCAATATATATATTTTTAAATTCTTTATTTTTCCGTGCATGAGTTAACATAACAATCATTCATGCCATGCCCCATGACATATACAGCTAGGTATCATGGTCGGGAGCGGCCATCTCACTCGCGCCATCCATGCTGGTAGGCTGCGACCTCCGAGTTTGTGAGGCCGGTGAGTAACACCACATATTTGGTATCGTCGTGTAGGTCTCCCAGTCCTCTGTCGTTTGGGCGGCAAGTTAAGTCGATTTAGCTTGGCAACGCTGGAGCTACGGACAGACACGTCTGTTCAGCTCTACAGTCAGATCCCGCCCCTCTTCAGTATATTTTAATGAGGATCCTATGGCAAGAGATATGCAAATGATTGCTGCAAAAAACTTGCAGATAACTTGTGATTGGATGACTCGTGACAAGGTGCTACAGCAGTTCAAGAAAATTAATGTAAATAAAGCTCCGGGGCCTGATGGTATTCACCCATGAGTACTTAAGGAGCCAAGTTGGGAAATAAGTGAACCTTTGTATTTAGTCTTTCAATATTCTTTTGTTTCAGGTATTGTACCGGAGGATTGGAGGAAGGCAGGTGTGACTGGGAAAATATTTGAAGGGCTATTAAGGGATAATATTCAGGAATTCATTGGGAAGAACTTTGTTATTCGCAATAATCAGCATTGTTTTATGAAACATAGGTCATGTCAAACAAAAATAATTGCATTCTACGAAGAAGTAAGTAGAAGTATAGATCAGGGTGTTGCAGCGGATGTGATCTACTTGGATTTTGCCAAGGCATTTGATATGGTTCCTCACAATAGGTTAGTCTTCAAACTAAAAGAAATTGGTCTAGATGATTATTATTCTTGGGTAGAACATTGGCTTAAGGATAGAGTACGAGAGGTCATTAATGGTAAATTTTCAGGCTATACAAAAGTGGTAAGTGGTGTCCCTCAGGGTTCTGTTTTGGGACCGCTTCTATTGAACATATTTATAAATAATCTTGAAATAGGCATTGAAAGCCATGTGTTTACAGGGGACACAAAACTATGTAAAGTAACAAAATGTGAGCAGGATATTGCTTTGTTGCAGAGGGATTTATATCGATCAGGGGACTGGGCACTAAAATGGCAGATAAAATTTTATGTAGAGAAAGGCAAAGTTATACACTTCGAGGTCAAGAATGCACAAGCAACTTACACCCTAAATGTTAGTGAATTAGGGATAACCATACACGAGAAAGATTTGGGAATTGTTATAGACAACAAATTAGGCAGCAATATGCAATGTCAATTTGCAGTTGCTAAGGCCAGTAAGGTTTTGTCATGTATAAATAGGGGCATTAATTCTCGGGATTAAAATATAATTTTGCCTCTTTATAAACCACTGGTAAGACCACACTTTGGATATGCTGTGCAATTTGGGGCACCTGTTTTAAAGAAGGATATCATGGCACTAGAAAAAGTGCAGAGGCGGGCTACAAAATTGATAAAAGGAATGGAGCATTTTAGTTACAAAGAAAGGTTAAAAGATTTAAATCTCTTTAGTTTGGAAAAATGGTGCCTCAGAGGGGATAAGATAACATTTTACAAATATATCTGGGGACAGTACAAACCATTATCTGGAAATCTATTAATAAAACAGGGCTATACATAGGACACGAGGTTACACATTTAGGCTGGAAGAAAGATTTCATCTAAAGGCAAAGTAAAGTTTTTTTTGTTGTTTTTTTACACCGTAAGAGCAATAAGGATATGGAATTCTCTGCCTGAAGAGGTGGTTTTATCCGAGTCCATACAGATGTGCTCAGATCACCTACAGCTGGAAGGAAAGGCCTTATGCATGTCTGAGTTTCTGCAAGTCTGAGTTTTAAAAGACCACTAGCAAACCTGAACAGTGCTCAGATCACCTACAGCTGGAAGGAAAGGCCTTATGCATGTCTGAGTTTCTGCAAGTCTGAGTTTTAAAAGACCACTAGCAAACCTGAACAGTGCTCAGATCACCTACAGCTGGAAGGAAAGGCCTTATGCATGTCTGAGTTTCTGCAAGTCTGAGTTTTAAAAGACCACTAGCAAACCTGAACAGTGCTCAGATCACCTACAGCTGGAAGGAAAGGCCTTATGCATGTCTGAGTTTCTGCAAGTCTGAGTTTTAAAAGACCACTAGCAAACCTGAACAGTGCTCAGATCACCTACAGCTGGAAGGAAAGGCCTTATGCATGTCTGAGTTTCTGCAAGTCTGAGTTTTAAAAGACCACTAGCAAACCTGAACAGTGCTCAGATCACCTACAGCTGGAAGGAAAGGCCTTATGCATGTCTGAGTTTCTGCAAGTCTGAGTTTTAAAAGACCACTAGCAAACCTGAACAGTGCTCAGATCACCTACAGCTGGAAGGAAAGGCCTTATGCATGTCTGAGTTTCTGCAAGGTAGACTATGGAGGAAACTATCTACCCTTAATACTGGACACTATAATTGTATTGAATTTGAACCCCTTGCATATTTTTAAACTATATATCTCTAACCACCATTTCTTTGTCATTGTATCTTAACTGGACGTGCTTGCTCTTTAGTGTGTGTGTGTATATATATATATGTGTGTATATATATATATATATATATATATATATATATATATATATATATATATATATATATATATATATGTGTGTGTGTGTTTGCTCATACACACATATATTCTGCAGTTTGTCTTGTCCTGCATGCTAAAGCTAGTTGCTCCCTGCCCTGCTCAACATTGGTTTTGTTAACTTAAATGTTATTCAACATCCTGCTTATCTCTAAAGATTTTCTCTGTTATTTCTTCTCCCCCCCCCTTATTTTATTGATACCCACCCGAATGTCTTGCTTGACCAATCCTCACCTCCTCTGTGCATCTCCATTCCATAGCTTTTATTGCAGTCCTGTTTTGACCCTATCATCTCTGTCTTCCACAGTCTGAGTTTTAAAAGACCACTAGCAAACCTGAACAGTGCTCAGATTCCCGCCCACCCCTCCCCTCACCACCCCACCCCAAGTTCCTTACTACATTTATAGATAGAATCCCACACACAACTTTAGTTAATTCCAAATAGCAGCTGCAAACACTACCCATAATGAGCACAATCCACCTTCTTAACCCCTAACACTCACTCCTTCTCCTCCCTTATGCTCATTCTCCTTTCCTCTAATTACCTACCCAATCAGAGCAATGCTCTATATTCTCCTTCTCTCTCATCTCCCTAAGGATCAAAATATCCCCTTCCACCCACTTCCCTCAACAAAACACTAACATTTACATTAATCCCTCTCTGCTACACTCCCCCCTTCTCTCATCTCAAGCCCTGCACTCATTTCTCTATTCTCTCTCTCCTGCTCTAACCCAATCTCACCCTAGTCGCCGCCCATATAAAACCCACTCACACCTCCTGTCTCTATCTCTCCTCCTACTTCTGGCAGCTGGTGACATCTCTCCCAACCCAGGGCCCCTCACCTCATCTGCTCACACTAAAATAACCAGAAACCATGCAAACCTCCTCCAAATACCCTGCAGTCTATCCTCCTCTACCAAAATTCAGTGTGCACTCTGGAATGCTCGCTCCATTTGTAGTAATATCAAATCTACAGCTATACATGACCTCCTCATCTCTAACTCTCTCACAATACTGGCACTCACTGAGACCTGGCTATCTCCATCCAATACCACTACTCCTGCTTCTTTATGTTTCGGTGGTCTACAGTTCTCCCATACTCCTAGACTTGACTGTAAAGGAGGTGGTGTAGGCATCCTTCTCTCCCCTGAATGCACCTTTCAACCTATCCTCCCTGCCCCTGCCCTATCCTTTACTTCCTTTGAAGTTCACACTGTACGCCTTTTTAAGCCCACTCCTTTAAGAATTGCCATCATCTATCGCCCCCCCGGTCACCCTAAACTATTCATTGAACACTTTTCCTCCTGGTTACCCCACTTTCTTTCCTCTAGCACTCCCTCTCTCATACTTGGGGACTTCAATATCCCTATCAACAAGCTCAATTGCCCTGATGCCTCTCGTCTGCTCTCAGTAACCTCCTCCTTTGGACTCACACAGATTTCCTCCTCAGCAACTCACACTGCAGGAAACACTCTTGACCTCATCTTCACCAATCTCTGTACTACCTCTGATCTCGCCACTGCTCCATTTCCTTTGTCTGACCACCATCTGCTAACATTTAACATCTGCATACCCCATACCAAAATCTCACCACCGTCCACTCTCCAACCTCGCAGAAACCTCAACTCTCTCGATCTCCAGCACTTCTCCACTAAACTCCAAACACTCCTTTTACCCATCTCAAATCACAACTGCCCTAACTCTGCAACCTCACTCTACAACTCCACTCTCTCCTCTCAACTTGACATCATGGCACCTCCTACAGTTAAACGCAGCAAGCGCCCCCAACTACAACCCTGGCACACCAAGCTGACCCGTTACCTCCAAAAATGTTCCAGAACTGCTGAACGCTGCTGGAGAAAGTCTCACTTTGCATCTGACTTTGTCCACTATAAATTTATGCTGCGCTCCTACAGCATGGCTCTTTCCTCTGCAAAAGTAAGCTACTTCAACACCCTCATAAGCACACTGTCCCACCAACCCAAACACCTGTTTCACACTTTTGATGCACTTCTTCCACCACCTTGTCCGCCACAAACTTTGCATCTCATTTCACTGACAAGATCTCTACAATCAGGAAAGAGATCTCTAATCTTTCTCCAACCAGTATCAATACATCACCCAACCCCTCTCCCCCTGTCATCCTAAGCTCATTTGCACCTGCTACAGCACAAGAGGTTTCTGCTCTGCTCCTGTCCTCCCGCCCCACCACCTGCTCCCTCGATCCTATTCCCTCGCATCTCATCCGCACTTTGTCTCCCTCTCTTGCTCTTCCTCTCGCTAACATTTTCAATCTCTCCCTTTCCTCTGGCACATTTCCCTCTGCCTTCAAACATGCAACCGTAACCCCAATTCTGAAAAAGCCCAACCTTGATCCCAACTCCCCATCCAACTACCGCCCTATCTCGCTACTGCCATTTGCCTCCAAGATCCTCGAGAGAGTTGTCTACGCCAGATTGACAGACTTTCTTGAATCCAACTCTCTGCTTGACCCCCTTCAGTCTGGATTCCGCGCTGGTCACTCTGTCGAAACTGCTGTGACCAAAGTATCCAACGATTTAATTGCTGCTAAATCTCGCGGCCAATACTCTATCCTAATCCTCCTTGATCTTTCTGCCGCCTTTGACACTGTTGATCATCAACAGCTTCTTCACATTCTCCGTAACTTTGGTCTACGGGATTCTGCTCTCTCCTGGTGCTCCTCCTACCTCTCCCAGCGCTCCTTCAGTGTTTCTTTCTCTGGCTCTGCCTCTTCTCCCCAACCCCTCCCTGTCGGCGTCCCCCAAGGTTCTGTCCTCGGCCCCCTACTGTTCTCTATCTATACTGCCTCCCTTGGTAAACTCATCAGCTCTTTTGGCGTCCAATACCATTTATATGCAGATGACACGCAAATCTACCTGTCCTCCCCTGATCTCTCTCCGCCCACCTTGACTTGTGTTTCTGACTGCCTCTCTGCTATTTCCAACTGGATGGCTGCTCACTTCCTTAAACTCAACCTGTCCAAAACAGAACTTCTAGTTTTTCCTCCCTCAAGTGCTGCTACTCCTGTGTCTGTCGCCATCCAAGTCAACGGCGCTACTATCACCTCTACCTCCCAGGCTCGCTGCCTAGGGGCTCTTTTTGATTCTGATCTCTCTTTTACTCCCCATGTTCAATCGATAGCCAAATCCTGTCGCTTCCAACTCAAGAACATAGCGCGCATCCGCCCATATCTAACGCCGGAGGCGGCTAAGGTACTGGTTCATGCTGTTGTTCTCTCTCGCCTTGACTATTGCAATCCCCTTCTCACCGGTCTTACGTGTTCCCAGCTTGCACCGCTGCAATCTATAATGAATACGGCTGCGAGGCTTATTTTCCTGTCCGGTCGCACCTCCCACGCCTCCGCGCTCTGTCAGTACCTGCATTGGCTTCCAGTTAGATATAGGGCCCAATTCAAAATTCTGGCGCTTGCTTACAAATCCCTACATAATGCTGCTCCAACATACCTATTCTCCCTCATACACAAGTATGTCCCGACGAGACCCCTGCGCTCAGCCCAAGACCTACTCCTATCCTCTGCCCGGATCCCCACCTCTGATGCTCACCTTCAAGACTTCTCCAGGGCTGCACCTATTCTGTGGAACTCCCTTCCCTCCTCAATCAGACTTTCACCCAGCCTCCATTCCTTCAAAAAATCTTTGAAAACTCACTTCTTTATTAAAGCTTATCAATTAAAAGGTCAGCAGGTTTCTCATCCCCCACCCCATGACTCCGTTCCTTCACCCGTCAAAAATGACCTACCAAGCACTCAATAAACCCTTCTGTAACAAACTATTTAATTCCCCTACTTCAACCCTTTGTGTCACTATACCCCACTCCCTCTAGCATGTAAGCTCGAGCAGGGCCCTCAACCCCCTCTGTTCCTGTACGTCAGTGGTCTGATCTCAATTATGTGTCTGTTAGTCCACCCAATTGTACAGCGCTACGGAATTTGTTGGCGCTATATAAATAATATAATAATAATAATAATAATAATGTTTAAACAGCAAATGGAAAAATACTTATAAAAACATGACATACAGGGATAGAATTTCTAATAAGTGGGGAAATAGCTGCTTGATCCAAGGAGATATCGGACTGCTATTTTGGGGTCAAGAAGGAATTTTTTTCCTAGTTTGTTGCAAAATTGGAAGGCTTCATACTGCATTTTTCTGCCTTCGTTTGGATCAACAGCAAAAACATATGTGAGGAAGGCTGAACTTGATGTACGCAAGTCTCTTTTCAGCTATGTAACTATGTAAATTGTCCATAAATGGTTTAAGGAACATGACAAAGAATTCAAGGTGTTGCCTTGGCCTCCAAGATTTCAATCCAATTGAGAATCTGTAGGATGTGCTGAAACAACAAATCCATTCCATGGAGGACCGACCTTCGCAACTTGTAGGACTTAAAGGATCTGCTGCCAGATACCACCGACCTGCTCAGAAGTCTTGTGGAATCCATGTCTTAACTCAGTGCTGCTTTGGCAGCACAAGGAGGACCTACACAATATTAAGCAAGTGGTTTTAATGTTGTAACTAATCAGTGTATCTTGCAGGGGTTGTGGCTATACAGGAACATACATCCACATGTGGTGGTAATGCCTCTTTTATAGTTAAGGTTAGGGACCAAATTAAAAGTTTATTACCAAGGGTGTTTGGTTGATCACTTGAAATTGATCTATGGTCCACTGTCAAATTTATTTTCCAGGCCAATTGTCCATTGCCATTCTTATTATCCTCGGCACTCCCAAAATCTCTTGCTGCCAGGAGGGCTGGGACTGCTGGTCGACTCAAACAGAAGATGCCTACCTTTACGAGTATTTATGGATAAAACCAAGGATAACCTTTTCATGGACTAACTTACAGCCACTGTTCGAGGAAACATCCGCATTAAGGTGCCTTTATGCCTTGTTCAAAGCCATCTTGATTATAGGCTCTTCTGTACTTGTCAGGAATGACGTAAATTCTACCACGCTGACTTTTATGTACTATCATGTGCCACACCGTTTTCTACCTTGTTCCCATAGGTTTCAGGAAAAAAATTTGGATTGGATTTACTAAATTACACTCTTATATAAAAAATAATAAAAAGTATAACACAATTCTCTGTCCTGTCCTCATATTAGGGGACAAAAAGATCCAATGTATCATGATAAAAGCGAGGAAGGGGTAAATCCACAATTGCACTATTTAAAGAATAGTATTCCATCTTTAGACTGGCAGGGTTATTCACTTAAGTGAGAATTCAAAGTGAATTTCAAGGGACATCCACTACTTTGAGATAACTCGCTCATTCAATGGCTTTAATTTTTAATGAGACCATTGCCTCACTCTGCGGGCCAATAAAGCAGGAAAATAGGATTTCCCCTCCCCATATTTACCTGCTTCTTTTTTTATGATTTCCATACCCACTGCAGGGGGGACTCTGACTTAACCAGTCTGTGTCCTATCCCTAGGGGAATGCTGGAAAAAAGCTCTTCATCTTGCAACATCCTGACACGGGGAGAAGAGAGAGAGTCTGATTGGTGTGATTCATGCAGAGAACGGTCAATTGTTAAGTTTCTCTCCTTCTGCTGCACAATGATGCCCCGGTTTCTATCATTAGTGGACTGGTCTTAAACTGTGATGGATGGGAAATGCTGGAAAGAGGCGTGCCCAACAAAGATATCTGACCAAGTTTAAAAATGTTTGTTACATACTTTTCAAAGTTTTTATTTAAAAGTGTTTGCTTGCTTGTTTGAAAAAAATAAATAAAATAATTGTCAAGTGATGCATGTCCTTTTATGGCTAAATTATGCAAAATGAAAGCATAGCTTACTTTGAGAGTTTTCCAGTTTGGCTATTTTTAGCTTAAATTTGCACTTGACTTTGACAAAGAAGAAAAGGTTTCCCATTACAGCTATTTTTGTTAAAATGTTAATTTCACTTAGAATTCACCCTATCAGTCTTATTCACTAAAAAAACATAGAACTGGTGCAATGTGATATTGGAATTGCAAAATTTAAGATAATACAGTTAAGAAGACTGATAATTTTCCCAAATCAGCTATTTTAGCCTCAACTTTTAATTCTGGATTTTTTATTAGGCACAACCTAGAATTTATTGAATAAACCCATGGATCCTCACCTTGCTCACTGTAGACTCTTCAACAATGTCAACTCTGTGACTACCAGAATCACTTAACGCTGGACTCAATAAGGGAGATCTACCATTTTGGGTATAAGAAAAAGGAAACTTCTGAGATACAGGAGACAGATGATAACCTAGAAAGACATAGGAAAGGTGTTAAATTGCAGAAGACACAGGTACTCTAAAACACAAACTCTAGCAAGTAGGGTGACAATTTTAAAGTTAGAGGGTTTTTGGAACATTTGAAAGAAGTACTTTCTATACAGCTATAGTAGGATATGTGAGAGAATGTATCTGTTATTTAAAAGTTATTCTCAAATTAGTAATGTAAAAGTCACATCAGGAAGAATATTTATCATTAAAGTGTTCAAACTAATGTTAGTTAAGACATATACAACATGCACAATCAACATCAGGAAAACAGATTCATCCTCAGCAATCACGTCATTCCATTGCAGTATGAAATCTAGCAAACAGAGTACAGTAAGATGCAGTCACAAGCAAAAATTAAGGAAGATAATCAGACTGACAAAGAAAACCACCAAAAACAAAATCGTAGGAATTAAGAACAGTGAGAAACCAAGCCAAAAGATATCAAACAAGAGAACTCAATCACCAGGAACTTGTTTTAACAAAAGATAAAGAGATGCAGACGAACAAAGAAGAAAGTAGCAGCTGACCGTGCAGATGCTCAGACCCAGTTTGTTTAAAGAAGGGAATTATCCATCCACAGACCTCTCCATGCCAAAAAACAGAATATCCAGGATTCAGTGGTGTTCAGATGTGTGGCAACAAACAACTCACCAGATGTTTATTCCAGGGCATACAGCTGTGGATCAGGACGTTAATTCCAAGCTGGGCGCAAAACTGTATTCCATATGTGTAAAAGTTTGTACACGTTTCCTGCAGTGCTTTGATCTTCCATTAACAGTGAGTTGACAAGTCTTTACTTTTTTTCTTCAAAGGTTCAATTGGCAGTGAGAAAGCAATTTAAAGATGCACATAAGTTGATGATCAAACTATCCAAAACTCTGCTACACATGCAGTGAAGGTGAACAGAGAATGTACAGATCAAGGAGTTAGTTTGGCCGGTTTTTATACCAGAGTATAAAAGGCAATCCCACAACTTCGAACTGTTTAAGGTTTTGGTAATGGTTCATGGATTTCCAAATTCTGACGTGTGCATATGGAACCCTGTAACTTTGTATTGCACGGATTGTGTGTCCCAAGACACAAATGAAAAAGAGCAAAACCTCAGGTATAGATTTTCTGGTGAGAAAATAATCCAATATAAATTGGTAGCATTTTAAAAAAATATTTAAGTACAGAGTTGAGAAATGTGTTTTTAACATGACATCATATGAAGGGATAAAAAAACCAAACAAACACCCACTGACATATTGGACTTTGCCTTACTCAATATGACATGGTCCTCCAATAAGTAACGCTGGCAAGGTATAAACCACCACGATGCTTAGATTGGACATGACTGGCTGGGTATGGTTCAATAGTCACAGCTTTTCCATTTGGAAAACAAGCAATAGTGTAATTTTATCACCTGATTCTTTTACAATCACCCCTATTTACTACTGCAACCTTTTTTTGCTAGAGTGTACTCCACTACGTCAATTTTTCAATCCAGTTCCCCAAGGCAAGGCACATGAACGGTTGAGGTTTTGTCAGCATCAATACCGAAACAAAAGTGAGACATGCCTACACCCTGCACTGTTAGTATACCTTGTACACTGGGTTTGGGAACACTGCTCAAGATGACTTCATAGACCTGCACTGCCTTGGGAAAAACAGTAAAAAATAAAATAAAATAAACACTATTTAAATGCCCATATAATGCATTAAAAAGTGGATAAAATCAAACTTTGGTCATTTATCAAGATATTTTTGTATTTTTTTTTATTCCTGGAAGATTTAAAATGAGTAAAAGATGCTACACTCCTATTTCATATGTATATATGTAATAAATAATACCTGAATTGGCATGTACGAACACACACACACACACACACACACACACACACACACACACACACACTGGGTGAAATAAAACACTAAGAAATTGTGTAAAAGAGGAGTACCAATACTTTTTATTACAGATGCATTTGGTAATAAACAATAAATGTTACAGTTTAAAAAAAAAGAAAAATTAAGGAAATGTTTTTCCTGCATATAGATAAAATTGGCACTGGTAATTTTTAAAATCCCTAAAGTTTCACAAAGGCACAGACATCTGGTTCTACAGTAAACTGAACAGTAATCACAAGGCAGAACATTTTGAAAGGTAGGCTTTCAGAGACTATGGGTTTTATTCCATAAACTGTGAATTGCGATGGAAAGAGAAAATTTTACTTCAAGCTAAAAATAGCCAAACTGCACTACGGAACAGCTGGGCAATTTTTTCAAATGAGATATTCCTGCCTATATTTTATATTTTTGCTCACTCTTCACTACCATTTATTATTTATTACCCCTTCTGGACTAAACTTCTGGAATAAAAGGGAATCATGACATGTCACACGTCATGTGTCCTTAAGGGGTTAAAGAAATTATGCAGGAGGGTTACAAACCGTGGCTCTAACAGGCTAGTAAGTAGCGATGTCCCAGTACAGCCACCTAGAATCACCAAGGACGTGTCTCAGAAATCAAATCATCAAAATCTAAATGTTTGTGTCAATCTAAAGAACTTAAAGAAAATATAGTATTCCAAAATAAACTGGCTTATCTGTATGGAGTGAGTAGTATAATCAGTGAGTATCGGTCCCCCATGGGTGAGCCTTGTGATATGACACATATCTGAGGTGGAAGGAGTGTTCATTTATGTTTTCACAATTCAGAAATCTATTATCTATCCCAAGTGTGCGGTAAATGGATACTTATTTGCCTATTTTTTGTTGTTACAAAATTAAAAGTAAACAATTAAAATATAAAAAATGATGTATATGCCATGTGCTTATTTTTGTCCAATGAAGTGCTATTTATTACATTCAGTTTATCTGCAGACAGAAATACAATAGCTGTACATAGACAGGATAACAGTAACATATCTATAGTTTGCACGGTATTCGATCTCTCTATAGATATGTAGTTATGAACAACATTGTCATGAACATGTGCAAGTGTTTGAGACATTAGATATTTGGAATGGGGTATTTAATATAAAGCAACCCTGGTGCTGAAGAGGTAGCATTAAATAGAAAATCCATTTTTATAATTTAGTAAGAGTTTTGTATATTAAAATATGACCCGTTTACGATCTAAACACGGTTGACTCGATCTGCGGTATCCTCATATTGTGCCACTGATGTGACAAGGGAGTACTTTAATGTCAGATTAATTTCTCACGATGATTGTACTTGTTAAAATTTTAACCAAATCAAACATTTTAAAATCAAAAGGATAACATGAAGCATACAAACTGGAATACTGTATTCCTGATAGAGGTTTGCAAGAAAAAAAAATGTGATATACACCTCACTATAGTTTGTTTAACAAAATACATGTCACATGCTGAGATTACTCATGGTGTAACAAAGCAACAAAGAGTCAGCTTTGGCTAACTTTTTCAACCCCGGGTTTAACATCATGACAATTCTTCACGAATGGCTGGAACTCCGATTGACCTCATTAAGCCATTTTTCACCCTTAATAGGTTTCAAATACGTTACAATACTTGAATAGCCCTCCTACAAAACAAATATTAGAACTATAGTAGGCAAGTAGCTGGCCTGACACAGAAGCAACCATTTGCTGCAATTTAAAAATCTATAGACATTATTATAGAGATAAAAGTTTAGAAATTCTAAATCGTGCTAAATATAGTAGTACCTTATAAACCTTTCCTCTCTAGGCCATTAGTTCAGCCAACCATGGCACATTGCACAAATTGCCATTTACCTTTGCTTGTATGGGTATGTCGGGAAGTTTAACAGTGCCCAACACAGATCAACAAAGAGGACCCGTGGGTCTTGTGACGGGGTATTTAGTGTGGTGTGTAATGCATTTCCTTAGAATAGTTTCTGCTTCATCTCCGAAATAGATGGAAGAGTTTCACTTTGAAGCATTACGTGATTATGCTGAACGTTAATGACCTTGAAGAGTTTTATTTTTATATGAATATCTGTACCCGAACAATGTTGCGAGATAGTACACTACTTACCGGTTGTATAATAGCATATAACCTAAACAGGTCTGATTACCTCTACAACTGAACATAAAATCAAAACAAAGCAAAAAAACAAAAAACCCTTGCCCCCACAAAAATTTAAAACACAAACTGTGCTTTATGTTAACTTTACACAGAAATTTATAATATGCTATCATTTACCACCAGAGCATAAATGTAACGGTTTAGTTTGTAGCTAGCTTGACAAAGGGATCCTACCCATTTGTTTGGCACAATTCTATCAAAGCACATGATTTACAAACTAGGAGAGCACTGTTGGTCTGGACATGAAATTTGATGTATATGCACCAAAATACACTGCATAAAACTGCACCTCGCAATATCTGGGATGAGTAAAGCCTCTTGAAATCTGGGTTATGTAAACCTTTGGCAAATCTGTAGAACATCTGATTTTTGGTTATAAATCCATCACAGTCCCTTGCCAGAGACATAAAGGCTATAGTATGAATTCTATAATGCAGCCCATCCCACGCTTTTAAACTGTAACGAAATCACCATAACAGACTAAGCGGAGAGAAAGCCAAATCCCTTGAAATATAGTATTACAACCATAGCATCCAATGTCCCAAGCTGAGTTTTGTTATTGAAAATAAAAAGGCTGGTCACCCACTAAATCATGGCTCATATACAAAAGATAAATGACAATTAAAGGCAACTTTCAATGTAGATTGTTACATCAGCCATTTAACGTGGTTGAGAAGACATGGAGATGTCCAATCGACATCCTACTCCACTATCCACAACACACAAATTCAAGCTGCAAGATATTTTGTGACCGCACATAAAGTGACACGTGAAAACCGTGTATATAAAAAGTGAGCTACATCAAGACAACATGCTACTACAGGAAAGATTACAAATTAATAATTGAAACAAAGAAAGGAAATTAAAAAAGGAAAGTGACAGTGACCGTGTAGTAGTGCGAAAGTACAGAGCCACAGCTTCATGGGTGACCTAATTCTATGGTTCATTGTATAAAGAGGTAGGGGGTTAGTATGCTAAATAACAAGGTTGCTTGCATAAATACAAGCATTATTATAGATCATTCTTTACATTTGCTATAGGAAATCACTCTTCTTCAGCCCAACATTCCAGAGCATAAAATTAAATCTACCACTGACTCCAACATTAGATTATATGTATATACATAGGAGTTTGCTGAGATTAGTTCTTCTAGTTTCAAAAAGAACAGACTTCTAGAGTTTGCTCACATAATCACAAGTGAACATCTACAATTAGGTTCCACAAACCTTTTTTGCTCATTAAAAAAAGCCACCAACTGGATGACAGCAGAAAACTGACCGAGGGAAAGATTTTTTTGAGGAGACCCATTACAGTAGATATCAAATATCTGGAATATCCCTCTTATCCTGCACACCCAAATGATTTAAATTAGCATGATAATTTGTTAGAGGGTTGCTAAAAAATAAATTGATATCTAGAGGAGTTTCCTCCTCAGAGTCCCACGAGTCTCCTTCCGAGCTGCTAGAGTCCTCAGTTGTTGTAGGAGGATAACTCAGCTGTTCCAGTTGGTCCAAGATGTCTCCAAATTGGAAGGCAGAGCTTGATTCGGAACGTACAGAGCAGGCTGGGAAGTTTATCATAGAGCTAGCAGTGGAATGATTGGCAGAGCGAGAATAAGGAAGCATCCCGTTCAGGTTGGAGAGGGAGCTGCTCTCTGAACGATGGTGGAGTAGGGAGCTGCTCTCTGAACGATGGTGGAGAAGGGAGCTATTTTCTGAGGGGCTAAGGAGGCTCTGCATGAGGCTAGCTTGTGCCTTCACTTCAAACAGCTCTGTTGCATCTGTAGGCCTTGGATTGCCATTGAAGTCCCTTGCATCTATTTCCTCCATGTAGAAGTCATCTAATTGAAGCTCTTCATGGACAGGTGACACACCTCTTCCACTGTAATTGTATAACTCTGCCCCACCACCAAACGATATGTCAGCTGGATCATCATCTATAAACTCTTCAGTCAAAAGGAGAGAGTCAGAAGCTTCTGACACCCACAACCTGACATTCTCTACCTGCTGAGAATTTTCTATATCATAGATACATCCTTGATCTGGTCTACTAAGCAAAGAAGGATTGGGAGGTGTTGAAAGACCTTGGATAGTAGACTGTGATGTCTGTCCCACAGCTTCTGGAACTGCTCGGACTGGTTCCTCTTCTGGCAGAGAACCTGAGATGTCATTGTTTTTAGGCTGGCTTTTTTGGAAAGAAGACATGACTGGGATGGACTGTGGCATCAGGGTAGGTGGAGAATGTGATGGAACGCTTACACTCTCAGTGAAAAAAAAGTTCTGCAAGTAGAAAAACAAAACAAGTTTAAACAAAATCTGTACGAATATCAAGGAATAGTTAAACAACAAAATTAAACCTCCAAACCACAACTCTAATGTTCTCAGAAATTACAGCTCAAACACCTTAATTGAAATAACTTTTTTTCTTTGTTTGTTCAGTACTCTCTGGATACAGTAACAAAAATTATTCTAAACCAGATTGAGTGGTCACTATGGTTAATGAAAACACAAAATACCTACACTTGAGTACATTAGCATTTACTTTCTACACCTTGGTCTGAGGGTGTTACTACATAAATTAAAATGGGCCAGTCAACTACTGGAAAAGTCCACTTAAGTTAACCTCTACAAGTAGTGGTGTATCCTGGTTTTGTGCTGCCCTAGGCAGGACAAATCTCAGGCGCCCCCCCTCTCACCGTGCCACCCCCCCCAACCCTTCCCCCGCCCTCTAAATACACACACACACACACACACACATTCACTGACAGATACGCATACACTCGCTAACAGACACACACTCACTGACACACACACTCACAGGCAAACACACACTCATTAGCAGACACACACACTCATTAGCAGACACACACACACTCACTGACACAGTCAGACACACACAAACACAATAACAGACAAACACAGTCAGACACACACACTAACAGACACAAACACACTAACAAACACACACACATTAACACACACACTCACAGGCAAATACACTCACACTAACAGACACACAGACACTCACATTAACACGTTTTTTTTTTTTTTATTCCCCCCCCCCCAACCTCCTTACCTTTGGGAGTGCTGGGGGGGGGTAGGGGTTCATTACTTCCCTGGTGGTCCAGTGGTTGTCGGGCTAGGCGGGCGGCTGGCGAGGGAGCTCTTCCCCTGAGCGGTCTGCTCAGCTCCCTCGCGTGCCGCAGAGTGAGGCTGGGAGCCGGAAGATGACGTCATATTCCGGCTCCCAGCCTCACTCTGCGGCACACGAGGGAGCTGAGCAGACCGCTCAGGGGAAGAGCTCCCTCGCCAGCCGCCCGCCCAGCGTCGTCCGCCCGCTCGGGCATGTCAGTTAGCTGCATGACTAACAAGGCATTTGCCCTGGGCATTTGGGGGCGGCGTTTTTTGCCGCCCCCTGAAAAATGCCGCCCAAGGCAAATGCCTTGTTTGCCTCGCGGCTAAAACGCCCGTCTACAAGTATTCCCATGGTGACCATCTTTGCTGACAACCCTTTCTTCCTCACAAACCACCATCTGCAAGTCATTTTGCAAACACACAGCGCGTCAAGCCTCTTCCTTCCTTTTGTACACATTAGGCACATATGACCAGTTTGATGACAACTTGCACGTGTAATGTCAAACTACAGGTAATATTAGGACTTGTTAAAAGGGTTACTCCAAGCACCATGACCACTTCAGTAATTACAAATAGTCATGGTACGTGGAGTATGTATGTGCAGAGTTTCGCTTCGAAATGCTGTATATACGGCGATTAACACCCTAGCTACTGGAGGCATAATTCCATCATGCGCGTCATAGGGGTGTCATTATGCAGCCCAGCTTTCGTTGCACAAGAATGTCAGCCCTTGGTTTAGAGCGGTCAAGCGACACGCTCAGCCTGTGAATGTCAACCACTGCGGTTTCTGGCTTCTGTAGCTCTGCAGGAGCCAGAAGCATGTCACTGGTGGTTATGATGCTTGGAGTAAATCTTTAAAAAAAATACATTAAAAAAAATAAAAACTCCAGACAGTTTCTGGTTTTATTTATTTTCCTGCAAAATAAAATTTTGACCATTGTCTTTTAAAATTATATCTAGCCGTTCAGAATAGCACATTGTGGTCCCTACTGGTGACAATATTCTAGCTAGTACAAGATTTTGCAGTGAGTGAAAGAGTCCTAAGAATACTTAACAATGTGAACATTAAAATGTAAGTTGGGGGAAGCCCAGGAGTCTCCCTTATTTCCATTTGATAGGAGTAGAGTAGTACTAGTGGAATGTATCATCATATACACACATACTGAATAGAATTTGTAAGACCCCAGGTAGGCATTAGACATTTTGCTTTATGTTAATGGCAAGCAACAGCAGAAACAGCAAAGTGAACGGGGAAAGAGAAAGGAGGGTACTATGCAAGCATAAAAAAACCAATGGCAACTAGAGAGAAGGCATTTGAGAAAGCCCCAAGCAATAGAGACAGCAAAGCAAGAGGGAACCCGGGGCTACATAGCTAAACGCACCTGCTTTGGAGAATCAGTGATCACAGTGCAAGGGGACACTCTGGCTTTGCTGTGTCTCCTGCAGAACAGAGAGTAACACAGTCAGGAGAATCCCACTAATAAACCAAAGCCTGGTGATTAATACAGCTGTAGATCCATTACAAAAGCTCACATATTAATACATCTTAACCAGACAGGAGGAGAAAGCTCAGTTATGATCACATCATAATGAGACGTGTTAATAAGCACCAAATACATCATTTGGGATTGGTTATTCCTAGTAAAAAGGTGTCTGCAAACATGAAAGGCCAACAGTAGCTCGCTGTCCTCTAGAAACGCATTCTAGTATGCTCATTGACGCTACTATAAGCGTGAGAGCAGTCTAGGTCATTATTAGAGCATGTAATCGTCAGATTATAAATAAAGATATAAATATAGCAAGATCTGGGAATGATCAATCTGTAAAGCCACTCTAAATTCTAATGAAAAATAAATTTTTAACAAATAAAAAACAAAATCTATGGGTCGCTGGGTGAAGGGGCAGAACCCCAGGGTCTCGGAGTGAGTGAGGAGAATGCAGTCTGGAATGGACTCCTCCATATATTGAAAATGGTATCTGGGACCACGGGCTTCTTTTACTAGCGTGATATAGTAGTAATTTCTGCATGAATACAAGATATGTGTACATTTAGACAAGATGGAGTTTAGTCAAGGACTGATATTAGAATAAGCTTGTTACCACAGCTTGTGAACGACTGTAGGTAAGCCTTCTTGGCAGCTATTAAGTGTTAATATTTTTAGGCCCCATTTGTACTCCGTTGATTAAGAAAGCTCCCAAGTTTAATGCGTTTGCATTATACTTCCCTATATCAGTAGATTCATTTGTGATAGGGAAAAATGCCTAGAGGAGACAGAACAATTCTATAAATACAGAAGCTACCACACTGCAGACAGATTATTGCAGACGTACTAAAGTGTTTGATATTAAGAGGTATTCAGTTCAAAACGTTACCATTCTGTAATTGCCAGTACACCATCACATAAAAAGCCAGTTTGGATACTGTGCTGCGATACCCCATTGTAATAGCTAGTGTGCTACTATTAAATCAACAAACTCCTAATATCCCACTGGATTTGCCAGTAAGCGATCACTTATAATACCCTACTGTAATTGTCAGTATTCTGTTACTAACCCACAGTTCTGACCCCTAGCTGTAGCTTCCAGTAAGTTCTCACCGGACCAGAGGTTGGATAACCAACTGCCAGCAGGCTACCGTTTCCTAATAGAGCTCTGCTCTCCAGCTGAAACAGCCACTAAGGTTCCAGTGACCAGTAGAGTTCTGACACCCTATTGCGACTCCTACTAAGCTACCACTGACCAACATAGCTCTAATTCTAAATTTTCTGAGTGAGAATTCTTTCCCACGTGGCCTACATTACACCATTTGTTTTTCAGAGAGTCTCTCTGTGAACCCCTCTCTGAGCCTCTTGGCGTGTTTCTCACACAATCAGTCTATCAGCAGAAAAAAAAAAAAAAAAGTTTAAAGAGTCCCTCAGTCTGTCTCGCAGAACAAGGTTTGTTTTAGTCTGAGTAACTGCTGAGTTTAGTTCAGAGAAACTGTAAATGGGTTTTTAACTCTGATCGAATAAATCTACAGTCATATCAAAAATTGGCAGTTCAATATGATTTATTCAATGTCTTCCCACATATAAAAAAATGTTTTCATTCACCAAAACAAAACGAAGTGCTCTACAGCATTCTAACATGTTGGTCTCGGTTTAAGGTGGAATGTTCCCCTTTAGGGGAATGGAACCTTGGCTACAAACCGGCATAAAATGAAGCATATTGAAGTCTTACATATATCAAATGGTTTTAGTTTACAAATGAAACATCCACCAACCTCTCAGACGGGGGTCTTTTTATGCTGGTGTCTCGCACATAGTCTATTAGCTGCTTCTGCGTGCGTCCACTGAAAGAAGACAAAAGGCTCATGTATATACAACCTGCTATATATTGAGACTAAATGTATTTGCAAAACAACACAGTACAAGCTATAAAATTTTAGAATTGTAATCTACGATACAACAAACACTTCATTAGAAATTATACCTTTAAAAATTGTTTAGAAGTATTTACTTGTTTTTTAAAAAAAATCAAACAGTTAAAATGTAATAAATCCTCTCTGGAGTACAAATAACTTACAAATACAAACTACTAGAATCCTTTCACAGGTCACACAGATGGAGAAGACAATTGGAGCAATATGGATCCTTTATATTGGGAGAAAAGTCTCAGTGAGCTCACATAAATTGCAGTATTGAGTGCCTTTGCTTTGTTTCCTTTAAATGATCAATTTGATCAAATAAAACCCAAATAAAATGTACACATACAGTAATATTGGAAATAAAAGGTACCAGATCCAGCGTAGTTTGCAGGACACAACAGCTGTTGCAGAAAGTCACATGCATGACTAGCCGTGCAAAATGAAGGCAGCAGCTCTTTGCCTACGCTAGAAATCTACATTATGGAAGTTAATTGGGTTTTAGAAGGAACGTCAGCCTTTAACATTACTCTTGTCAAAGTGCATCTCTACCAAGGTTCACAAGGTAGAAGTCACCAGTCACCTCCCTCTTTCTCCTTTGTGGGCTCACACAGAAGTGTAGGGAATTGGACCTGGATGTGGGTATTTTCAGGGATATGACTGCTCATTTCCATGGTCTCCGGTCATGGATGTTGTTACAGTCCTTCCATGAAGATGTGAAGTGATAATGGGGAGGATGCCTGGAGGAGTTGTCAACTTGGTGAGGAGGGGGCTGACATATACTTATGAAATGAGTGGACCTTGTCCGTCCCAGGGTATGGGTAGGCCAATGACCCCCTATAAAAGACTCAGTCCCTCAATATAAAAAACACTGGCATTTTCTAACATTCATTTCCCATTCTACTGCATTTATTTGTTACTTAACTTCTGGCTTGTTGGACAAGGCAATGATTGAATCATTGGTGCTTGACCTAACCCTTGGAACTGTCCAGGACTACGCAATCAGGTTATCCCTCGCTACACTTGCTTGTGGTATTGTTGATGTTCTAACTTTCTAGCTCTTCCATGTATAGAGCTGCTTCTCCTGAAACCTTAATGCCACTCTCCAAATCCTGACAACTCTACGATACTTTTGTTTCCTCCCCCTTTAACAGTTTTTCTAAAACAAAAATCATTTAGGTTTTCCCCAACAACAGATATCATGCTGCAGAACAACTCATTGCATACACAGTTATCCAAAGAAAAATAAAATTAAATAAAAAAAGTTTCAGAAGCAGTGCAGACGTATAAAAGATTAGTAGTTACACATAATCATGTCTTGCCAATATACACAAAGGATATTTTCTACTTCCAAGTAAGAGCCCGTAACACATTCTGAAATGGGATTCCATAGACTAGGACTATTTTATTAAAATAATTAATACAATTTGAAATACCTTCTTGAAAATCAAATGTGTCAAATCAAAATAATAATATTTTGCCTACCTGTATCGGAAAGAGGAGCCTCTGCTCAATAGAACCGGTCTAGATTTTGGCTTGGGCTGATCCTGAAGACGAAAAAAGCTGTGATACTCTACACAGATTTTCCAGAATCTCTTACACGTATCCCGGCTAGGTAGTAGGAATTCCAGTGCATCCTGATATGGGCCCTAAAAGGTGATGGATATTTTTAAAACTATAACACCTGCAAAAAAAGACTTACATTTTTTCCCTGAAATCCAATGCTGGGCAAAGCTCCTGGCGCTGCTATGCACGCCTCCGTACAAGGCCATACTGGCCCTCAGAAGGGCAAGTCAAAATGTTTATCACAGAGAAGGATTTGCTTGTACTCTTTTACCAGCTCGGAGCAGATACAAGCGTTCAGAGTCGGTGATGGCAATTTAAAAATAAAAATAAAATTTCAGAATGGAGTGAGGAGGGTGGCACGCAAGTCACGTGTGCCAAGGGTACAACCCCCGTCACAAAAAAAACAGGACTACTCTGTATGTGCAGCGTTGTAAACAGAAATGCTGCACATACAGACTTCTACCATCTTGACCACCTCAAATCAATGAAGTGGTAATGGTGATTGGAGTAACCATTTAATACAAATACATGCTAGAATCCTATATTTTACAAAATAAATGCAGATACACAAAAAAGTTGACATAACACAGAGATGGACACAGTTACTGTGAAATATGTTAAACAAATCAACAAAAATATATAGTAATTTCTCTGGACATTAGCTCACACTAATCCAGATGCAGTGTTGCCATTGTGATACATCTAGGATGCAGTGAAATAACACTGCGCACATATATGGATGTAAAACCTTCACTGCAACGTGCCCAAACACATGCCAGACAGACAGACAGAAAAAGAGTATAGGGAATGTAAAAAGTGATTGATGCAAGCTATTCACCTACCCATAAGTCATTTACACGGAATACGTGCATTAAATAATGTTAAAAATAACAAAAAAAAAACAAAGAATGCAAATGAGGTTGACCAGAGTTTTATTCCACATTAGCGGTTAAGCAAATAGTGGTCTCTCTATCTAATTAAAGTGTATTTTAACCAGCCTCAACCAGAGTCTCACTGAGCATTATGGGAGATGTAATCCAGTATTACCAGGCACCGTATTGCACTAAATTTGATGTGCACAAATTCTGAGCAGAACAGTTTATGTTTTTTTTTTTTTTAAATCTCTCACCCAGGCCGTAAAATTTAAAGCTCTATGCTACGAGCCAGGCCTTAAAAATACATTGCCCCTGCATGCCTAAAATAGATCAAGGCGCACTCACTGGGTGTGTAGGTCTACTCACCATGGTTACAATGTCTAGTGAAACTTTTGAACCCTCCTCTGAACTTTGCTCCCAAGGATAGAGCTCAAAAACCAGAACTGATTTACACTCCATATACATCTGGGATCTAGAGAGTAAAATTGCCCGAGAGAGAGTGAGTGTGTGTGTGTGTCTCCCCCATCAATGGGCAGTCCTGTACAATGCATCTGGTACTGCCACCAGATAAAATTTTGCACAAAATGGATATTGTCAGCCAGGATGAGAGTATGCCATCTGGGCGATTGACAACTCAGGGAGACTGCTTTATACACAGAAACATAATTGGTATTTATATCCTGAATTACTTTATTTTTTTAAAGAAAGGCTGCACTATAAAATCATGACGACAAAAAAAACCCCAAAAAAACAAAAAACAATATTTATACATCCATAGAACATAACTGGGAAGGTATAAGTATTTTTAAGGACTATATAATGTAGTTATAAACCTCTGTTTAGAAAGAAATAGAAAGGTTATATTTGTTGGTAAAGTTATAAATGTGGACATATTCTGGAAAAATGTGATTTATATACAAATGTATTTCATTGAAGCACTCGGTTAGCAAGTGTGTTTTTTTTCTTCTAAAGTGTACAATAAGAAGAGCCAAACTACTAGGACATATTGGTTATATTTTAAACATGCATTTAAAATAAATCTTACTTTCCCATGAAGTCTATATACCTATTGGTGCTTACTTAAATACTAGCTTCCTGTATGCCTTTGCAGGGCAGACTATTATAGAATGCAGATACGCACAAAATAATGAAAACATTTAAACATAAAATGTCTACAGTCAGTTTTCAAACCTGCTAGAAAACATTTTACCAATGCCAACATTTGCCTAATTATGGCAGCTTAAAAAAAGAGTCACTGCGAGGTTATTAGAGTTAACATCTGCAAAGACTTGGTTGGAATCATAGTGGCTTCTATGTGATCTGTCACATCAGAACGGTCTGATCTGGCCATGATGTCAGTATGCAGACCGTGTTTCCTGCTACAAAAGGCAGAACCTCTGGTGTAAATTCCTCTGCAAGGTTCTACATCTCAGGTTAATGGCATGGTATGGTTTACACATAAAGGGTATTTATCTGCATAATGATCTGCAAAGAAGTCCAAAAATATATAAAAAAAACAAAAAAACCCAAACCCATACATTTTTGGATTTGCTTGCAATAAGACTTTTTTCCCCTCTCTCCTGCATTATCTTTTGCTGCGCTGGCACAATACAGGATCAATATGAATGTCTCACATTGACCAAGCTACTGGGGAGGTATTCAGTCCAAGCAGCAATGTATAATCATTTTGAAGCCATTCATTGGACCGGCAGGATCAAGTTTGTGTGTGGTGGGTGAACTAAATGAGCACATTTGGTGTGATTCCCTAAATTAAAGAACCACTAAAGTCACCCAGACCACTTCATCTCAATTAAACTGTCTGGGTGCAGTGCCCCTAGTGTTTTAGATCTGCCATCTAAAACGGTGCTGTTTAGTAGATACAGCAATGTTTTAATTGCAGGGGTAAACACACCTCTAGCAGCTGCCTTCCTGACAGCCACTAGAGGTGCATCCTCATTGAGAACCTGAGTCTGACTAGGTTCTGTGACGGTTGCATCAATGGTTCCCTATGTGAGGCGCTTGACTGGCCGCACACATGCATCTCATCTCCGATGCTTTTTTATAAGAACCACTGGAGCGGACTAGAAGTCAGAAAGCGACACTTCCAGGATGACGTCACGGTAGGCTGAGCAGGAGGTAGTGAGTCTCTGCATTGGAAAAAAGGTGTTTGCATTCATAACGCTAGTTTTTTTGTTTTTTGTTTTTAAAGCACAGCTGTTGGATGTTCTAACATTTATCCAACCACTGGTCCATATTTTTTACTTGTTAAACCACTATGACAGACATGTACCTGAAGTCTTAGCACTAGCCCGCACTCTGCCTTTCATGATATTTGTAAACTATAAAGTACCACACATAAAACACTCAAACAAGATAAAGAGAATCCTAGTGAAGGACACTAGTTGTGCTAAAACTCCCTCAGCTTCACCATGATGAAATACAAGACAGGCAGCAGTGGCAATATATCCATTTGCTTTCACAAATCTAAGCTGAACATTAGTACACGACTTCTCTGTTAAAGGGACACTAGAGGCACCCAGACCTCTTCAGCTCATTGAAGTGGTCTGTGTACAGTTTCCTGATTTTCCTTAGTGCTGCAATGTTACACATTGCAGTTCCAGAGACAATGCAATGTTTACATCACAGCACTAAGTCTGCCTCCAGTGACCATCTACCAGACAGACACTAGAGGGCTTCCTGGATAGAAATGGACCTTTGGTCCGGTATCTGACTCTTTGCTTGTCCTTGTATTTCTGGCACTATAGTATCCATTTAAAGGCACAACTTACAAGTTAATGTTTTGCAGCAATCTGCATATTATCCATGACTCCTCTGTAACCCTAAATACCTCCCTTCTTGCTGGTTTCTGTATGTGTGCGCATATTAACAAAATCTATTCAGCTAGGTTTTCAGTTGAGCTATTTCAGTCAAAAATTTGATATCCATTTTAAAATCCCACTTTAATAAATTACTCTGTATAGCTCTATGCTGACTAGGTAAAGGTGTTGCAGATACTCACACGAACCTCTGGGTGCAACTTTATAAGGAAACGCCTCCTCTTGAAACTTAACTTCCGAATCTTTGACCAGTTAAAAGTGTTAATTTTTGTGTTGCCCTGTAAAGGAAAACAAAATAGAGAACAGCAATCAGAAAAAGAAGACAGAGGATGAACTATATATTACACACACCTCTTTGGACTGCAGATGTAAACAGAGAAACAGAAATTATTAAAGGGACACTCCAGTCCTCTAACGCACGTTATATAAAAAATGCTAAATTTAAAAAAGACAATGGTAGGCATTTTAACAACATCTTACGGACAAATTTAAATTGACAATGTATGCATTTTAACAAAATCTTATTGAAGTTCTTATATTGCCTGCACACCTGCCCCCCTCATTCTACCAGCCAAAAACCGTAACATACCACAACATCACTGGCACACCTGCAGTGTCACCACAGTCTGCCATAGAGAATCATTGAGTACAATGATTTGGTATGTAGGAATTGCATGTTCATCACGGCTATGCTCCCCAATGCAACCAGAGGACGGGGTCACAGAAGTGTTGAGTCTCGACAAAAGAGTGAGTAATTAATTTATTATTTAGTTTCTATTTTTGCAGACGGGGGAAAAAATGTCAATGGGTACCAAGACTGTAGTGTTAAGAATACAGATATGTATTCCTAATTCTACAGTGTCCCTTTAATAGCTTGTGGTGTTCTTTATGTAGTTATTGTTACATTTAATTATCAATGGTCTGATATAAAATAGAATTGGTAGTGACCCTTACCAGAAAAATGTTTTAACTTGACATGACAGGTGAGCTTACATCTAATGGCCATTGGAGTTACTAAATAACCTCCATTTATGTAAATATGCATAGGGATTTGAGCTAGTGTGCAAGTAACTTTTTTGATTAATTTATATTTCTCTTAATAAAAAGGAATATAATCTTACTTAAAGAAGTATCAAAATAGCAACACTTCAAGTAATATATTGCTCAGGTGACTTGACATGGTTATGTATGTAGACAGAACCAAAGTTGGCCAATGGACAGATTTCTCACACATGCACACCGTAATTTCTATTTAACATTTATTAAGTCTTTACCTGAAATACTAGCACTCCCATATGCGACACGGAGAGGTTAATTTTGGCACCTTCTCGGTCAGAAGCCAGATGAAAACGTGTTCCATACAGATCCAGTCTTCGTGAAATCTCTAGGATCTGAAAATCCGCATCAGCGGGAGACATCCCACTTAAAAAAAAAAAGATCAAAACTAGCGTGTCAGCATAAAGCATGTATTTACAAAAGGTATATGCATATATTTTTCATTAAACCAAAATATCTGAAAATTACAAAATGATATGCATGAAGGCAAGGATACAGAAACCATTTTACTGACATTTTACACATACGTTCGGGAGCAACCACCTTGGAATCACCAATTGGTAAAGAAATGCTGGCGAGATTAGAGTAATGAAAAGGTTTTATTTGGAAGAAGAAGGGACGGTAAAGTACTCACAGGTGCTGCTGATGACATTGCAGGATCCGCTCTTCCAAGCTCTGCTGGCGCTGCACATAACAAGTACTTTTCAGATGCTCCTGATCTACTTTTGGATCGTAATCTCCAACTTCCGCTAGAAGATGCAGCAAGAATGCAAGGGTAAGTAGAATGGATTGATAGGCACAGGGAAAAAAAGTATCTTATCCAGCCTTTCATCTAATTAGGCCTTGCCATGCAATTATTGAAAGGAGATAAAACCACAATAAAAAATAAAAAAATATATAACGGATGACCATTCTCTAATTTTATTTTATTTCCTTTTTACAAACCCTAAAAGTAATTCATAGCTAACCAGAAAGCATGGCCACAAGCACTTCAATCGTTAACACGAGCGCAGTACACCCACAGCAGACTTCCACTCAACTGTAAATGTACATCTAATGTGATTCTTCTCCTATCAATAGGAGGTCAGAAATGTATGTGGAGCTCAAAGTCTCTTCCTGGTGAAAGTGACTGCTAAACATGGTGGATCACATTCCTCCCCTCTCCATTGTCACCCTATCCTCCCCTTTATTTCCTTCATTACTTACCCCCTTACATCTTTCCCTTTTCCTCTATGTCCTTAGCTTATTAGAACCCGAGCAAAGTATTGAGGTCAATTTAGTGATAATATGTTTTACATACAACAACTGTACCATGACCTTTTAACTACAAACACGCACACCTGTTACCCTTGTAACCGATTCTCTAATAATTTGCATTGTGTTATGTTAAGTCCCTATATGCATCTATTAACTTTTATTGAATATAAACAAGGTGTATCAAAACTTATGGACGTGCCTGCATAGACATAGTCAAGGATGAATATTAACAATCAACTGCAACATGTATCAATAGATACTATGGAATGAAATAATGGAACTAAACAGGTCAATAAGATACAAAGACAATATTATTTAACCAAGTATAACGTGTGAGCAACAGTGTATACTGCTTTAATAAAATTGACTATGTATTTAAATAAAGGGTTTCTTGCAGCAGCAAGGTAGAAAAAGACCAGTCCCATAAAATGTATTTTATAGCAAACATGTTCTGAGAACTGCAGTTATAATGAAGAAGAATAAATAAAAAAAAATGAATAAAGTGATACAATTAAAAATGGAATCTGTATTTCAATTGGCTTCTTTGTGTACCAGCTGAAAACTGCTAACATTCAATGTTCGTTCCTTGTCTGCAGTTAAATGTAGTGGAGAAAACACTAAAGTTTACAGCTATATTTATACATCATATTTAAAGTATTTCTGCACTAATTACAATACTCAAAAACAAGACTTTTTTTCCATTTGATGCAGCAAAACGACAAAGCAGAACACGTCCTAGATTTGTGTTCATCTTAAACGACCCCAGAAACAATACAATAGAACAGATTTATTTAAATTAAAACTTTGTCTCAGGAATACAAGCACATGTTGCTGACACTTTAGTTGAGAAATTGCTGTACAGATGGCCAACCCCAGTTGTAAAAATGTGTTTTACTCCCCTTTTTTCCAGTGGCACGACAAGACCCTGTCTCCTTGGCAGAGATCATTCAATTTGATGATCTCAGCCAATCCAGTGCTTTCCCCACAGAAAAGGATTGGGAGGCTAATGCGCATGCGTGGCAAAACGCTGCGCTACACCAATCAGGAAGCATCTCTGATGGCCGTCTGCATTGCTGCCTAGGAACACCTCTAGTGGCAGTCACTCAAAAACTGCTTTTTCTCTGAAAAGACAGGATTTACACTAAAAAGCATGCAGGGACAGGCTGTACATACCAGAACAACTACATTAAGCTGGAGTGGTTCTGGTGACCAAACTATCCCTTTAATGTGTGATTCATATTGGTAAAATTAGCATGACGTTTTGTTTATACTATTTTCTTCTCACATAAACAAAGTAAAAAAAAAAAAATAAAAAAAAATAGTTTGGAAGCAGAGCTTCCTTTGAAAACATCTCTCGGCTTTGTAGATGCCATATTTGGAAATAGACTACAGTTAAGAACAAGGGAAAACAAACAACTTACATTGCATTAGAAAAGAAATTAGCAGCGCAGTCGTATTGTCACTGCAGACCAGCTGTTCATCTCCCAAGTCTCTTTTGATTTGCAAAGCAAACAGATACCTACAAAAAAAAATTAAAAAATAATAATGGTATAAGGATCGTTCAGGTAATGTATGGCATCGTACACACCACCATGCAGAACATTAGATCTAACCTTGTGTATTCTTCTTGCAGTTGACCAGGGTCAGGAGGAAAGAATTTCACCGCCAGACGCATCTTGGCATTCTTTGGTTCTGCGCATAAAAAACAAGCATACAGCGTGTTACTTTCAGTGGATGATACTTACAAGCCTTAAAAGGATAGGGAATAGGAAAGGTTTGTGGACGCAGATGCAAAGGTTTCAGACTGTTTTGCTAAATCTTTTTTAAATGTGTTAGCAAGTACTGGGTACAAATTAGTTTTATTCTCTACAACCAGGACTTTAAAGGAAGCAATAATGTGTTTAAACCGCTCACACGAGAAAATGCTGCCCGGAATTAAAAAATGCCAATGACGCAAAGTACGTTTTAATAATCTGTTCATAGCAAAAACAGTAACAAGAAGTGCTTCACAGTCCCTTTAACGAGAAGTAAGCTCTGTTCACCAGTGAAATGCTGACTCTATAGCGTAAAAAAACAAGAGCCATTATTTAAATACCTGCACACAAGCACCACTGTTCTGATATAGTGTTTAGCAAAATACGTCTGCCTCTCACTGTCCAAAAGCAATAAATATGAAGAAGAAAAAAAAGCAAGCACAGAGGCCAGAATGCTTGAAGAGATATGGACAGCACAATCTTAAATCACATACATAAAATGTAAGTGCTTTGACACAGCTGAACTAGGTAATGAAAGTAGAGGTTAAGAAATATTTAGTTTTTCCCCCCCAATTCTAGAATGATTAGCATACTTTATTCCAAATCAATAAATGATGTCTTCAGTAGACGCAACAGGCATTTGAGCAATGTAGTTAGAATGAAGAAATGTCATACACTTTGTAAGTAACATTACAGATTCCACCTCGTGCCTCTCACAGCTCATCAGCTGGTGGAGCGCATCAAGTATTATAGTAGTAAAGCAACTAGAGAGCAGGGGCTGCTATAAGAACACTCTCAATGCTCCTGCAGTTTCATGGCTCCTTGGCATTCAAACTTACTGCGCAACAGCTTGGAAACGAATTTCAGAGGCTCCAACCACACCTGAAACATATTATATAGGAAGATTACATTTTATGAGCTACATCGTAATAACAGAAAAACAGAAAATCATGGGAGGATCTATTAATAAGCATGAGCAATCTTCCACGCTTTAATTTTGAAAGCCTTGTATAAGACAGTATATTATAGGGATCAGGTTACTGACAACAGTTATAAAAATAATACAGTTTTAACTACTGGGATGAAAAAGATGAAATGGAATTTTTAAAGGATTTTACTGAATGCTATCCAGCAGCTCTCAGATAATTAGAAGTTTTATTTATAGCTGAAGATTTAACCTCAATGTGGCAATACAAGATTTGTGTTAAATCTGCTAATTTTCTCCATGCTTAGAAAAACCACATCTAAGGCAGCTCTGTCACGTTTGAGCATTTCATTAAGATATTATCTTTAGGAAATACCAATGTGGATTAAGTTGGAGAGATACCACAAGAGGGTTATTTACTAAAGGGAGAGTTAGCAGGAATTCAAAGTGAATTTAAAATTTAAAGGCAAAAAAATAAAAAAATAAAAATAAAAAACAAAGTCAAATTCCGGTTGAGCAATATTGGTCTATAATTTGAAATTCCCTTTGATTTCCCAACACATTTTCACATTGGTAAAAAAAAAAAAAAACTTGTTTAACTTAAGGAAAAGCCTGAGGTAAACAAAAAAGTTAACCAACAGCGAACCTCCACTGCTCCATTGTCAACTTTTGTCGAATATAAGCAGCCATTGCAAGCAACGGCAGTAGGATTTGGGTATTGTCTCCCTCATCGCAAGACATACTCTATGGATTCCTCTGTCTTGTGGGATCTTTCATAGACCTTGCGAAGCACCAAGAGATGAAAAGGGTACCCTGAAAAAAGATGGTAGTGGTGGTGGTGGTAGAGTGTGATAGCTTCAGAGAAGTATTCATACCTTTTCAATGGCGCCAGACCCTAATCAAAGATCACACTTTAGGAGGTATTTACATATTACAGCCCCCTGCAATGGACAGATTCAATAAATCTGTACAATAACTATCCTTAAAGTAAGTCATCCTGCAGGCTGGGGGACCAGCTGGGGGACCTGAATCTCTTGAGCAATGGCCAGTAAAAAAAGCTAATGAAGTTGGTACCCTGCAGGCTGCAACTTCAAAGATCTGAATGCAAGAACAAGAAAGTCTTTAAAGTTTACGTACCCATTGTGACTGTGCGGTCTGGAACTCAATACCAAAGTAGTCTGTCTCCACCACATTTAGATGAGTGAACACTTGGCTCAGCAATGTCTGTCCCGTGGTCTTTGGCTGCAGGGGACAGAGAGGGTTGTTAGGAATCTCCCAAAAAAAGCACATTCACAGACAGCTACTGTTGCTGGCTAGCAATCTGACCATTTAAAATAGAATTACATAAGGGATGGAGAATCTTAAATAAAAGAAAAATGATTTGTGCCTCTAACAGCACAAACTCCAAATAAAGACTTGGTAAGCGTCTGCTGCTTGCTACTTTAACAGACCTGATAATCCCCCAACCTCCTTGGCCAGGAAGGCCAGACAGAATAAACAGAGAGTGTTATAAAATAAAGCATCCTAATCTATAAACAGAAGACAAAATGCAGGAGCTAACCCTTTAATATATTGTATGTGCACAAGAATTAATGCCAGCATAGAAATGTCTGACTTATTAAGAGTCAAAATCTCTGTATAGCTCTGGGTGGCTTGATCCATTTTGTGTAATAAGTGTCTTAAAAAAACAAAAAGACTGTCATAGCCTGAATGAGATTCTTAAGTGGTTAAAAGAAGCAAAGTGCACACACTGCAGATAATCCGGTTTTAAAGTTTGTAGATACAACCATTGTTAATTATAACCTAAAACACACAGGGGTCGGAGCTTAGAAATTGAAGCAGACTGATGCACAATTTAAGAGCACCAAAACGGATTGCTATTATCATTGCATTTACTGCCTTTATAAAGCCCAAATCTGGTTTGGACTTTATAAACCACTCTTATAAATCCACTCTCTTGGTCTTACATGGACACTCAATTGTCACAAGATCTACCACGACTGAGAGCATCAATCCTAGCCAATGCAATGCTTTCCCAAAGGGGAGGGCAAACTGAAAGCATAGTTTTCCATTTTATCCTTAAAATTTGAAATTCTCCCTGAATTAACTTTGAAATCTCACTTTTGTGAGAAACACTGTCAATGATCTGTTATATTCCGTATGTAACTTACTCGTATTTAACCCCTTAAGGACACATGACTGAAAAATTCCGTCATGATTCCCTTTTATTCCAGAAATTGTGTCCTTAAGGGGTTAAAGATCCCCATATAGAATTGTAAAGCACTGCGGAATATGTTGTAGTTCAAGTATGTTAAACTCGCAGCCCACAATTAATATTTTTTGCGGCTCAGCGAGCTGTGAGTTTGCCTTGCTTACTAAAGCAGAGTAGGCATCTGCTCGCCCCACATTGCAGATTCCTACTCTGCTAAAAGTACCCGGCCGGGAGGAGAGGTCCCTAGTGGCAGCGGGGGAGCTCTGTCTTCCTGCTCCTCACTGCTCCTGCGCGCGCCCTTTGTAGTGATGCCAGGTGCCGGAATATGAAGTAATTCTGGCATCACTAAACTGCGCGCCTGAGGAGCAGGAAGACTGAGCTCATGAGAGAAGATCAGGGAGAGGCCCCACACCAACTTCCAAAGGTTGTGAGTGTGTGCAAGAGTGTGTGTGCGAGTCAGTGTTGATGGCCGCGGCTGGACAGTGGAGGAACTGGAGGTGCACGGAGGCACAAAACGCCACGTCACATTCCAACGTGACGTTAACGTGCTCCACCTACACAGGATTTCAAGGAGTAGCGGGAGGATCCGTTTGGCACAGGATGCGAATGGCTGGAGTCGCATACTGGCAGCGACAATGTGAGCGGAGTCTGCTTGTTGGCTAATTTTTTTATTTATTTTTTTTTAAACAAGGGCTGGGATTTAGTACAGAGGTGGATGCTGTTTTTTTTTTTTTATACTGCACTTTTCAAAACAAACCTACGTTTCTATGAAAATTTAAAGGGACACTATAGTCACCCAGACCACTTCAGCTCAATGAAGTGGTCTGGGTGTCAGGTCCCTCTAGGGTTAACCCTGCTGATTTGTAAACATAGCAGTTTCTTAAACTTCCGGACAGCCACTAGAGGCGCATCGGCAATGATTGAGGCATATTATGCTGGGGTTCCTATATCCTTTTTACCCATCTATAAATATCCCAAAATCTTAAGCTGGGAAAGCAAAAAACGGAGGTCAGGGAGGGACAGAAGATAGCCAGACACAACCTTTACTCAAAAGGCAGATCACATGACACAAATCATTCATGAAACAGAAACACAGAACATAGTGCCAACTGGGAAAGACAAGAATAAATTAGAAAAGACAGCAGGCTGTACGTGTTTGAGACTCTGAGACTGCACTTCTTCTAGGTCCATGCTTTGAATCTTTGAGGGCATAATATCTGTATCCAATGCATGATTGCAAAGCTAACGGTGCAGAGAGTACCCTGCACCCACGAGTGTCTTATAACTGCAGTTAGTTGTTATAGAAAAAACAAATAATTATAAAAAGAAAAAAATTTAAAAAGCAAAAGCGGTCAGAGCTGTCAATCATGTAGCAGGAATTCTCCAAAAATTAGGTTCTCAGTCCAATCAGACACTTTTCAAGCACTGCAAGCTGAAAGATGTCAAATGGATTCAATAACGGAATCTATTAATTCCCAAGCCCCTAGAGACTGTCTGTATCACAGCATATAGTAGGAGTGTAAATAGCAAAATGTAACTAGTGTGTTTTGTCAGAAACTGCAGGAGCAGCATATGATAAAGTGATTTTGGTGCTTAGACTGTCCTTTAACATGTGTTTGCGAGGTCAAAAATGTAATGAGGACCTTAGCATTGAGAAAGGGCTGCTGCTCGAAACGTTTGCTGCTTTAACTTTGTCCTGATTAAATTGTGGTAGCACCTGGGTGTGCACAGGACTCTTGTTTGTTTTTTGGTCAAAAATGTAATGTAGATATCCACAACACCATCCTAGAACTGAGTGCCCCCATCTAGGCTCCATGTCAATCATTATTATAAAGCCTATTCGTTTGGATAACTGAACAAAAGCATGTGGAGGTGGGGAACCAAAACAATGTTAAAATGTTTCTCTTTCATTAATGGGTGCACTGGTTGTGTCTGGACTTAACTGGATTGTGAATATTATTGCACAAATGTTGTACATTTAAAAGAAAATGGGACAGCACGTGATAAACTTTAAAAAAACAAATACAAATAAATGGACCACGAGCTATAGGTAATTTTCAGTAAGGTATTCAATAGCCAAAAAAGGAAATTAATGTACAGATTTCAAGCTAATCAACACTACTGGGCATGACAGTTAACAAAACTAAACGATATTAGTCTTCTAAATAAAGCAGTTCAGCATCTGGACACAATTCTCTCAGGAATTCAGAATATTCCCTCACAAATGGAAATTACAGACTCAGCTTTTGTGAGGCCAAAAAAATTCCACAAACTTAACCCACATGTATCTACAAACACACTGTTCCTTGCAATTTGCCTGTGTCTAAAAATGGACAAAACCGAGCAAATTAGCCAAATGTAGTAAAAAGAGAGAATAATTATGACAGACAGGCCCTTATAAAAGCATCCACTGAACAATCAATTGCCCCTTTTATTGCCATCATGACCATTATTCATTCCTCCACCCCCAAGGCAATTTCCAAAAATTCTAAGGCTTGCACCAGTAGGGATGATACACAGTGAGTTACTCGAATGGATGAAAGCTAGCAAGACTCAAGGGTAGGTTTGTTGGCGAACCAATTTTTAGATCTATTCTCAAACAACCTCAAGCTACTCCTACCTTGCCACTGGAAACAAATATAGGACTGACTATATGTACTTGGAGCAGCATGTCCTTATGGACTCCCAGAAACACCAGTATGGACCAATAGCCAATCAAAGTGTTGTCAGAAGGGAAGACGTAGGCCCATTTAGCTCCATAACTGTGCGGTAAGTATTTAATAGTAATCTTGTAGGCGGTGTCATTATTTTGCAAACAGTGGCTGTTTGGCTGCCATTCGAAAATACCCAAACCAATAATGGTTTTGGGGGGGGGGGGTTTACGTGGAAGTACATGTTGAATTTAAACTGTAGAATCAAACAATAGAAACGCAAGTTGCCCTTCAGTTAGTTCCTGCTTAGATCTAAAACTTTAACTCACAGTTGCAGATTACTGTGTTGTCATCTGCACCTCTTCTAAAATACAAAGGTCATCATAGTATCATCAAATGCATTTTTAAAGCCCTAAAGTAGGAGGTAACCCTCCCCCGGCGCTTTAGGTTTACGCTCCTCTAACATGTAAAAATTAATATAAATTAGGTAGTCACCAACCAATTTATTTACATACTGCTATTAGTGTTCATATATTTCTGGAATAATAATTTCTACCAGTTCAACATAGATTATCTTTTTAATTCTGGATGTCAATAATTATTATATATATATATATTATAATTATTGACATCCAGAATTAAAAAGATAATCTATGTTGAACTGGTAGCCATCAAATTGTTGCGCTGTAAAATGGGTGGACTAACAGACATGTATTTGTAACCCCCTCATTGCATGATGTTTGTAAAAGACAATTTTTACTTGGCCATTTCATCACTAATTTACGGCATTAATGATGGTTATATACAAGGTCCTCTGCCCATCGAGAAGGTGTTAAAGCAGCACTCTCACTTATGGTGTCTTTGCATTTTTGCAAGGATCCCCCAAAATGACATGTCTACATTCATAGTGACAACCAGGCTGTGGAGGCGTAGACTGTAGGCTTATTTGAGCAGGGCCTTCACAAACGTTTGCTATTGCATGACCATTTTGTGTTGTTGCAACTAATTGTTTGTAAATACACCTATTGTACCGCTCATCAGAGTATGTCTGTGCTTTATAAAGAACATACTTGACTAAACCTCTCTATTAAACATGACCATCAGCTCTTTACACCTTCATCTGTCAAGAGCCGAATAATTCATTTACTCTGCCACATTTGTGAAGAAACAAAATGGGGGCACTGAGACGCATTAGACTTCCACTACGCATCTTGTTTATAATAATAAAATAAAAAACAAAGCCTTCACCTCTATGTTGATGGGAAATAGCATGATACGTTGGCAGAAGCTCCACTCAATGACACATTTTGCCAATAATCAGGATCTACATATAAAATAGTCTCTGCCATAATATTCCTGGATCATTATTTTAATGTCTATGAAAAATTCAAGAGTAACATTGTTGTTTAAACGATTTTATCATAATTATGCGCTTTGAGTGTCACCAATGTGCGACCTCTTTAGGGCAATAACACGATTAACTGGCGTTCAATTTAATATAATGGTCACCCTTGCATCTGCATTCCTAATTAAAAACCTACATTTTTATGTGGGGTCTGCTCCACACCCGATATATGTATAAGCATAACATGTAAATGACACATGAAATTAGCATAACTGGACTACAAACGGAAATTAAATGGAATAATAATAGGTTTTGGCAAAGCAATCTGAATTACTACCAAACAGGGAAAAAAAGAATGTCCTGGGTGTGTGGTTATTTTTAATACAACACAAAACCCTAAACATTTAGACAATTATATTTCAATTGGCATAAGATCTAATGAGTATAACATGTGTTTTATTAACTGAAGGCAGTTTTCATTAAGTGGCCGAACAAACGTTTGCAGGGAACGGTGGTTGGCTTTGGCAAGTTTAAAAGTAAGATGTCAGTTTGCAATTAGTGGCTCATTCTAACCGCGAACAAAAACTAACAATAAGTCATGCAATTTGTTTTTTTGGGGGGGGGAGGGGAGAGGGGTTTTAAATTTACATTTGAATGATGAAAACGCCTTTTGTGCAGTAGCCTGATATGCACTGCAAAGAACGAATGTCTTATGATTCCTTGTATCCGGAGAATCATGTGAGGATGCCTGTGACAGGGCATCATGAGAAGTTGATACCCATATGCACAGCACCATGGAATGATGTTGCCATTCTAAACTCAAGGAGGAGATATGCATTTATACTTGAAGGAACCTTCAAGCACCTAGTGCATTTCAGCTTGCTGAAGTGCTTTTGGAATTAAAGGGGAGCGGACACTTCTCTGGAATTTACAGGGACCTCCTGGAACCATAACTTAATTTCAATAAAGTGGTTATGGTGCCCGGAATGTTCATTTAACCCCTTAAGGACACATGACATGTGTGACATGTCAGGATTCCCTTTTATTCCAGAAGTTTGGTCCTTAAGGGGTTAAAGGGTTACTCCAAGTACCATGACTACTAAAATTATTTGAAGTGGTCATGTTCCCTCAAGTCTGTATATGCAGCATTTTACCATGAAATACGGCATATACAAAACCTTTTCCTGCCGGAGAGGTAAATCCAAGGGTCATCATTATCCAGCTCAGAGTTGCTATGCACAGAATTACATATATTAGCGGAGAGTGGTCAGCGGACGCTCTGAGCCAGTAGATAGCGGGCAGGATCAACTTCACTTACGGGACCCAGGCAAGAGGGGAAACCATTGCAAAACAGTCTGCCCCATTATGGAGAAATGGGGTCAGTGTACTCCTGGCATCATAACCACTGCAGCAGACTTTACTGGTTATGATGCCAGGAGTAACCCTCTCATTTATTTTTTGTACAGCTCACAAATTTATATGTATCAAACACAGGGATTGGTAAAACACAATACTAAAAATCCATGGAAGCCTTTATAGGGTTGCTCCAAGCATCATAAGCACTTTAGTGATTTGAAGTGGTGATGGCACTTGGATTCTGTATGTGCAGTATAACAGCATGAAACACTGTACATACGGAGCACTTGGCTGCTCAAGGTGTGTGTCCACCACTGGCAACGTTATTAGACAGCCTGGAATGAGCGTTTAATCTGTGCATAGCTTGTGGTCTTCAACACGCATAGCACGGAGATGATGGACGATAAGTGGCGCCCTGCCCCCTTGGCTGAGATCGTCAGAACTGACAATCTCAGCCAATCGAATGCTTTCCCATAGGAAAGCATTTGGAGGCTATTGCGCATGTGCAGCAAGATACCACACTGCAACAATCAGCAATGAATCTCTATAAGGAAAGTTCAGCACCTCCATGCAAAGCATGGAAACGCTGAACGTTAGTGCTGTGTATTGTGAGTGATTGCCACTGGAGGTGTCCCTAAGGCGCAATGTGAACACTGCCTGTTCTCTGAAAAAGCAGTGTTTACATGAAAATTCCTGCAGGGACAGGCTGTAGACACCAGAACAACTACATTAAAGGGATCCTATAGCGCCAGGAAAACAAAGCAGTTTTCCTGGCACTATAAGGTTGATAGGACCCCCCCCCCCATCCTCCTTCAGCCACTTACCTGAATCCAGCACCGATGTCCCTCTGTGCTGGGTCAGGGTCCACCCACGCTCCTCCCCTGGCGACGTCAGCTGGCTGGGGAGACCCAATGTGCATGCGCGGCAATGGCTGAGCGCATTAGACCTTCCCATAGCAAAGCATTATTAAATGCTTTCCTATGGAGAACATATGACGCTGGAAGTCCTCATGCAGTCCGTGGGGATGTCCAGCCTTTGATAACGGACCAAGTCTGTTAGGATTCCGGAAGCCCTCTAGTGGCACTATAGGTTCCCTTTAATAAACTTTCAACCAATCAAATGCTTGTTATAGAGAAGTGTGTCTTAGAGGTAGAGTAAATGTAAATTTTAAAGCATTTTTAATTTTAGTTTTTGCTTGTTATGGAATTGATTTCCTTTACTTTTCGATATAACCATGTTTAGGATAGTAAAGTATAAAACAAAGAAAGGGACTAACATTTCAAGGACATGGTTTGTACTTTCTGTTTTTCCCAGCAAACTAATATTTGGCTACGCAGCAAATAACTGATAAATCACGCGCTTCTAACAAAGATAAAGTAATGCCAGTTAGGTAATCATGGGCTGGATTTATGGCCCCAAAAATGTAGTACTTTGAAAATGTGTTAACTTTTGATTGGTACAAAGTTAAATCACATGAATTCATAATGGTGCTACGCATTCAAATCTTGGGCAGTTCTTTATGAACTAGTGTGATTGTTGTCCATTTGGGCCCCCCCCCAGCGCTGCAATCAATGAGGGTTCAGGTAAAAAAGCAGAGATCTCGAAATTGTCATTCTGATGTATCATTTACAAGGGTCTTCACCACTGAAAATAATTCCTACAGCTTGTTTTTTTCTTATAACATGAGGGTGCCAAAAAAAAAAAAAAATGTAAACCGCTCTTTCTAGCAGATTTCAATCAATATATAACATGAAAAAAAACAACATTCTAATTCCTGTTTTTGTAATAAAATTGTTTTTCCATGTTTAGGTTTGATTTATTGGCATCATTGAAAACTAGTCCTGCAATACAGTACAACCACATGGGCTTCACTTAAATTCACTGGAAGCACTTGTGGCAGTACTGAGCATGTGCAAAACGAATGTAAGCATTCATATTGCAGAAACAGCATTGCAGTAACATTGAATAAGACAAAACATCATGTGCGCTGACCACAGTAGTAGACTTGGTACTTCGTAATAGGCGGAGTAGCAAACTGGGTAGATTTATCAATCATAGGCGAGTTTTGAATGATTCTCTTAAGTTATAGCCAAGATAAAGAAGATAGTTGGTTTTTCTTCCTTCTAATGCACACATGCATAAATAAATCAGCATCTTTTATGTAAGGCAATTTCCTTTACTCCATCCTTCAACATGATGTGTTTCAGGTGTTTTCATTCCGGATTGTGATTGTCCTATGGGTCACAGAGTGATTGAAAACAACAGTCACTGAGTTTATCACATAGTAGATACATTTGCCTCTGGCTGGCCTGTACAGGATTTCCTATATTTCTACTGCAAGCTGACAATATTTATCCTTTTTTTTCCATCTGTGATCCTTTGTAGTCAACCTCTTGGTTTGGTCCCAGAGTTCAGATGGTTAACACATGTAATCTGGTTTAATAAGAGACCATGACTAAATCCTGAAAATGATTCCTTATTTACCCAACTCCTGTATATAAACGTTTGTTATGAAATGCACCAACAAATCTTCATAATCCACCATCCTTTATTGTACGAAGGTCCCACCCTTTGCCCTCCAGCTCATGTCACAATACATTTTCTCGATTTATCGGAGAGTTGTGGGCTGTAAGAGAATTATGGGAATCCTAGGCTAACAGCCGAGGGCCATAGTTAAAACACACCTACTTTATGATTTCCTTTCTCTGTTATCCAAATGATCAACAGATTTTTAACTTCTCTCTTTGAGGTTATGTCCACCCAAGCAGGAAGCAATTATCACAACAATTGGAAGCCCTGTGGTTTCTTGTTTACATGCTGAAAAAACCAAAAGTTAGCTATTGCTTTAGACACTGTTCCTCTTGCAATCAGAACATGAGAGTGCATGTATCTACTTAAATTGTGTTACAGAAGCCGATTAATTCCCACACTGCATGAACATTAAGTCATTATGGTAAATAGTCTGAGAAAGCAGTACTTTGGCAGAAACACCCAGCCTCCACGCTTGGCATGGAATGGCAATGAGAAGGGCATCTATCCAACTGATGCAGCTCAATGACATATGCACGGTACCTAAAGCATGGCACCCTTAACTGAGTGCAGTGTTTGAGAGCCTCCCGCCTGACTCATATGTGACGGTAGAGATCCCATACATGGGAATGGCCTTCATTAATAGAGCTGCCATTCAAAGAACCGAGAATACAAAGGCTTCAGGTGCAATAGAGAATTGAAGAAGAAATGCAAATTCAAGCCACATTGTAAAAAAATAAACACTCCAGTTCAGATAGGTTTCCAAGTTTTGTCATTTTCCCATAAAGATGTGTAATTCCCTTGTGAGCGTTTCACACTTTTTAATTAGTGGTTACAAACCGTGTTAGTGGAAATCTCTCCCAAGCAAGTGTATAACTGCTCCCAGTGGTGACATTTATTCACTAAAATATGAATTACAGATAACTAAGAAGCAACTGCAAGTTTTGGGACAAAATAGCTGAATTTGAAGGGATTTCCACTGACCTAGTTTAACAATTCAAGTGTTCAGTTTGTGAATGAAATCCTGAAGGTTTACTTATCATCAGAGACAGTAACAATTTTAACCATTGCCATTTCAGAGTGAATTCAGATGGCATCTTCTAAGCTTCCAATTGAGGATTTTAAATGCTACCTCCTATAATGGTCAGATTCACAGGGACCCTATTCAATAAATCTGGCATCACATTTCGCCGTGTTTCTGCAGAGTTTAGTTTTGCCCTGGGGCTGCGTTTCTAAACACGCACATCAAGTGATGCCCTGCCAAACTGACGTACACAAATCATTGCATGGTAAATCTGTAACCCACGCATGAGGACTTTACTTCCTAAGAGGAATTTTCTCAGACTGATAGACCACACCACAACATGCTTTTAAAAATGAAATCAAGGAAGCACATCACAATCAATTATGCTACAAAGTGAGGCTGCACCTTTAAATGGAATGTTCTGGCGCTACAAATGAACAGGAATTTGTACACAGAGGTAAAAATCAGTAAAGCTTGTTAGAACGGCTTATCCCATGTCCATCTGCTTCTCATTGACAGCAAACCTGTGCTGTGTAAGGCATCTGCAAGACCTCATTCCACACTCACAATCTGGATTGTAGGTTTTCCCATGACTCCATGCAACAAATATAAAAAAAAAAAAAAAAAACACAACCTTAGATGAATGCATTCTAATAAGCTTTAAAAGGGCTAACATGCCCCAAACAGCAAAACCTTAAAACATTGAAAGAAATGTTAATCATAGCGATAAACATATGACACACTGCATGTACTCGTCTTTTTCCAAAAAGTGTCGCTAGTGCTAGACTATACAGTGATCTAGGTGTACTTCAAGTCTCCTCAACACAATCTACTTTTTTTCCAGCTACATATCTCAAGTAGTACATTAGGCACAACATTTCGGGGAAATTGTGTTTCTGCAATTCTCCCAGAATTCCCAGTTCAACATGTAAATGAGGAGAAGCATCCTGTTTCAAATTCCATCTTGCATTTCTGCCAGCAACCTTAACGATAGAGAATGGTTTTAAGCACAGCTTTTCAACAAATTAATTAGTTGTGACCCAAAAGGTCCAATTTTCTGATCAGCATGGTGATGGTTCTTATCGAGGAGTTAAAGTCTTGGTCGCCAAGTAGCCATGTACTTCCCATTTAAAGACATGTAGTTAATGCAAAAAATAGTAAAATCTGAAGTTGTTTTTATGGGAAAATAACTCCACAGAATGGTTCTGAAGTCCTTTTAACAAACCATAAGACTGAAGGTAGAATGATTTTTAAATGTGTAAAAAACGTGAGATGCTACCATTCGTATCAATACATGCTTCACCTTTATGTATCTTTTATATTATTACATGATATATTTTTATGTCAGTTTAGGGATTAATGGTTAGTGTTGGGATATTATGGGTGTTAATACTTGTTGATCATGGAGTTCACTGTTTAGAGATAGTGCAGTGTGTTAAGTCAATGTAGGTGTTCATATGTAGTGTAGTGTGTTACGGTAATGTAAGGGTTAAGGGCAGGAATTTACTGTAGGAGCAGGATTGACATTTTCCAGTGCTGCCTAAAATTAAATGAGAGTTACAGTGCTGGACGACAGGTTATTTCAGTTGCCGTCAAGAAAATGACAGCAGGTACCACTAATCTCAGGCCAACCCGCCATGTATGTCCTGGTCTGCCCGAGATAAGGAGGTGAGCCATTCATTACAGAGAATAATTGCATGGATGACCTCACCATCTGTGAAGTACGGCTACTAGTAACAGGGAAGACTGACGGCGATAATCACTGGATAGGTGGAAGCTGTGATTTAGGAAATGCAGGAGGTTGGGAAGAGGTTTCTAATTTTCACTTTGCGTTTCACCTGGCGTTGGACAACATGAGGCAATAGTGGGGAGCTCCATTAGTATCCATGCTCCTGCATAGGTGGCACAAAACATAGCGAAGATAAGGGAGAGGGGCTCAGTACTCTGTAGCAGTACTCCCTGCATCTCACAGCATAACCAGCAAAGCCCATTGCGCAGGCAGTGACAAAAACTATTAGGAGCGTTTTTAATACATGCACAAGTGAGCTAATCACATCCCTCAGATGTAGTTATCCTTTGACAAATTTCCCCCTGCTGCTTGACAGCTACCATTCAATTAAAACTGGTGATGCTTCCACTCTAAAGATCTTTAAATCCCCAGCACCATAAAACAGAGCTTAAATTTTCCAATTGGAACTCAGAATGGTACTTTGCTGCAATAGAGGTGGGGGGGCAGGGGGCGAACTTCCTCACAATCAAATGCTAGGATCTAAGGCAGGGGTTCCCAACCCATGGTATGTGTACCCCAAGGGGTACAATTCAGTGCCCCAGGGGGTACGCGAAAAAAGTCGGCAATGGCAGTGTAACCGGGTTCATCGGGTGGTCCATGCACTCAGGACCACTGAAAGGACATGTGCTGTGAGGGGTCCGGTCGTGCATTGCAGCGCTTTACATATTCCAACCTGGCGCCTGGGATTTGTCGAGCCCTGATTTACCCTTTTGCCACATAGCCAGACAAAAAGGGGAATACTGCCACTCCCGGGCCCCTTCTAACTTGCCCGGGATGCTGGGAGGAAGTGAGAGCGAGACACACACTTCCTCCCAGCTATAACACATCAAGCCTCGTGGGAGGGGGCGGGCTGACTGGACAGGGAAAAGAGATCTTCTCCCTCAACTCCCAACAAGCACAGCCAGCAAAAGTCGCCCAAAAGGTGTGTGTGCGCGCACGCACGCATGCATCGGTCAGGGCCAGTCCATCTATATGTAACAGTGGGACCAGTACTCCAGACAGCACTTTGACAGGGGCAGCGTTTTGCCACCTCTGTCAATGTGCCTGGAAAGCCCAGTCTTCTCTGATCAGCTGGGCCACCGGGGAGGCCGTTCTACGCTAAAAAAAAAAAAAAAAATCATAGGTGTCTGGAGAGGGAGGCTGATCTGGGGTTGGCCGGGTCCACAGGGTTACGACACTACTGAAGTTCTGGCACTCTCAGAATACTAGCTGTGCGTGCCAGAACTTCAGTGGGAACTTTACTCACAGCAATTTACGGCAGGGCTGCTGCTGTTGGCTTGCTCTTGGGAGTGGCAGAATTCCCCTTTTTGTCTGGCTATGTGTGCTGAAAGGGTAAATCAGGGCTCGACAAATCCCAGGCGCTAGGTTGCAATAGCAACTACAAATTTCGCCCTGGCGCCTGGGATTTGCCAGCTATTTAGTTAATGTAGCCGCCGGGGCTTTGAAGGCTGCCGTCACTGGGAATATTGCAGCTGGCTGTTCTTGGGAGCATGGAGGCTCAAAGCCGCAAAGAGGAGGCCGCCCGCCCTGAGGAGTATGGAGCCGGCCGGCAGGAGCATTATAGGCAGCGTGAAAGAGAGCAGTAGTCTGCCTGTAGCTCCTCTCTGCTCAATGATGCTGGGAGCTGGAATATGACTTCACTCCAGCCCCAGCATCATTACGGAGAGCGTGAGGGAGCAGCAGGTAGAGTACTGCTCCCTCACACGCAGGAAGAGAGCAGATCCACTCAGCTCTTCCAAAGGTAGGGAGGCAGAGTGGGGTTCAATTAAAATAAAAATGTGTGTGAGTGTGAGCACGTTTAGGTACCTTCCCCCACTCAGCCTCCAAAAAGGTAGGGAGGCTGAGTGAGGTGTGTAAGAGTGTGCCTGCCTGTCAGAGAGTATGTGTGTGTAATTTTAGCAGGCTCCTGGATTCCAAATAAATATGTCAAGCCTGGGGGTAAATAATTATTAGCTTCAATACACACAATGTGCTACACATGGGAATTCCAATTCCAGCACAGACACACTATATCCACACACACTACATCCTCAGACTGGCAAACATCCCACATGACAATTTAACTTGCTCCCTTTTGGTTTGTGATTAGTGATTGACGTATATTGTACTACCACTGGCAGAGAAAAAAAATTTGAAATAACAGCAATTATAATAATTATAAATATTTCGTAATATGATGGGTACAATTTATGGAAAGGGGTACTCAAACGAAAAAAGGTTGGGAACCACTCTTCTAAGGCATTTAAAGGCTACATGAAGCAATAGTTAACAGGCAACACTGACTTCCTGATATTCTAAATGCATGTTAATTAAATAGCACGTGGGGAAATCTATCAAAGAATTCTTGAGAGTGCCTTAATTATGGTCTCTTATCTGTTCATATGTATTAAATGGTGATACAAATGGTCTAAAAAGTGAAGTATTTTCTCTGCCTAAAAAATGAAAATAAATAAAAAAAAAAAAACACAAAACACAATTAGACTGACAGAAATAAATAAAATAAACAAAAATAAAATAAATAAGGAGTGAAACAATACTTTTCTAGTGGAAAACTTGACAGAAAGCTTGATAAAGCTATTGCACCAGTAAGAAAGAATGCGGTTAGGGTTTCACACATGCAAAAGAAGGGAAGAACAGTCTGAGACCCTGATAAATTTACACCATGGTATGTTTACAAGGTTTTCAAAATAAATTCCAACATAAAATCCATAGTGTTCTGTCTGCTTCTATCTTGGAAACAAGCATCTCCATTTTGGCACCCTGTCAGCTGTCATAACCTCCGTCCTCTGCATTTGTCAGCCAGCATAGACAAAGCACAGAGCGAGAATGAGGAGTACAAATACTGGGGGAGATTTAGCACAGTGCTCAGTTCTAGAAAGTGGTGCAAACATTTAAAGGGGAGGAGTCACTAATGGAATGTATCTACTGGTTCCACTGGTTTCTATGCCGATTCCCCCCACTTTTAGTAAATTAGACCACTATTTACAACAAAACACTTTGCATTGCAGGAATTAAAACTAAAACATCTGGGAGACTTATTAGTCAGTGGTGAGATTTGATATGAATTGCTAATATCATCAAGGAACACTATAGCATAACAAATACAAACATGTGTAGGTGCCCAATCCCCCTTGCAGAGGTTTAACCTTACAACCCATGCTGCAGTTCTGCCTCCCTGACACACTCAAGCACAGTAAAGATATGCTCACTACAAGCTCACTGACACACAAGCACAATACAGATAAGCTCACCGACAAACAAGCTCACTACAAACTCACTGACACACATACACAGGCTCACTACAAACTCACTACAGACAAGCACTCAAGTACAGTACAGACATGCTCACTCCAAGCTCACTGACACACACACAATCACGGGCTACTTAATGGATATTCAAGTACCTGTTACTTCACTGTAACTGGACTTCAAGTGCAGTATGAGTATTTTCCATGAAGCTCTTCCACTTCCTGTGTGAAATGTCACCAGGGTGAGGCAGAGCTCTAGTGCGGGGGCTGGATCTGTCAGACTGTCCATGCACAGCTGGAAACTAAAAAGAAGCTTTTGTGAGGGAGTGAGAGAGACTTTCAGTGCTCTCTCACTCCTCTCTGCTGCAAACCAGTGGTCACCTTTTTTTTTTTCGTAACCAGCCTCGCTGCAGCCATCCAGCCCAAACAAAAAAAAGGTCAGAGGAGGAAAAAAAGTGTAATGTGCTGCACTGGCCACCAGGGAATTTCCTGGTATCCCGGTGGGCCAGTCTAGCCCTGCTTCTAGAGTCCCTTTAACCCCTTAAGGACCAAACTTCTGGAATAAAAGGGAATCATGACATGTCATGTGTCCTTAAGGGGTTAAGGACACATGACATGTGTGACATGTCATGATTCCCTTTTATTCCAGAAGTTTGGTCCTTAAGGGGTTAAGATACATATAAAATTCCATAAAAGTGACATTTCCCTTCTAAGACCTAAGGCACATCAAACTAATAAAACATCATTTAAACCATTACTCCCTTGCCCAATACATATCTTTCCAATATGCAGTCCTTTCTACACAGCTTCATAAATCACAAGAAATCATAAGGTTACATTTAGGCCTGTTGTAGACAGGTAAAGGACCACGATTAAAGCAAAACTCCAGACACCACACCACCTCATCTCATACAAGCAGTGAATGTTCCAATGTTCCAATGTTCAGTGTTAAACCAATCTTGATACTGAAAAGGGCCCTCAGGCTACCATGACTCAGCCCCTCTATTGGAGGCATGGCTAATGCACCTACTGATACAAAGTAGTTATGGTGCCTAGAGTAATCCTTTCAAATCAATCTACTTATGAGAAACACCAATGAAATACATGCAAAAACAGTAAGCAGAAAAAAGTAGGAATTCTGTGATCTAAAAGGCCTACTCTGTATGTTCTAAAAGCTGGGGAGCAGTGTGGTTTTTGGATCTTACACCTATCTCCACGGGGAACATGGATCCGTCAAGAAGAAGCACATGATACTGCAAGTCATTGTGTGACGTCTTGGGTGGATATGAGGTCAAAGCAGTGTTGAGGTTCTGCCCTGGTTCAAGAGTGCTGATTCCAGTGTTTTTTGTAGTACCAAGGCGAGCACCAGGGGTCTGCAAGACACGGTATGTTCCTTCTATTTCCCCCATGATGACTGTAAGCCACTTCTGTGAGAAAGAAAAAAAAAAAAAAGAGTTACATTTATTTAACACAACACCGTTTCATTGCAACCAATACTCAACATCTAAAAGCGGTTTGCAGAACTGTTAAAAATAACCCATAAAAATCATTTAATCTGTTGGTATTAAAAATGGCTTTAATAAAACCAGATTCATCAGATCACATCTGCTGGATTTTATTTCTTTGGAAAACTGCACCATTAATCCATTAAAACACACTGCCTTTCCCTGCAAATAAATAAATAAAATATATTTATTTAACAGAACAGATGAAACAGTCATACAAGGTGAAAGGAAGTCATGAATCTTTCAAACCAGAGTGACTAAACCAGTTTGACTCATAACTGGCTTGTGAAAGTAAATAGGACAAAGGAAGAAAACAAGATCTCAGCACAGAGAACACAAACAAATCACTTGAAGGGGAAGATCATTTAACCTAGTTTAAAAGTAACGATTTTACTATTCGCTGAACACCCCAAGGACTTCAAAGAGACACCATATTATCTGTAAGGTGGGCATAATTCAAATTACAGCACTATTTACGTATAGAAAGGTAAATATAAAAGCACTCTGCATTATAGGAAGTAGAGGCTCTCTCTCTGCTGCAAATTGGTTTCTTAGATTAGATAAGAACAATCTTCAACAGAGAAGGGAAACCATGAATTGGAATGCATGGTTTACCAACCTAGCAGGGGGAACAAAAAACAAATTTAAAAAAAATAAAATAAATACAATTCCTTCATATATAAAAACTCCAATGCATCCATCAAAAATGCCAGAGGAGATAAATGGTCCTTTACCTTCCTCAACACATGCATTCACACTTCTTCAGAAACAAGCCTTGTACATTGTAGCCAGTTTCACTTTTTATGTTTGAGAGTTGATAATGATTGAAAGGTATCTAGAAAGGTTGAGCTAGAATAGAGGTGACATTACTTAACTTGGACTGCTTTGCAAATTTAATTAAAACACAAAGTGTGTCTGATAGTCCATACCACAGGTAAAATGGAGACCTTCCCTTTCTGTAAGCATTCTATTCCTAAACACAAACAGCGAGTAGCTTGTACTGGTTCTTGGAAGATGTAGTACTATAGACATGTTGACAGTGTTCTGTTTTATACCCATGATTGCCAAACAAACTAGTCAATGGTTTTGCAAGGGTTCCACTTAAATAAAGACCCTATCTGCGGGAATCTGCCATCACTGATCGTACAAACCACAACTTGCCATACAGAGTTTCGTTATGTGGTGGGGGATTTTGCCACTTCTCACAAGTCTTGCCCGTTAGATTCAGATATATGGACAAATCAAAACACATTTTAAAAAGGACCAGTTTGGGTATTTTTCATTAAAATGTAAATTGGGCCTCCACGGTATGTAAAATTTAAAAGGTCAACTGTGATTGAATTTTCAATGCGTATTATATTTAAACTTTGTGATAGTTTGTAAATGAGGTATATTTTTTCCCCCAGAATGTGTCACCCAACATGGCTGCTCAGCCAGATAAAGTCAGGCTCTACTGCTCAACCTAATTTGATTGCTACTGTAGTTTCACATAGAATAATCACAGAGGCAGGCAAGCTACGTTAAGAAGCAGCTGATCACATAACAAAACTGTCTGACCCAACATGGCTGTTCGGCCAGATAAAAAGTAGAATTTTCTATTAAAAAAATAATAATTAATAAATAAAAAAACCAATATACATAAATTAAAAAAAAAAAAACATAATCAAGCATAATTGAATGTAATAAAAAACAAAAACAAAGTGATGGCAATTGTTTAACCCCTTAAGGACCAAACTTCTGGAATAAAAGGGAATGATGACATGTCACACATGTCATGTGGCCTTATGGGTTAAGCCCATTATATACCTATGCTATGGTTAGTAAATACTGATGTAGTAAAAAAAAAGGTATAAGACACATGTATTATATATTCTGAGTGTCTGATGATAGGAGCAAGACAGGTTTATTACAAGCAAAACAGAAAGATCTTCACATGAGGGAATGCAATGCATGTGGTGTTCCAGAACTCCAGATGGTCTGGTAACAAGTTAAACAAAACATCAAAACCCAACAGCCATAGTTCAAAGTAAAATGTTGTACAACCTGTGAAACGTCTGCAAGATTTTCACATCAGCTTTTATTTACCACGGATTTAGAAGGTTATACTTTTTTTGCTCCCTGTGATTATGTGTATGTATATGATTGTGTGTGCGCATAGATCTGTGATTATGTCTATATTGATGTGTGTTTAGTAGATAGCTCCCTAATTTAGTAGTCTTAAAAATGGCAATCCCACAAATGATAACAAATAAGGGAGTTATCTACTAAGCAATTTAAAAATCAAAATTAAAGGGCTTTTGAAGTTTTTTTATATATATATTTTATGTGCAGCCCAAGACAATTCCTCTTCGCTCAATGTGACCTGAGGAAGTCAAAAGGTTGGACAACCGTGCTTTAAACTACAGTAGCAAAGTAGTAGTAAATTAGTTGTGTGTAAATAAAATGTTGGTATACATTTCCCAAATACTGAAATGGCAGAAAAGATTTTGAAGTTACCATAAAAATGAGCCACAAGCTATGTTTGATCTTATGTCGAATTGAAACAAGATGTACTAACGCAACTGTCTACCTGATGTTCAAACATTATTGTTGAAACTTTGTATGTATCTTTTGAAATTAAAAAAAAAAAAAATTGAAAAAAAAAAAATAAATAATATTAATATTCATTATCCACAAGAGCTCAGTCCCTGGTAACACCTCCATGCAAAAAAAAAAAAAAACCCCAAAACATAACTAGCCAAATCCATAACGTTATATGTAAATTTATTAAATGAGCAATGGTATATGCCATGATCAGACAAAAGACAATTTGCACAGCAAAGTACCCACATAAACGGATCATTTAAAAGACACTAGATCAGGTATAGGCGACCTTTGGCACTCCAGATGTTTTGGACTACACCTCCCATGATGCTTTGTCAGCATTATGGATGTAAGAGCATTATGGGGGATGTAGTCCACAACATCCAGAGTGCCAAAGGTAGCTTAATTAAGTGGTTTTAGTTTATATTTCATGCTCCTGTTTCACTGTTCAACTGTCTGACATTTAAGATATAAATCACTGTGTTTATACTGCCCTGGCCATAACTCCTGCTTGAGACTCACACAGCCTCCCTACACACTTCCTGAAATAGCAAACATCCTTTAGATTTACATAACCCCAGGTTAGGGATACCATCAGTAAAAAAAATTTTTTAAAAGCTGTGATATTATTCTTATGATTGCTACATACACAGTGAAATTAAGTCAGACTTCAAAAGTTACAGCTAAATTATTTAAAATTCTCATTTATGTTTTTACATGACAAACATGAAAACAAAATTTGACGCGACATAATGCTGCACAGGATCAGCAGATACACATACATCATGTTTTTTCCCGGGTAGGTCACAAGTCTAATTATGCAGGGGTTCTTATGCTCCAATAAAATATACTGACCATCAACTTTTCATGTGGCCTTACAGTTTAGTGAAGCGCTCGCAGACCCCTTCCTCACCAGAAATATACTCAAAGCAGGAACGTTCAATTCTGGTCTATGGAGTCTATTTCTGCCCAATAAACATCTAACCAGCAAGGATTTGTGGAATAATTTTTTTATCCTCCAATAGCAGTTTTTATTCATGGTATAAAAAGGAGTGTATCACAGCCTGCTGGAGAGGCATAACAGCTAGGCTCCTGCCCACAGACTATGGGCCTGGTCACAGACTTTAAAATAATGTTGAGTTATGTAAAATGTTGAGCTGGATGAAAGCTATTTTGTTAATTGTATTATGCAAAAGCCATTGTGCTATGTGGCTTGGTGTCCAGCAGGAAATGAAGTTATAAAGTCTTGACCCAATTATGTCCCAGACTTCCAGGCCACTTGTCTGTGACTTCTCACACCGTACAGAGTAAGAGCTACTAGTAGCATTACCCCTACATATACCTTTTGTGTCACTATACCCCACTCCCTCTAGCATGTAAGCTCATTGAGCAGGGCCCTCAACCCCTCTGTTCCTGTGCGTCCAATAATAAGAATAAATAATAAAGAGGAATTTAGGTGAAGCTCTGACCTCCCATACAATCAAATTAACCCCTTTTGAAATTGACAATACGACCTCTACCATGCAGCCAGTTCATATATGCACAAACATAAAACTTCCGTTTTACCGAACCAATCTGAGCGCTTTTTGGATATGGTGTGCGCTCAGATCGGGGCTATTTGGGAATATACATTTTTTGTGGGGTTCCGATGCTGTTGTCATGTATTTTTGTGATATGTAAAAATTGAAGTTTTCCTGTTTGAGAGATAATTGGATTATCTTAATTGGAGCTCAATTATCTCTCAAATACAATAGCTTGTGGGAAGGAAACCCCTGTGATTTTGTATTAGAAACCCCATGCTAGGGGCATTGCACAAGAAGCCACGTTAGGCCTAAGAAAGTTCAGATTGCTGCTTTCACTCAATACGACTGGTTGCGTCCATTATATTGGGGAAACTCTAAACAAAGGGAACACTTTCACTATATTCAGCACATCTGGAATTGGGACTAGTGGAGGATTGAAGGAATAACAGCAATAGACTCACAAACCCATGACAGAGTGCAATGTGCTCTAAAAGCTGCTAGTAGCCATACTTCAGCTGCTATCAGTTTGCACACAGCCTGGTTCAAATGCTTACTGCGCAGTAATCATCTAAGTATGAGAGCAACAAAAATAAAATGTACCACAACCAAAACTTAGGCCCCTTTACCTCGATTTCCATGTCCAGATTGCACACCTACACTAGCAAATAAATAAATAAAAATTATTAAGACACTGTTTTTCAGTAATTACTACTAAACAACTAGATCAAATTTTTGTTGTTTTGTTAAAAATAATTTTCCAACTAGCAAACGGAGATCTTTTTTCAGTTCTGTGGGTCAGTGTTTGCATCCAAACCACTACCACTAACAGCCTTGCTGCAACGAGAATCCAGTTATTTAGCAAGAATGTAAAGTTGGCAATAATTAAGGGTTTCGGCCATGTAATTACATTTAAAACCAATGCCTATGGTGTACTGCCAAATTACATCCCCTCAGCAGGCATATATTTCTCAGGAGTGAATACGTGGCCACTGCTTTAATTCTGAGAAATCAATTAAAGAACACACTAATGGAAATGGCAAGATTAGTTTTAATGCAAATTTAAAATGCAATTTTTTTTTTATAAATTTAGACACAGGAGGTTAGAATGTATAATCCTACACTTAACCAGTTCTTAAAAGTTACACATCACCCCCTAATATTTATATTACAAGGGAAGTGGTACAGAGTCGTTTTAAACAGCTTTGGTTACTTCGCTACTTTACGTTTTGGTCCTATTAAAATAAACAAACAATTAAACTAAACATTAAAAGGACCACTATAGTGCCAGGAAAACATACTCGTGGGGACCCCCTCCTGCCCCGCTCTGGGGAGAGGAAAGGGTTAAAACTTACCCTCAGGGACCCCCTCCCGCCTGGCTCTGGGGAGAGGAAAGGGTTAAAAACTTACCTTTTTTCCAGCGCCGGGCGGGGAGCTCTCCTCCTCCTCTCCACCTCCGATCCTCCCTTTCGGCTGAATGCGCATGCGCGGCAAGAGCTGCGCGCGCATTCAGCTGGTCTCATAGGAAAGCATTTACAATGCTTTCCTATGGACGCTGGCGTCTTCTCACTGTGATTTTCACAGTGAGAAGCATGCAAGCGCCTTTAGCGGCTGTCAATGATACAGCCACTAGAGGCTTTATAGGCTGGATTAACTCATTTATAAACATAGCAGTTTCTCTGAAACTGCTATGTATATAAAAAAAAAAAAAGGGTTAATCCTAGAGGGACCTGGCACTCAGACCACTTCATTAAGTTGAAGTGGTCTGGGTGCCTACAGTGGTCCTTTAAAAGGGACAGTTAAGTCACCATAACAATTCCACCTAAACAAAGTTGCTATGGTGCCAGAAAGCCCCCAGTTACCTCAAGGGGGCTAAATCGATCTCCCAACCCCCCCAATACAACTTAATTTAGATGTACAATAATTTAGACTGTACTAAAAGTTAAAGTTACACCTCAAGCACCATGAACACTACATCATGCTGCCAGGAGTGCCCTGATGCCGCCTCATAAGTAGTCAAATCATTTTAGAATGTTTGGTTTCTTTCCCGGGATCTGTCGGGCACCACTTCCTGCCTCCTCTGTGCAGCTGGGCCAGCCTGAAGCTCCAGTCCACTTTCGAGCTTCCATTAGCACTCCTGAGCTAAGCCATACAATGCAAGGATAACTAATCTGACATTATTATGATGTTATTCTTAAGATTGCTACATACACAGTCAATGAGTCAAGCCATACCTCGCAACATTTCAAATTGACAAAGAGCAATATTTCATGGGCAGAGCTGTTCTGTGAAACTTTAGGGGACTTCCAAATAAATTTATACAACTAAGATAATGTAGAACAAGCATAATGTATCTTTACACAGACTGATTTCTAAACACATTGCTGTGATTATTATAATTGCTGTGGAGTTCTGGTATAAATATAGACCCCATAAAACAAAAAGAACGAACCCTGTGCAAAGGATTAACCCACAAAAAAATTCTGACACGTACACATTTATAGACTCCAATTAAAAACACCCAGAGACTTGACATATAACATATCAAACATAACGTTACCCACTCCTGCTTGGGTCCGTGAATTCCCCTTGCCTAGCTCGGCAACGTTTAAAAGGAACACTACTCACCAAAACAACTTTAGCTTAAAGGAACACGAACATGTATTCCTGATAATATAGTTCTAATAGCGATATTTAGGCCTCCAGTCTCCCTGTCAGAAAGGTAAAAGGTGGGGGGTGAGGCCTCACTCATGCTGGACAGATCCATTCTGAGGTCTGGCATGTACTCTAACGAGAGCAAACATTGCTATAACTTGTACCCCCATCGATGATTCCTGCTCACCCCAGGGTGTTCATGAGCTGCCTGCGGTGCCACTTAATGTGTGTTTGATGTCCTCGAGTGATTACATTGCTGGAGGACAGGGCACAAGCTTGGCAGCCTAGTGAGTTTGGGAGAGTAGAGAAGCGGCCGACGTCAGCTCCTGAACTGTGCTGCAGACAGGTGACCCCCCACCCCCTCATTGACAATTAAACCATTTTTTTCCATGCAGCCTATGTCAGTCACAGACAAGAGAGCCATGACAAGGCAGCATTAACAAAGTGATCTAACTCCTAAATGACAGAATTGAGCAGTGAGACTGCAGGGACATGATCTAACACCCAAGCTGCTTCATTAAAGGAACACTATATGGTCATGAACACAAACAAGTAGTCCTGACCCTATAGTGTTAAAAAACACAATTTAGTCCCCTTAAAAGGATTTTTTTTTTTTTTAAACTTTTTTTCCCCAGTGCTGGCAGACTCCGCCCCTGATCCCTACTTGGTAATAGGGATCGACCGATATTGATTTTTTTTTTTGAGCAGATACCGATAATCTGTTAACTTTCAGGCCGATAGCCGATAACTTGCCGATACTCTGTACATTTACCATTTTGAAAAAAACTATTTCTAAAGGTAAGTGAACAAAATATACAAGCCACATGCACTGGATGCAGTGTGTTTAGACAGTGGAGCTGTGTGTATTTTGTGTAGTGTGTATATAATGAATGCAGGGTGTGTTTGTGTAGTGTGTATAGTTAATGCAGTGACTGTGTATATAATGAATGCAGAGAGTGTGTGTGTGTGTAAAGGGAATGCAGTGTGTGTGTAAAGTGAGTGCAGTGTGTATAGCAAACGCAGTGTGTGTAGTGTGTGTATAGTGAATGCAGTGTGTTTGTATAGTGTGTATTGTGTGTATATAATTCAGTGTGTGTAGTGTGTATATATAATGCAGTGTGTGTATATGTATAAAATGCAGTGTGTGTATATAATGCAGAGTGTGTAGTGTGTGCATTATATACACACACACACACACACACACACTACATTACATAGACATACTACACTATATACACACACACACACACACACACTAATATAATGCAGAGTGTGTGTGTTTTCCTGAAGGAATGTGATTTGTGTAAAATGGGGGGGTGGAGGGAGGCATTTTTTATTTTAATTTTTAATATTTATGTTTATTTTAATTTTAAATATGTATGTTTATTTTTATTCAGTCTTCAGTTCAGTTCAGTCTTTTGTTTTATTGCATTTTTTCTTTAAAGGGATAGTGTACACTTTTTAGTGTACTTCTGCTGCGCTGGGTATATTAAGTCTTTAGTGGTTTTCTATAAATGCAAAAACACAGAATATGGAGCACCTACAAAAGAGGGACAGAGATTTGGGGCAAAATATGGACTTTGCCTCCTTAACAGGGACCCTTTGAAGGTATGGCTAAACCCTGCAGGGCTTAGCTCAGACAGAGACATTCTGTTTCCCATGAAGGCTGTGGTGGAGTCATGGAGAGGTGCCTGACAGACCCTAGGTAAGAAGTTAAACCATTTTAGAACACTTTGACTACTTACAATTGGGTGGTGCCAGGGAACCATATCCACTACAGTGTCCCTATAAACAGAGTAAAAATTCAATGTTGGTGTCTGGAGTGTTCCTTTTAGAAGGGCACAATATAACTTTAATGCAAAGGTTTTGGCCCCATTAATGAAATGCATTTTGCATGTTCAAATCTTTTTGTTTTCTTATTAAAATGGTTTTGCAGAATGTTGCACCATAAACCTGTCTCCTTAGCCACACCCTCTAAGTCCAGAAAAAAGACTTTCTTATGAAAGATATTCATACACAGCTCAGCTAAAGACAGCACTGAATGGGCTGAACTTCAAAACAACCTGCATTAGAAGGAGAGGGCACCCAGGGAGGCATACAGTAAAGATATCACTACCGGTTTATAGTTTCTCTGTCTGCAGCCAGGTTGTGAATTAAAAGTAGCTCACTCAGTGCAGTTGGGGATGAGACTGTGTACCTTCATTTGATAAGGAAGACTTTCTGTCATGAGGGGACATGGCTGTGTATTATACTCACACGTGCAGCTTCCACAGAACATTAAAAAAACAAACTGACACTACACTGGACCTGGTGACAGTCACTGTGATACAGAATTACTTTTGAATTAAGAATCCCCTGTATGTTTGGCTGGGAGAAATTTCAATTGAAATTGCAGTGGCTCCAGCCGATTAAATAGAAATATTAAGTCACTGCAGCAGCTTTTACCAACCCCATACTAAATAGAGCACTATAACATCATGGGTCACCAAGTAGACTTCCTGTCGTCAGAGCATTACAACAGGCATGCAAAGCTTTATAGGAGCAATGAGCCAACGTCTGGACAATCACATCCCTGGGAATGAAGTCACAGAAAGAACTGTTCATTCAAATGTAGAAAAAGATGGGGGGAGCTTTAAAGAAGACATTCTGCTACATTAGGTGACGGATTGTTAACAATGGCTTTATTGAAACGAAGAAAAAAAAAAAAGTTAATAAGTGTCCTAGCAGTCTCTGTGGGCATTTTACTGTACCATGCACTAATTCCTCTGAAGACATTAAAAGATCTAGTAAATCCAATTGGAACATCTTGCTTGTGACAATACTTACAGAGGGCTTCAAACAGCTCCTATAATTAGCTACAATAGTTGAAGACCCCCCACATAACATCACCTCATCTGCTGATCCAATAAAGTGCTACACACACACACACACACAAGATACATGAAAGACATTACATACGGCCATGTTCACAAAGGATAGAATAAATACACATATTGAGATCATTGCTGGTCATGTGATTCCCAGATTTGACAGAGGCCAAGATAATGCATCTACCCATGCACTTGTTACAATAAAAAAAAAGGATTGCAACTATATTTTTACATTTTCGATGGATAGCAGATCAGTAGCTCCCTTTAGGTACTGCAATATAGAAGTTGTGCTCACCACTGCTATTCCTTTTTATGTCATTTCCTGGGACATTTTTGGGCTCATACACACACACACACACTGGAGGTTAGTACAAGATACACTGGAGAACCACAAAAACAACGGTGGTAGCAAATAGCGCATGCTTGTGCAGTCTTAACTATGTGAGCAAAGCAGACCTCACTCATTTGAGGACATATCAACCATGACTAGTGTTGTCAGGTTTCTGCTAGGATGATTGCCATCTAGTTTCTAGAGTCTCTTTCCAAGTCTTGAATATCCTGGCTTACCTAGCGTTAACGCAAAAGGGCAACTAAGCATTACAAAGCAGCAGAGACAGCCTTGATCAAAAGGTGTGTGAGCATGGAACCAACTCGGTATGTTTATTAGAGTAAATGTACAGATGTATGAAAGTTAATGGCCAATTAAGTACATTTTACATTGCTCACTTTAGCTCCGAAATTCTAGGGAAAGTTGTCTTGCCTTGTAGAGATATGTAGACAAACACTCTGCAGCTATTTATGCGTATAAAGCATTTGTAAAACTATAGAAATCATATGCTCCCTCTTGTAACATCTGCTCTTAAAGTTCATGTTTTTAAACACATTTTCACACTTTTGCATTTTTATTCAAAATTGTATATTGCACTATTACATTTTGTTTAAAGGGACACTATAATCACCAGAACAACTACAGCTTATTGCATTTGTTCTGGTGAGTAGAATCATTACCTTCGGGCTTTTTGCTGTAAACACTGTCTTTTCAGAGAAAATGCAGTGTTTACATTACAGCCTAGTGATAACTTCACTGGCCACTCCTTAGATAGCTGTTAGAGATCCTTCCTGGGTCATGGCTGCCTAAAATGCATCCAAACATTCAGTGTCTCCTCCCTCTGCATGCAGACACTGATCTTTCCTCATAGAGATTCATTGATTCAATTCATCTCTATGAGGAGATGCTGATTGGCCAGGGCTGTGTTTGAATCCTGCTGGCTCTGCCCCTGATCTGCCTCTTTGTCAGTCTCAGCCAATGCTATGAGGAAACACTGTGACTGGATCAGGCTACCACTTCTGCTGATGTCAGCAGGCAGGTCAAAAGGAAACAGGGACAAAGTAGGCAGCTGCATACTTGAATACAAGTAAGATTTTACTATATTTAGGGAGGCATGAGGGGCCCAGATGGTGGTTTTAACCCTATAGGGTCAGGAATACATGTTTGTGTTCCTGACCCTATAGTGCTCCTTTAATTACACCCTACTATTTTTAGATATGTAAACATGTATTCCAAATACTACAGTGTTTCCCTACCTATGTAGGTAAAAAAATAAAAAATAAAATCTCAGCCAAATCAATACTTCGCCATAGGGAAGCATTGGGAGGCTAGTGTGCATGGGCATTAAAACACGGCACCAATCAAAATATGTATTTAGACATGCCTACCACACCACCTTTCTGTAAATTAGAGTTTACAGAGAAATATACAGGCATATTCAGCAAATACTATTTCAAATTCAAACAGCTGGACCTGGATTTAGGAAACCTCACATTAGTTGTAGTGGCGTTGGATTATCTGTTCATTATCCCAGCAGTGATTATGGATAATTAGCAAGTAAGCCATTCAAGCATCTAGAGCACTATAACGTTTTAAAACAGATTATGCAAATTTTACAAAACATTTTATGCAGGGAAGACATGATAACCACTCACACATAAACTAATCAAATTGGACAAAACTGTAATCACTAGCTCTTACCAAGTGCATTAGGAAAGGGAAAGAATCAGGTAGTATAATGCTAAATGTCCTTCCCATTAATTATCTATAATTATTTACAATATAAACAGAGTCAGTTAATTAAAATCCTACTAGGAGTTTGAGGGATTTTTTTTCTGGTGCAAAATATATTTAAAAAAAAAAAAAAAAAAAAAAAATGAATACTAGGAGATAGAGTAGGCGTGAATCAATGACAATTACCATACTAAAGTATATTAACATGCGATGACAAGATTTCAAAGGATACCAAATACAATATGGTGTATGATGTAAGAAGTCTTTGGAGTGTTTAACCAGAGTTTCGACCTGCAACATTGTACACATTTTAACAAAAAATCCAAAAATGAAAAAGTCCACATTATATCAGTGGCAGAAGGTAGAAGTTTTTGCTCGAAACATTTTGATGAAAAATGGAGCTATGGCACCGAAAGATCACTTGCACTCCACTACAATAAGAAACAGTGGTTATGGTGGTTGAAGGGTCCTTTATGGAATAATATATAGAAACATAGAATGTGACGGCAGATAAGAACCATTCGGCCCATCTAGTCTGCACAATTTTCTAAATACTTTCATTAGTCCCTGGCCTTATCTTATAGTTAGGATAGACTTATGCCTATCCCACGCATGCTTAAACTCCTTTACTGTGTTAACCTCTACCACTTCAGCTGGAAGGCTATTCCATGCATCCACTACCCTCTCAGTAAAAGTAATACTTCCTGATATTATTTTTAAACCTTTGTCCCTCTAATTTAAGACTATGTCCTCTTGTTGTGGTAGATTTTCTTCTTTTAAATATAGTCTCCTCCTTTACGGTGTTGATTCCCTTTATGTATTTAAATGTTTCTATCATATCCCCCCTGTCTCGTCTTTCCTCCAAGCTATACATGTTAAGATCCTTTAACCTTTCTTTGTAAGTTTTATCATGCAATATGATGAAGAAACATGTACTGCATGGGATATTTCTTATTTTTCTATGTTAAATGTTGGGATCTTATGTTCAGTATAATTATTGGGTGACTGATTTATGAAAGGATTTTTCCATAACTTACTAGGAAACCACATACGTCATAGCATTACTGCGGAATTAAAGCATCATACCCACTTCATGTGTTTTAGTTGCTTTAATAAAATGTCATCATATTGCAATCAACTTAATAGCAGAGCACACAACATTTCAGCCCACAACAGGCAAGTTAGAACGTGTTGGTATGTAGGATCAATGATTATTTCTTGGGAACATTAACCAAGAGGTCAAAGATCAAATCTGAAGTTTTACAAAAAAATTAGGTGGTGACGATTCAAATATAGAATTACTAATGTGATAATGTCCAAGTAATTTAAGCGGCATATGAAAACGAATACTATAGCCTACTGCCTTGAATTTGAGAACTGATTAGGAAAGAACATTAAAGGCACCCAGTCTGTTCAAGACGGCGATGTAAAATCATGGCAGTTCTTTTGTAATAGCAATGTTTGCAGTGCAGGTTCAACAAACGTCTAGTGGCAATGCTGAAAGTCGGCTATAGATCAGATGTTGCTCCCTTTAGTGAATCAATGGATTGGTTGAAATCATCAAAATTGATGATCTCAGCCAAGGAGGCAGCAAAGAGATTGGCGCGGTGAGTGATGAAAGGTAATACTCTCCTTTCACACCCCAATGGCGGGAAGACACACACACACACACACGCTTGTTCCTAATACTCTAGCGTTCCTTTAAAGAGTTTATTAGAACACCTCAGACTACAGGTTTAATTTCTTGCACAAGATGCGTACTTCAGGGTAGAAACCAAAGAAAATCTTGGGGAGGGGGCAGTCTTTCATAAAATAAATAAATAAAAAACAACCCCACTGTTTTTTCTCAAACTTCTCAAAACAAGTCAAATTGGGGCTGATCTATTAGTGAAATGGATTATCAATTCAATTGCCCTAGTCCCTTTACCCGTTTATGCGGAGTTCAAGGAACACATTCACATTGTTTTATGCTTGCTGCCACTCCCTGGGTATACAGTGCTTTACTTTGATGGCAAAAATAAACAAAGGCAATTAAAGAGTCACAAACTAGTGGCACATATTACCACACACAAAGAAAAAAAATATTATTATTAGAAATAAACTAGTGAACGTGTACAGGCAAAGCATTGTATAGAAATACAATCATTTCCCTCAACTTTTAATAACACGATCTATCCCAGTAATTATAACGATAAACAGTCGTTATTACACGAAGCGACACAATTAACCGGCTAGTATAGACAGAACTAAAATCTGATCTACGTTGGTAGCAATTCCATGACAGAACGCTAAATGTGGACTTACAGTATAAACATTCAAAAGGCTGCTATTGTGATTGCTCCAAGTTTAGATTTTTACCCGGCTGCTCTTTGCACATAGCCCATCATGTATTTCACTCATTTCTGTTACCATCAGCACAAAACGTGTCCACCCCTTATCAGTGAGAGAAAATGGTTACAAATCCCATTCTAAACAAACCAAGAATGCCTGTGAATCACTGTACATGCCAGCTATGCCATCACACCCAGTACATTGCCCTAGGCTGGGACACATGTTCTGGTGCAGCTAGCAAGCAGCTCTTGGCGCAGGCAATGCAAAGAGCAGCAATAAGCAGAAGTGATAAGAAATGCAGTGCTGGATGGGGATGATAAGGACAGCACTAGGCATTGCTTATAAGTGCAGCGCTAGCTGTGTACGATTAGTGCAGTGATAGGTGTAAATAATAAGTGTGGTGTTAAGTGCAGTGTTACATGCAATGGAGAGCAAAGGCATTGCTACGTGTGGATGATAGGTACAGGGCAAGTGTTAATAATAGTCATAGTGCTAACTATGGATGATAATAAGTAGCGCTAGTTTTGGATGGTAATCATAACAAGTGTGCAGCACTAGCTATGGATGATACGTGTAGATACCGTAATAAGTGCAGTGCTAGCTATGGATGATAAGAACAGTGCTAGGTGAGATCGATAATAAGTGCAGTGCTAGGTGAGAGATAATTGCAGTGCTAGGTGCGACTGATAAGTGCAGTGCTAAGTGTGATTGATAATAAGAGCAGTGCTAGGTGCGACTGATAAGTGCAGTGCTAAGTGTGATATATAATAAGAGCAGTGCTAGGTGTGATTGATAAGAGCAGTGCTAGGTGTGACTGATAAGAGCAGTGCTAGGTGTGATATATAATAAGAGCAGTGCTGGGTGTAATTGATAATAAGTGCAGTGCTGGGTGTGACTGATAAGAGCGGTGCTAGGTGAGATAGATAATAAGTGCAGTGCTAGGTGAGATAGATAATAAGTGCAGTGCTAGGTGTGATATATAATAAGTGCAGTGCTAGGTGTGATATATAATAAGAGCAGTGCTAGGTGTGATATATAATAAGAGCAGTGCTAGGTGTGATATATAATAAGAGCAGTGCTAGGTGAGAGATAAGAGCAGTGCTAGGTGAGAGATAAGAGCAGTGCTAGGTGAGAGATAAGAGCAGTGCTAGGTGAGAGATAAGAGCAGTGCTAGGTGAGAGATAAGAGCAGTGCTAGGTGAGAGATAAGAGCAGTGCTAGGTGAGAGATAAGAGCAGTGCTAGGTGAGAGATAAGAGCAGTGCTAGGTGAGAGATAAGAGCAGTGCTAGGTGAGAGATAAGAGCAGTGCTAGGTGAGAGATAAGAGCAGTGCGAGGTGAGAGATAAGAGCAGTGCTAGGTGAGAGATAAGAGCAGTGCTAGGTGAGAGATAAGAGCAGTGCTAGGTGAGAGATAAGAGCAGTGCTAGGTGAGAGATAAGAGCAGTGCTAGGTGAGAGATAAGAGCAGTGCTAGGTGAGAGAGATAAGTGCAGTGTTAGGTGTGATATATAATAAGTGCAGTGCTAGGTGAGATAGATAAGTGCAGGGCTAGGTGTGATAGATAAGTGCAGTGCAAGGTGTGATTGTTAATAAGTGCAGTGCTAGGTGAGATATATCAGTGCAGTGCTAGGTGAGATAGATAATATGTGCAGTGCTAGGTGTGATTGATAATAAGTGCTGTGCTAGGTGAGAGATAATAAGTGCAGTGCTAGGTGAGAGATAAGTGCTGTGCTAGGTGAGATATATAATAAGTGCAGTGCTAGGTGAGATATATAGTAAGTGCAGTGCTAGGTGATATATATAAGTGCTAGGTGAGATATATAATAAGTGCAGTGCTAGGTGATATATAATAAGTGCAGTGCTAGGTGAGATATATAGTAAGTGCAGTGCTAGGTGATATATATAAGTGCTAGGTGAGATATATAATAAGTGCAGTGCTAGGTGATATATAATAAGTGCAGTGTTAGGTGAGATATATAGTAAGTGCAGTGCTAGGTGATATATATAAGTGCTAGGTGAGATATATAATAAGTGCAGTGTTAGGTGATATATAATAAGTGCAGTGTTAGGTGAGATATATAATAAGTGCAGTGCAAGGTGAGATATATAAGTGCTAGGTGAGATATATAATAAGTGCAGTGTGGTGCTAGGTGAGATAGATAAGTGCTGGGTGTGATTGATAATAAATAATCGCAGTTAATAATAAACACACATTACTCCCCATACACTGTATATAAAGTTCCCCTCTCCGGCCCCTCCTCCTACCTGGCAATGTGCTGGGCCCGCAGCTCCTTCACCTTCTTTCACCGAAACTCCAACCGACACTAAGGACTGCACTCCGGATTGGACGCGTATCCCTCGGAGGGCGTGGCATGCTGAGTGGGCGTGGCATGCTGAGTGGGCGTGAAGCCGGAGGCGAAAACGGGAAGAGCCAAGTTCCAGAGCTGCATTCCGCCCATACAGCCCTTGGTTGCCAGGGGTGGAGTCTCCGTGACGTCACGGTAGCAGTGTTTGATTGGCAGATGAGCAACAAGTCTGGGTCGTCATTTTTTTTTTTTTTGGTAAGTTACACGGCTTCCAGAAGGCGTGTCCTGAGCGGATCATTACTAACCTCTCATTGGTTAGAATCAAAGTGGAGCCCAGTCAGTAGCTGCGCAGAGGTGACGTTTTACGCAGTGATTACGGAAGCCATTTTGTCGAAGATCGTGGTCTAAGTTTCCAAGTAATTTAGACTCCGGCAAAATGGCTGCGGTCTTCCAGCTGTTTCCAAGTTTTAGCATGCCTAACATGCCTGCCTGTACAGAGAGGAGAGCCAGCTGCGCCTCATTACAGGAACTCTGCAGCAATGACACTCACTAATAAACTCATATAATATAGTTTGTGTTTAGTCTACTGCAGGGGTAGGCAGTATTCAGCACTCCCAAATATTGTGAACTACATCTCCCACACTACTCTTACAGCCATAGTACTGGCAAAGTATCATGGGAGTTGTGGTCCAAGCATCTGCCCTGCAAAAGGTTACTACCCATGCTGGTGCTTGAAAGGTTTACATCAGCATAACTTTCAATTTATTAAAATATCCACAATCTCAAAGGCCCACAGTCTAATAGTTCTAATCACCAATCCTGGTCCTTCCATTTGGGAACTCTGTGCATTTTGCATAATCCCTAGCACTTTAAAATGAATCCTGTACAATACAACTTTCAGAAGAGCCATGATGGGAACACTTCAACCCAGCTTTGCACTTATTGTGCCCTCTGTGAGACTGGACTGACAGTCCTATCAGATGAGTCATGCCAGGCCAACAAACCCTTTCTTTAAAAAACAAAAGCAGTATTTTATGCAAGTTTTTAACTCTATTCCCTTGGGTGGAAATTGTCCAACTTTTGACTTACCTTTGCAGCAGTATTTTGGGTGGATGGATGCATTTGAGCATGGGTAAAATGTGTTTAAGTGGGTACTGGAAAGTCCATTCTGCCATCCCTATATGCCCTTGTAGTGGATGATCTAGGAATCCATATTGGTTGATAGATCTGTTTTGCCTGTGTAGGCCAGACCACAAGGGCATAGTAATTTATATATCCGTGATGCCATATGTCTTCTGTGTGCATGATAAAACTGCTTACATTGGATCAGGTTCCCACTGGTAAGACAGCTCAAGCAACTGTTCATACAGGATTATATAATTCCTTGAGTAATTGTAACTGTGTCTGTATGAACGAATTGGTATTTCAAGTTATATCCTATACAAAAGCAGAAAATGCAGGGAGAGCAGAGTCACTGGCCATAGTTCGCAAATTTTGGACACTGGTTTTCAGTTGACCTGAATCGGTGGAAAACATGGTTGGAAAGATTAATATATACTTTTTAGTCTTTTTTTTTCACTGTGGCATTTATCCATCTTTAAAGGTTGAGTCTTTGTATCCATGTTCTGTCACAACCGTTCCAAGCTTGCTTCCCTGACATCCCACATTCGGGGAAAATAAAGATTTGTACTCCGCAAGCACATCAGAAGCACTCACACTGCACGAACTGCAAACACATGAGTATACTACTTTTTTAAATTCTTTATTTTTGGTTTGTCATCATATATTGTACTTGTTGATTTGATAAGAATATTGAAAACATATACAAAACAAAAAAGATCACATAACTTTAATGTAATTGGATGTTCCTAGGCAAAAATTCATAGTTTAGATGCATTTGAGGATTCAAAAAAAATAAAACCATGAATACAACTCAATACCACATATTTGAAAAAGCAATTTATTCAATGAAAAAGCAATACAAACAATTACATTCTTAACAATAACCCCTATTGCTTCACAGTAGTATGTGACAGGGTTAATGAAGAGTTGCAATCTAAAGAAAAAAATTAATCTCAATATATGTTACCAAGCAAAGCAGGAGTGGTACATCCCCTGTAATACAAGACAGTCTAAGTATATTGTAACTTAGGGGTGGATAAAAGTAGATCCCACAGATGTTCTTGAACTACACTTCCCAAGATGCCTTTCCATCTTTAATACTGGCAAAATCATGGGAGGTACAGTTCTACAGCAGCAGTGGGTCTACCTTTGGACACCTCAGTTGTAGAATAAAAGGTCAATAAGGTATAATGTGTAAAATCTATATATAGAGTTAAATAGGATTCAAAAACATTCCCAAATGCACAATAACCCAGTGTATGCATTTATTTGTAAAGATACTTTTAAAATAAAAAGAACTGTATTTCAACAAAGTGTAAATATATTCCATACTGAATCACATGGAGCCCCCCCCCCCCAAAAAAAAAGCACAGTACTAACAGTATGGTATACTGGTAGTGGCATGTCTCAAGTATGTTTTGGAGTGAAGGAAGTATGTGATGCATATAAATCTCCCAACTTTAAAAAGGCACTTGCTTCTATATAAAAATGTATAAGAATACAGTAACAGTCAAATACTTTTATGAAACAACAATAAAGGCTCACAGTACATACAAGAATAGCATTTTGCATTCTCTGCTGTGTAGATCTACAAGATCTATTCACTATATGGAAGAGTTTTAGTTTACAATGTGTTGTAAAACAAAGGGGCGGCTCAGTCCCTTGTGAATTTACTGTTCATACCTACAAATTTCAGCAATCGCCAAAGTACAAGACTAGGCTGCCCTCCTCCTTGGGCACCTACATGACATCCATGCCTTTTGTATGGCGAGAAAACAAAACCACACCTGTTGCAGCTATCTACAGCATAACTCCTAATCTTTAGCGATGCCTTCCCTTTTAAAAAAAAAAAAAAAAAAAGTATTCCTTATAGGAAGGCAAGCATTGTAAATCTAGTCAAGGAGAGATCTGTGTCAGCCTAGTACCCGACTTTACTTTGTCCTCAAAGCCAATCACTGTCCTCTTTTCTGTGCAGTATATACATGCTGTCACAAGGCCAGTTTCCTAAATGCCCCCCCCCCCCCCGCCCTTCATATATGCACGTATATTATAGTAATCTTTAATCATCTCACCGGCGGTGATGCCCCCGAGGGCTGGATGGTCCTATGAAAAGTTTAGCCCTGCTTTTACGAGGGAAGTTGCTTTGTAAAAAGGGAGATGTGGCTAGAGGGCCAGTGTTACAAAGAAAGCACAAAAACAAAACAACAAAAAAAAAAAACAAAGATTTAAGTGTGGAGAAAAATATGGCATTAATAGGATGCAAAATCAAATGCACAAAAGTTGTGTTGGTGCAGGAGTGTCTTATTAATTGCATTTAGTTTTGGTCTCATTCATGCTGAGTTTTTCTGCACATTCAATAGGAGAACAGTGATTGGCTGAAGAGTGGAGTCACATAAGAAGCTCACCGTTAACACTGATTTCTGAACGGCCGAGCAACACCATATACGTTCCAAACAGGAAGATGCCATGTGCAAAGGAAAAGAGTGGAACTGTGGCAAAACCAGTGAGATTTGAATGTGGAGAAAACCAAAGCATGAATAGGATATTAAAACCTTAAGTTATATTGGTGCCCAGAGTGTTCCTTTTACTCTGTATTTAAGTACAAAATGGGGCTATACGCAACATTGCTTCCTTTAGATCAAAATATCCCACACCCCAAAAATAAAAATAGAAAAATCTTATAAGCATATTATGATATTAAGAGTGGAACACCACCAACTGCTGGACTAAAAGAAAAAAAGAAAGAAAATATAAAATGTGTAATTTCTTCATATAGTATTAAAGACATGGTAAAGGTATTTATTTATAGAAAAATTTTATACAGGTAAAATTAAACTGATTTATTCAACAGATAGTCTTGCAGCACTGATGCTGGGTATGGAGGAATGCAATGTGGTACCCCCAGTTTCTTACATTACTACACAATTTTAAAACAAAGTGTAAAAATTAAATTGGACTTTGTCTCTAGATGCCCTTAACGAGGAGAGTATAATATACATGCTTTGTAGCACATAGGGTAGCCTGGGCTCTTTACTTATCTATATTTTTCTAAACTTTTCAATTGTTATTGCAACATTGTTTCTCTTTTGACTTTAAAGTCCCTCTATGATGGTTAAATGCTATTCTATATCCAAGTATCTGATACTTTGACAGTCATATTTAAATAGATACAAACCTAGTTTTGAGCAGACATTCTGCTGGAAATGATACTTTCTATTTAGTATTCAACATTAAAGGGACACTCTAGTCACCTGAACAACTTTAGCTTAATGAAGCGGTTTTGGTGTATAGAACATGCCCCTGCAACCTCACTGCTCAATCCTCTGCCATTTAGGAGTTAAATCCCTTTGTTTATGAACCCTAGTCACACCTCCCTGCATGTGACTTGCACAGCCTTCCATAAACACTTCCTGTAAAGAGAGCCCTATTTAGGCTTTCTTTATTGCAAGTTCTGTTTAATTAAGATTTTCTTATCCCCTGCTATGTTAATAGCTTGCTAGACCCTGCAAGAGCCTCCTGTATGTGATTAAAGTTCAATTTAGAGATTGAGATACAATTATTTAAGGTAAATTACATCTGTTTGAAAGTGAAACCAGTTTTTTTTTTCCATGCAGGCTCTGTCAATCATAGCCAGGGGAGGTGTGGCTAGGGCTGCATAAACAGAAACAAAGTGATTTAACTCCTAAATGACAGTGAATTGAGCAGTGAAATTGCAGGGGAATGATCTATACACTAAAACTGCTTTATTTAGCTAAAGTAATTTAGGTGACTATAGTGTTCCTTTAACTACAGTTACTCCCCAAGCTGTGGGGAGTTTGGGTCAGAAACCAACTAGGAAAATACACACATTTTATGTTTATTATTGGTGGTCTTATTAGACTTTATTTGAATCATTAATAAAAGCTACGCTTTAATCTCTTCCCTCCCTTTTCCTTCCTTCAATTCGTAACATAGGGTTACCCCCAAGTCCCCTTCTCGTTTCTAAGGGATTATTGTATTAGCTCAACTTTTTTGCATTTGTTATAATAAGATTAAAAATGTACACAAAAAAAAGGAAGATCAAAATTAGAAGTAGTTGGGAATAAATTCAAATAAAATAGTGGTCCCATCCTTTATTGTTTTGTTATTTACCTGTATATCCATTGGACTACCAACTCATTAACCCCTATTTATAGGCAATATATTGCAGACCTCTAATGTAAACTGGAAATACAACAGTAGCTATTTATTGCTGACAATTGCAACAGGCAAATACTTGGCACAAAAAGACAAATAACTCTTTAACAACTGCAGTATAAACAGTGTTAAAAACCACAGCAGATATACAGGTAGCCTAGCTTGATAAATTGAGAATTAAGGAACTTACTAGGAGGAAGACATTAAGACAAACCATGAATCAAATAACTCCAGCAAAGTGGTTATAACTGCAATACATACAGAAGGGGTCAATGACAAATGGAGACATGGGTAAATGTAACAGCAGTATGAGAAATTGGGGCTGTAACAGGAAGATTTAGACACTGCAAATGGAGTACATTATTAATGTGCTTATTGTGTAACAGTCAATGTACTATAATGCAGACACTTGCCACACGCACTATGTATATGTGTGCTGTACAGAAGGCTGTGTATAACACAGTATAGACTCTATGATGTAACTCAGGTCAGTATGTGAAATGCAGCTTGTATACTGGATAATAGGTCTCAGGTGAATCTCTGTGGACCAGACTCCAGCTCCACTTGGTGATTAAAGACCTGTAAAGTTGAAAATAATCACATTAAAGCCAAGGTAATGATGTACATATTTTCAGACGATAAATCTGCAGTTTTCTTACCTTCACATGTGTGCATCACCCTCTCCTACTTGTCTTTGGATCTGCATCTGAGCCTGCATCCTTGCAATCATTTCTTGCATGCGACGCAGCTATAATGTACAAAAATCAGTAAGGCTTTTTATTAAGGAAACCTAGCAGAGCTTATATATATACATATAAATACAT